GGTTGTTGGGAGTCTAGCAGATTGGAAAGACCACAGGTTTCCTATTCCTGACCTACAGGTACATCTCCTGATCTTAAACAGTTTATTTTTATTTGAAGAAAAAAAATGGTTTGAAAAAATATGCTAGTTTTACAACCAGGGCTTTTTTAAAGCTGGAGCTCAGCTCCAGCACCTCTCAGGTGAGGACCATTACCATTCTAAGAGAAAAAGGCAGAAGTTTATGGTTAGCTCCCACACCTCTTTTTCTAGAAAAATAGCATTTTTCTAGAACAGTAATTCCAAGCCTCAAGTGGAGAGGAAGGGCTGTAGTGAAAAAGAAACTATTTTAAAGGAGCAGACCATAATCTCCTCAAAGCCAGATATCAATTTATTTATCTACTGTATTATTTCTTAGATACATTTACCGGTATTATCTGCCTTTCATCTAAAGGTTCCAGAACTGGTTACAAATAAAAAAAATAACCATGTCACAATCTGTTGGGTTTTTTTAAGCATCAAAATAAAATCACTAAAAGCAGAGACAGTATAAATTTACTGAACAGAAGGGTAAACAATCAGAATTCCAAAAAAAAGTTGAGTAAAAATGTGCATGTTTTAAAAAAATATATAATTTTGTTTTTTCTTTTGTACTCTCTATGTGCAGGATGTCCACGTGTGTTTTAAACACAATGTTGCATTGATAAGCCTCAGAAATCTTTTTTACTGCTGCTCACTCTTGATATTCTAAATCTTAAACAGGTGAATGAAGTAGTAGAAATGTTTCTGTAAAGAGAGTATTTAATTTCCTTCACCATGGGATACTTACAACGCATGGCTGCTGGAGGCATAGAATTAACACACCATGATAGAAATATCTAAATAACAGCACATAGCAGCCTTCCTAGACCTCTAGGTGTTATGCAGTACAACTCCCATCAGCCCTGGCCAGTATTGCCAATGTTAGGGATGATGCGAATTGTAGTTTGAAGCTTCTGGAGGACAACCAGTTGAGGAAAGCTGGAGTACAGGCATAGCAGTCAGAAAGACATGCTGGAATCAGTCCAGTCCTTTTAAACCCAAGCTGATTATGCAGTGTTGCAGAAAGGTGACCTTCATACAACAAAATATGATAAGGATGTTATACACGTTACTAATGGCATTTATAAATGTAAAGGAACTGCAGTCAAAGTTAATGAAGATGTATTATACAGGTGGTGCACTTGTTGCCTTCTAAATGAAATCTTATAAGCATTTTGCCATTTTCAGATGGCTCACTTGTCATTGTGAATTCCTGTGCTAACATTTGGAACCAAAGCTCAGCTGGCATTTAGACAGCAACTGGACAGGCAAAGGGAATTGTAACTTGGTTTTTAAGGTTTGAAATGTAATTACTATACAAAAAAGGCAGAGGTAGCTCAGCCCTAAGGTATCGCATATAGCTCTTGTTTTATTTTTGCTCAAATGTTAAACTGGTTTATCAACTAGCCACACAAAGAAAAAGATACAAGGATGTGGGGATCGTGTGTGAAGAGCCATTGTTCTGAGTTTATGCTCATAATGTAGACCTCAGAACAATTACCTTCCATCTTGCCTCTCGTGTACCCTTTAAAAATTACGTTTAATGTATAATAATAGTGGTTAAAAGATAGAAAGTTTTCCCCTTACCCTTTCCATTCATGTTATGGGTGAAGTAATAAACACTCCATAATCATTCATGTTTGTGATTTTAAATACAGTGGTACCTTGGTTCTCAAACATCTTGTTACTCAAATGCCTTGGTTCCCAAACACCAAAAACCCAGAAGTGTTCCGGTTTTTGAACGGCTTTTGGAAGCTGAACGTCCAGTGTGGCTGTCGGCTATTGTTTCCGGGGTGCCTGCATCAATCAGAACCCATGCCTTGGTTTTTGAAAATTTTGGACGTCAAACAGACTTCTGGAATGGATTAAGTTCAAGAATCAAGGTACCACTGTATTGTTTTTTCTATTTATTTTGCGTTTTTGTTTTTGGGCTTTTCAGTTAATTTGTTTTTGTGACTGTGTGGAACCCAGTTCAGCTACTGATTGATTGATTGATTGATTGATTGTGTGACTGCAGAAATGGATAAAAGCCCCCCATCCAAACAATGACTATCATCAGTGCAGGTAAGAAATGTTTTTTAATTTTTTTATTCTATAGTACAGTACATTGAATATTGCTTTCATTTTATGGATCAATGGTCTCATTAGATAGTAAAATTCATGTTAAATTGCTGTTTTAGGTGTTGTTTTTAAAAGTCTGGAATGGATTAATCTGTTTTGCATTACTTTCTATGGGAAAAGTAATGCACTTTGATTTTGGAATGCTTTGGTTTTGGAACGGATTTCCGGAACAGATCAAATGTAAGAACCAAGGTACCACTGTACAAAAATGGGGGCAGGGGTAAACCATAGCAGATGTAGTGACACTCATTGGTTCTGCCGGTGCATTTGCACCATGTTGACCTCCCAGCTGCCTCACCCCTTTCCTTCCTGCTTAGGAGTAGTGACTCGGCTGTTGTGAGGTCAGGTGTGTACCACCACCCCAACATATCATCCACTACTGGGAATAGAAAGTCTAGATCAACTGTATGGAATTTAAAGGTGTGCCTTGTGTGTGCACACAGTAGTTAAAGAATGGGAAGAAAAAGACTGAGTAGTTGATGGAACCATGGCTCCTCCAGTCACAAGTAAAGGTAAAGGTAAAGGGACCACTGACCATTAGGTCCAGTCGCGGACGACTCTGGGGCTGTGGCGCTCATCTTGCTTTATTGGCCGAGGGAACCAGTGTACAGCTTCAGGGTCATGTGGCTAGCATGACTAAGCCGCTTCTGGCGAACCAGAGCAGCGCACGGAAACACCATTTACCTTCCCACCGGAGTGGTACCTATTTATCTACTTGCACGTTGACGTGCTTTTGAACTGCTAGATTGGCAGGAGCAGGGACCGAACAACAGGAGCTCACCCCGTCGCGGGGATTCGAACTGCCAACCTTCTGATAATTGTATGTCATTTAAATGGAGGCCACGGGAGGTCCCATTTGGTTGGACTTCGGATACTACCTCACCAACCCTCAAGGCTCCAAAGAAGGCAATGGCATTCGCTAGAAAATACACCAATAATAATATAGTGCCGGTAGCTACTCTTTGCATTATAGCTTATGCTGCACCAGTGGGAAACTGACCTTCTATATGTTGCCAGCTTCCTTTTACTGTTTTTATAGCCTCCTGTCAATGTTTTGAGTGCATCTGCACTTACTTTTTTCCACTTTGAGTAATTACATCTCATTCTACTCCTGGCAACTGTCTTCCTTCTGTTCCATCCATATGTTGTCATTATTTCTTGTTTGCATCCATTTCTTTCCCCACCACATATAGTGTGTTGGCTCCTTAAGCAGTGGGTTGGAGCCATATAGCTAGGATCTAAGTCCCAGTGATTTCAATGAGCCTTTAGTCTGGACCCAACCAGTAGTGGCTGGCCGGACAGGGCAGGCTATGTATGGGCAGCATTGCTCAATTGGTTTCCTAATGTGGAGCTCAGTGCTGGTTAATGAGAAGGAGGGACGGGGCAGGTGGTAGGTCAGTGCAGAATAGGGTCAGCATTGGGTGCATCAGTTTAGCTGGGGCAACCCAGTTAGGTGGGTGGGGTACTGTTGTTGTTATTGGGTTGTCTCTGTTGCTGTGCCAGCGCTGAGCCATCCACACACTCCTGATGCTACCCGCCCTCCCCGGCCGGAGCCAGGCTCAGAGCGGCTAACATCATATAAATAATACAAATGCATAAAAACAAGCAATCATATAAAGCATCACATAAATAATACGATATGCATGAAAACAAGCATTCGCTCAATTAAAATGCATCCCAAAATTAATTCAAATAAATTAAAGTTAAAGTTAAAACTGGACAAATGACAATCCTCAGGTTAAAATTGAAAGCTGTTAATATTCACCAGGACCAACTGTTTCCATTGGACCTGTAAGCAGGCTGGGAAACCTCCTTCATGCTTGTTCTTATACAAAGAGAAAATGAGTCAGACTGAACGCTGACCAAAGGCCTGGAGGAACAGCTCCATCTTGCAGGCCCTGCGGAAGGATGTCAAATCTTTTGGGAAGGAACATTATTACAACATGAGAAGCAATTCATTGCAGTGAGGCAATTGACAATTTTGATGTGTAGGAATGACTGCCCCAGAACCATCCCCATAAGGAAAATGGGGGGGGGGGGAGAGCAGACCTTTCTATTGATCCATTACACATAGCAGCAGCAGCACACAACATAGTACTCAATTGATTAGGGTCAATAAGCAGTTATAGGTTGCTTCTAGATGGGGGCAATGAATGCATTAATACTGCAAACAGATTTTTCAGATGTTACAAATGGGTAGTTGTCAACAAGGTTTTCCCTCCCTGCAGAAAGGGTAAATCTGGAATAATAAGCTGACAAAGGGAGGTGTAGAGGTTAGCATGCAAGTCTTTGGCTGGTGAGATGGGGATTCACATCCCTGATCAGACATGAAGTGTACTGGATTATCTTGGACCTGCTATAGTCCGTGTCAAACAAAATGGCCACGTCCCAAGCCAGTCCAGTCTTGCACATACAGACACTGGCAAGCTTATAACACTTGCATATACTGCTCTGGAAGATGGTGCTGTTCCTCATGCTATGAAAAATGTACTGGACCTGTGCTCTGCCATGTTCCCCATCCATTGCACCACTGTTCAGTTGAATCATAGTGTGCAAGTCTTCTAAATAAATACATACTGAAAAGCAGTGTGTTTCCATATAACACTTGCCGGGGTGGGGTGGGGGTGGGGCGGACACAGCAAAATATAACAACCGAAGTGGCAGTTTTAATCCAGCATCACCAGGAGGAATGCAGATTCCCCAACCCTTTGAGAAGAATTTACTGTCTGATAGGACTATGATAGGAGAATATGAAGATGCTAAATTTGACAATGGTATTCCAGTCATGAGGGCACTGAAGAAGTCATGTCAAAATTTTGAAAATGTCTGCGCTGTTCTTCCCCCCTGAAGAGTTGTTAGGTATTCTTCCAGTGGTTACAAAAGTGAGTTTAATACTAGAACACAAACTCCATTTTGACACAATTTAACGTACGTCCATGAAAATGGAATCCCACACAGCTGAGGTCAATATGCCATTCATATCTTCTGCAAGTTCAAAGAAATGGACCATCTTTCCCAGTACACTGTGTAATATCTGATTCTAAGGCTTCCTGAAGAAAGACTGTTTCTTCAAAATGGTGGGAGGGGGCAGGTAAACACACAAACTCTCTAGAAATAGCTTTATCCATGTTTGGTTATGTATGTTCACAGTCTATAAATAAATCTGCAGAGTATAAGAGGAGACTGGAATAGGCTGGAACTCAAATAGCACCTTAAGTTTCTTCATAATAAGAAAGGCATTTCTCCACAAAAGTAGCTTGAAGATACACTTCCAAACAGCATAGCTGAAAACAAATTTATATTTGCAGGGGAATCTATTCAGTTTTAGGTTATTCAGTTTCATGAAGAGAACATCACAGCAGGCTGAGATCACACCAAGATTATAGATAACATCATCCAAGTCAAAAGCAGAAGGATGGTGAATGCAATCCCCAGTGTCCTCTGCCCCATTTATTTCAATGGCACTCTGTGTGGCTCATATTCCCTAGACTGGACTCGTTTAGGGACAAGGCATCATTTTGAGTTTTCAAGCAGCATCCGACTACTTTTGTGTTCCCAATGGTGCTTTGGAATTGTGCTTTGTGAATGACAGCCCCTCTATGCTGTGTAACAAAAGACCTCTGAATGCAAGGGGAGCGTCAAAAGCAGTTTGTATTTTAGAGGGCAACAAAGGGAGGGGAAGATTTGCTGTTCAGTGAGGGGGGAGGAGTCAAAGTTCCATTGGTTAAGCAAAAGCCAACTTTTTCTTTATGAGAATCATAAGGGGAGTAGCCTAAATTGGCACCCTGGATCACAGCACTGACTCACCTGTGTCAAAGCAGGTATAACAACTTCTATGGAATACAGGAAGCTAGTCTTCCATTGGTCTATCTAGCACAGTCCTGTCTACATCAGCTATCTCCAACCTGGTGTCTCCAGATATTTTGGACTATAGCTCCTATTGTCCCTTTGGCCAAGCTGGTTGAGGCTGAGGTGAGTTGCAGTCCAGCAACTTTCTGGAGAGCACCAAGCTGGGGAAGGCTGGTCTGCCAAGCAGCTCTCTAGGTCAGGCTATGGTATTTCCCAGCTAGACATGGTAGATGCTAGAGATTGTGCCTGGGACGTTCTGCATGCAGAACATGTGATCTACCACTGCGCTGTGCTCCTTGCTATTCCCCCAAAAGTTTTCTTCATTCACTTCACTGGATTATTATTTTTTAGGGAGGATCTCTAGCCTACCAGATGTTGCTGGACTCCAGAGTCCATCATTCCCAACCACTGGCCATGCTGGCTGGACTGAAGGGAATTGGGCAATATTGAAGGGTCACAAAGAGCCTCAACCTCTGATTTATGGGAGGTATTCCATGTGGATTCTGCCCATGACTGTCACTTGTACAATAATCATTAGATTTCATATTAAGTAACTAAAAGGCCAGATGACTGAAGCACAACTTCACACGCAGCAGTGAGTGCTATAGCAGGTCATCTAGGTCTTTGCACTGTGAAAACCAGCTCTGACACATGTTTATCTAATAAGCTATTTTTAAAGAGTCCACTTCTAGTGATGGGGCCGTTACAACTTCCCTTGCAATTTGTTCCATTTCCTAAATATTTTTATGTTTAGAAAACTCTCTCTTACACTTATCTTTCTTCCTGCAACTTTATCCCACTTCCTCTAGCTAACTCCTCTGTTGCCATGGCGAGTCACTAGCCTCCAAATTTTGTCCATCTGTGAGCTTGAAGACAGCTAGAAGGCCTCCCTTCTGTTCTCAGGACTAAATCTTCCAGGATGCGACATTTCTGTTTAATGTGTCATGACAGATTGCCATATATTAGAAAGTGTTATAATTGTGTTTTCCGTCACCATGGTTATTTTCATTTCCTGATGTTTAGTTTCACATTAGGCTAGATTATTTGCCCATATGTTGGAAACATAAAGAATAGTTACTTGCCGAAAAATCCAGAGCAGGAATGGGGAACCATTTTCAGTTCAAGTTGCTTTCTGGACAAGCTTACAAAAACCACATGCCAGAGGTAGGCAGGGCCAGAGGCAAAGACGAGCAGAGCAACTCATGTGAATTTCACTGTTATGCAGCTGGCTAATTTCTACACATGCTCTGTAGCCACCATCCAGACAAGAGGTATTTTCAGAGTTCAATGACACATTGCAGCCAGGAAAGAACACTCAAGGAGAATGCAAAGCAAGGCCAGGGAGGTTTGTACCCTGGGAAGAGGAGATATGGCTTGGGGAGAATCACAAGGGCCAGCAAGAGGCCTTGGGGGCTGCATTTGGCCCTCAGTTCCCCATCTCTGATCAGCCACTGAGTTCAGCCTGTACTAAGGTACAGTGACTTGGATTCCAAGAACGCACATATTCCCATGAAGACTCAAAGTGTGGTGTAGTAGTTTGGATGCTGGACTAGGACTTAGAACACCCATGTTCAAATCCACATTTGTCCATGTAGTTCACTTGCATACTCTCCAACATTTCTCCAGTGAAAATAGGTACATCCTATTATTATTATTATTATTATTATTATTATTATTATTATTAATATCCTGCCCATCTGACTGGCTTGTTCCAGCAACTCTGGGTGGCTTCCAACATATATAAAAACTTAATAAAACATTACACATTTAAAAATTCCCCTATCCAGGGCTGCCTTCAGATGTCTTCTAAAGGTTGTATAGTTCCTTCTCTCCTGGGCTTGGGGGTCTCATAACTCTATACCCTCCAATATTTCTCCAATGCAAATAGGGACATCCTAAGGAAAAACAGGACATTCCGGGATTCAATCAGAAACTGGGGTGGCTTCTGTAAATCTGCAACTGTCCCTGGAAAATAGGGACACTAGGAGGGTCTGCACTTGGGGACCTTGGCCTGTCACTTTCTTTCAGCCTAACCTGTTTCATAGGCTTGTCCAAGGATAAGAAGGAAGGAAGTGCCATGTATACGAACTTCAGCACCTGCTGGAATGGTAAGTGCCTGCAAGGCTTGAGAAGTGTCTTTTCAGTGATGATTCTGACTTTAGGAATGCTTTCATCAGAAAGGTACAACTCAACACACTATGTTTTCAAGTGCCAGGTGGAAAACCTGGCCTTTTGTTGGAAGGCATTTGGATTGGCTAAAGCTATTTGGTTTATTTTCTGCATTGCTGCTGCTTTGGGGTTCCTGATTACTGCATCAATGAGCGATTCTATTTTTCAATTTCTTCCACTGCTATTTGTGTATTTGCTCCTTTTAAAAATTTGTTTACATTTTTAAAGTTGCTTTAAAGTATACATTAGTTGTTTTGAGTTTATCTAAAAGTATTATGGTGTACACAGGAACTGATCTGCTGCAGAGACTTCTCACCTTTGGTGACTTTTAACACACAAAACCAGGAGCCTCATAAATAGCCTCCAAACAGACACGTACTTCACTTTAACAACCACCACTGTAATAGATAAGGAAATGTATCCGGTTAATGCAAACTGGGTTAAAATGCATGTAAAGTCTTCAACACATTTCATACGTAACCTCCTAGTTAGATATTAGCAAAAGCAGTCAAACCCAATGTCTGCTGAACTTTCTCGCTGTTTGCAGAATCTGTATTTTGCTATGATTAATCAGATTTACAAGAATTTAACCTATCCTGGACAGTTCTAGCAGCAATGACGGCTCCTGCAGTACAGCGGCAGTGAGGCTGATAGCTTCTTACGCCAGTGTGGAATTGCACCAGATTCTAAGTCACTTCTCTGTCTGCTGCCCACTGCTTAGCATCTGCTGCTTAGGCAAGTAGAACTGGCTCTGAAAATGACTCAGCACCTCAGTTATTGGTTTGGACACATGTTTGTTGCAAACAGGAAATAGGGACATAGCTCAGGGGCAGAGCATCTGCCTTGCCTGCCGAAGGTCCCTGTTTCAATCCCCAGTATCTTTAAGTTAGGCTCAGACTCCATCTGAAGTCCTGAAGAGCCACTGCCAGTAAAGACTATTGAGCTAGATGGACCCAGTGGTCTGACTTAGTATAAGGCAGCTTCCTAAGCTTTTGAGGGCCTATTATATAACCATGAGTGACGAGTACTAGGTAGGGTGCGCATTGGAGACCCAGCCAGCAATATATTTGATTGGCATAAGTAAATCTGTAGTGCGAAGACTCTCAATTATCTAGCTTTTAGGGATGTAACACTTTAACCTTTAATTTGGTTTAATCTATTTATTTTGCTTGTACTAAGAAGCCAAAGTGACTTTCAGAATGTCACATTTCTGTACAGATTCATCTATTTTTGTCTCTTTAGGCGAGAAAGGCTGTCATTTTCCTTTTACGGTTATTGCATGTAATTACAAGAGAATTCACTTTAGAAGTGAGCATTGTCCCAGTTTTAACATTCCTTTTGTTCTATTGCCCTTTACAGTCTGAGTATGCCTGCAGATATCACCCTTATAAAAATGAGTACTAAGTTCTTCTTATAAGTGAACAGTGTTGTATTCCAAAGATTACATTCTAAATTAGAAGGTGTATCTTTAATGAGCTATACAGTGGTACCTCAGGTTAAGTACTTAATTCGTTCCGGAGGTCCGTTCTTAACCTGAAACTGTTCTTAACCTGAAGCACCACTTTAGCTAATGGGGCCTCCCGCTGCCGCCACGCTGCTGGAGCAGGATTTCTGTTCTTATCCTGAAGCAAAGTCCTTAACCTGAAGCACTATTTCCGGGTTAGCAGAGTCTGTAACCTGAAGCGTAAGTAACCTGAAGCGTATGTTGTTAAGTTGTGGGCGAACATATCAGACGACACAGCGATTCTTCCAAAGCAGCTCTTTATTTGTAAGCTGGAACAGAACTGAACTGAGGAGCTCAGTCAGCCTGCTTATATAGAGCTCCACTAGAATGCAACAGTAACCATATTCTGTAACTAGCCAATCACTGAACGTCACTTTTGATCCTTCATTTGCATACAAACTATTAAATCACTGAACGTCACCTTCGATCCTTCATTTGCATAACTATCTACAGTATCCCCCTGCTGGCCCAGGGTGAGAACTTCAGTACATAACATATGTAACCCGAGGTACCACTGTACTTACATTGGCCATGTTGGCTATGCACAGCCTGCTGACAGGCCCAATGCAGAGACCCACTGCCCCACCCCAGATCGAGCCCTGAATCAATTTGTGGGTAGGGCTAATGTTAAAGTAGGGCTTAAACATGCATAACACGCAGCCAAAAATATTTCATGTTTATAAAAATGACCTAGGGCATTCAGATCAGGAATATAAATTGAACAGCTTTGCTTGCTAATTCCTTTCTTAGCTAAGTGGTGAAGAAACACGTCCACCTACATAATCGTGCATTTTTTTTATATTTTCATGCTATTTTTGTCTACTTACTCTCTAGAATAATGCAATTTTATTTAATGAGGACCCTGCATTGCATCAATGATTATGTATGAAAGAACGTCAGGCCCAGATTAGCAAATGAAACGCAGAACTTTGGCTGAGTCAAACAAAGCGGTCCAGTCTCAAAGCACTTTCCCCATCCGGTGTTTGTTTTAGGGTGTCCAGATTTGCCCTAGGACTCGTTGGTGGCAGCAGTTGTTAAGAAACAGTCTTTGCCAACAGTTTACATTGCTAAGTGGGCCTATTAATCAACTACAGCACTGTGAATTTAAAAGCTTTTTTTAAAAAAAAACAAACCAACAACCCAGAGAAAACAAGGGTAAAAAGAAGTAAATTGCAGGCAGAGATCAGCAATTGGATAATTCCCAAAGGACAGCTCTGGCACCTTGAGAAGTAACAGGTTTCCTCCTAGCTGACTCAGATGCAGGAGTGGTATTAGGAAGGTCATGAAAATGGGATGTTGGGAAGTACAGTGGTACCTCGGGTTGCAGATGCTTCAGGTTACAGATGCTTCAGGTTACAGACGCCACTAACCCAGAAATAGTACCTCAGGTTAAGAACTTTGCTTCAGGATGAGAACAGAAATTGTGCTGCCACCGCCACCGTGCGGCGGCAGTGGGAGGCCCCATTAGCTAAAGTGGTACCTCAGGTTAAGAACAGTTTCAGGTTAAGAACGGACCTCCAGAACGAATTAAGTTCTTAACCCGAGGTACCACTCTAAAGAGGGAATCTAGCTCACCATCCTCTATTCTCTTCCCTTAAAGGCTCTCCTGTTAACACCATCTGCTGATTAAAGATTTAAAACAAAATGTACAAGGATACAGTATTAAGAAAAAGTTTTCTTAATACAAGAAAGAAATAACAGGAGGAAGGCAGCATAAAATTGGTTCATTGTTAAGCATCTAGAAAACAAATGGACAACGACAACATGACGTAATTTTACTATGAAGTGCCTACAAAATCATCTTTAGATGGGTAGGCACCATTTTTTTGTATCCCCCCTCCCAACAAAGTTGTGAGTTGTGGCTATTGTCATTATAAAATATCCATCTTTGAACTTTGCATGTTTATTGCAAAAGCAGCATTTGTGTGTGTGTGTGTGTGTGTGTGTGTTTTTAAAAATCCCATTCCAATCAATGTTGGTGTTTAAGAAGAACTGTTAATGGTAGGCTTATTTGCTATGTTGAAATAATGAATAGATAAAAATCTGTACACTGCCTCAAAACATGAGAACTGCATCAGGGTCATCCAATTAAATTGATAAGACAGCAGGTTCAGGAAGGCTAAAGGAAGCAGCTCTTTGCAGAAAGTATAATTACCTATGGGATTCATTGGCAGGCATGGTGTGATGGCTACTGAAATAGGTGGTTTAAATAATAATAAAAATGTTTTAAGTACCTATTAGATCTGATATCCAGCAATGCAAGCTCCTTGTTTGGATGCATTTTTATTTCTATTTTGCCTATCAGGTGTTTGGTAAAAGCAACACAAAATTCATGCACTACCTTGCCATTTGCTTCTGAGTAAAAGGTATAGGTAAAGGACATACTTCACTATGGAGTTGCGGTGCTCATCTCACTTTTCAGGCCAAGGGAGCCGGCGTTTGACCACAGACAGCTTTCCAGGTCATGTGGCCAGCAGGACTAAACCAACTAAACCATGACGGAAGCCAGAGTGCACAGAAACACCGTTTACTTTCCCGTCACAGTGGTACCTATTTATACTTGCACTGGCATGCTTTCAAACTGCTAGGTTGGCAGGAGCAGGGACAGGGCAACAGGAGCTCACACCGTCATGGGGATTCGAACTGCCAACCTTCCGACTGACAAGCCCAAGAGGCTCAGTGGTTTAGACCACAGCACCACCCGCATCCCTTGTCTGCTTCTGATTACCAGTTGCTGGGAATCACGAGGGGCGAGAGCGCTACTGCATTCAGGTCCTGCTTGCAGTTTCTCCATAGGCATCTGGTTGGCCACTGTGAGACCTAAATGCTGGCCTCAATGGGCCTTGGTCTAATCCATCCCTGGACCACAAACTCCTCCACCCAATAGTAACCCCTTCTTATTTGTATTAAGTTTCAATTAAGATTCAGTTGGTTCCCCCCAATTCATTCCTTTGCAACCGCCAGCCAACAAGACTGTTTAGAAGTTTCCTTAGGGTGGTTCATTACTGCTTAGCCATGAAAAAGAGTGGCAGACTGCTGCAGAATAATAATTCCCATCCTAACCTACTTCAAAGATTGTTGTGAAGATAAGAATGATAGACCGTTTTATAAACTACAGTGTATTACAGATGTGATAAATAACACAGAGTCAGATTGAAATAAATGAGTTCAACTTTGAAAGCAGGGGGGAAAATCTAGTCCAAAACAAATCTTTTCTAATAACAATAATAATGATGATGATGACATACAATTTTGATGTCAAAATGTTTTTGGCATTTATTAGCACTTAAGAACACAAAGTTTTTCATCTGTATAAATCAGAGTAATTTCAAAACTGCAACCAGTCAAATGTTAGTCCAATTAATGATTCAGCTTCCTGAATGAGAAGGATTTCATCTGTGTTCAATTTGTGTGCATGTATTTACAATGAATGATTTTTTTTAATACACACACAGAGGATTTTCCCATAAAGTGAAGAGTGGATCCAGATGTTTTTAAAAGAAAAAGAAAAAAGGAGGCATTTCATGATCAGCTTCTTGAATATTTACATTTGTTTGTTTATTTATATGCAGCTAGAGCCAAGCCACAATGCATTATAAAGTTTACAAAATACAACATACAAAAGAACATGCTAAAATCCAGAGCAAAATGAGGGCTCAGGGATCAATATAAAAAGCTAGGAACAATTCCCTATTTGTAAAATTCACAAGCCAAAGCATAATGAATTGTTTGGTGGGTATGCCAAAACTGGGCTGCTTTTCCAAAGAGGAGGAAACCAAAACTTGTTGCATGCATACAACTCCACTGGAGAAAAACAGATACTGGTAAAGATGTACAGAATGATCAGTTTCAAGGTACTGCCTTATGCATTTTTTCACTTTAATGACAGCATTTCTTTTCTTTCTTGCATTTGCAACTCTAGTTATATGAATAACCAAATATATCAGTATCATAATGCTTGCACCTGCATTTTTGTATTTTTAATATTTACATCTTTTCACATTAATGTGTGTGCACCCATTTCCCCACTTAGGATAAGGAATCCTAAACTGTATCCTACACAAATCAGTTTGACATTTTCATGAGCAGCTGCCCTATTTTGTTTCTTAGAAAGAAAAGGGAAAAAGAGGTATTATCTATATAGGAAGAGAGATTTTCTTGGTAGCAATCAAAGGCCTTAGTTACGTTTGGTTATCCTTACATGGGAAAAATGTTGGGTGGTAGCCACCTGATGTTTACTCAGCACATACAATTGAAAATCAGAGGTTTCCACATGCACACTGACTTCTCCATCCTCTATCCATCCAAAAGGGATGATCACATTACAGCCAGTCGAAAACAACTGACGGTGCAGAGCTTGAAGTGTGTGCCATGGGGAGAGTCTTGAGGGCCATATAGAGAGGTCTGGAGGGCTGCATTTGGATCTTGGGACTGAGGTTCTCCAATCCTGGTAGAACTCCTAATAATGGCAGGCAATTCATGACAGCTTGCGTCTCATCTATAGCACCCAGCAGCTTGTTCACCCAGAAGCATCTCCACTTCTGCTTCTCCTGAGCATAGTCTTTATTGCAAGTGTTTGACAGTGCTGTGGCAGGCCACTCCCGGCTCAGAAGCATGATGCCAAGTTGAAAAGGTCCATATAACTTGAAGAGATGGATTAACCAGGCTGGCCTTCTCATTACATAAGCTAAGGCAGTGGATGCTGGGGGCAGGGAGGAACGCAGGCTGGAGGAATAGAAGAGTTCCCAGCGGCATCCAGGTATGTTTATCTGTTTGGGGCAAGCTACATATGATGCAGTGTGGTGTAGTGGTTTGAGTGCTGGACTAGGACCTGGGAGACCAGGGTTCAAATCCTTGCTTAATCATGAAACTCACTGCATGACCTTGGTTCAGTCACTCATTCACTCTCAGCCCCACCTACCTCACAGGGTTGCTCTGAGGATAAAATGAGGAAGACGACAGGTGCCACCTTCAGCTCCTTGGAGGAAAGCTGGGATAGAAATGCAATAATAATAGGAATAATGAAGGTGTTTGAAGTTAACTCCCAACAATTCCAGAATAAGGGGGAAGGCTTTATGTGGCAGCCAAGAACCTATCCGTGTGTTTAATCGGCAACTGAACACAGTAGAACCCCAGATGATGGGAAGTCTTAAAATGTGCCACCTAATGAGTGCCTCGCTCTTTCTTCTCTCCCCCCCCCCCGCCGCACCTTGCTATCTTTCCTCCTTTTGTGTCGCTTCGGCTGCTCCCCCCCCCCCGCTCCGCTCCTGCCGCGGCGGCTCTTCCGATTGGGCGCCCAAGAAAGCGCCTCCTCGCTTGGAGCGAGAGGCCGGGGAGGGGCCAGAAGAAGCGGCTGAAGCCAGCTGTCCAAACGCACGTTTCCAACATGAGTTCGCCGGGGAGAGGCTGTCGAGCTGGGAAGCCGAGCGGCGCTTTCCCCTCAGGCACCGCCGTTACCGAAGCAGCAGCAGCAGCAAGAGCCGCCGACTGCCGCTCGAGCGCCGGGCAAAGCAAAAGGGGAGAAGCAGCGCGACGGGGTGAGTGGAGGAGGCGAGAGCCACAAAGCAGGCGGCAACGGGGCCAGCGCGCGGCGGTGGGGCTGCTCGGGTCGGCGCCGCTGGTGTGTGTGTGTGCGCGCGCGCGGCCACCTCTAGCTGAGGCGTCGAGGAGAAAAACGTCTCGCCGCCGCCAGCCGGGGCAAATGGGGACCCTGGACAGCGCTAGGGCGCGGAGGGGAGGGGCTGGCGCTGCTTGGCGCGCCGGGGTGTGGCCCTCTCCCGCCCTTCTTCTCCTGCTCAAGCGGTGCCTGCGCCGCTCCTTCGGTCTAGCCCAACCTGCACCGCGCGCCACCACTTTCCTTCTTCTTCTGCCCTAAATTGGTTCGCGGATGCCTTTCTCTGGGCATGGTCCACTTGAGGCAGGTGATGGGGGGAGCGAGGGGTATTGTTGCCGTTTCCCTCACCTTCCTATGCGCACCATTCCTTCACTGCCCCCCCCCCACGCGGTTGGTGGTTTGGAAGCTCCGCAAAGTCCTGCCAATAGCAAAGCGGGTTCCTCAGCCAGGACTCCTCTCCGGACCTCCCTACCCTCTCCAGAAAGGAAAGACGGGCCGCGACGGGCCGCTCTCTCCTTTCCCGCCCTGCTGCTGCCGAGGCAGGTCCTGCGCCCGCAGAGAGGCTCGCGCGGTCTGAAGGGAACCGGAGCCGCCGCGGGAGCCTGCGGGCCCCGCCTCTCCCCCTCGGCGCTCCCGTCCCGCTCTCGCTCTGCCTGGTTCCCACGCTCTGGCCTCCGGAACGCGGCAGAGGGCGAAGCATCCCGGGTCAGGGCAGCGGGGTCAGGACGAGCTCGGGGCTTCCAGGCACCGGCAGCGGGGCAGGTTCGTGGGAAAAGGCGGAGCGAGCTGCTTCCACCCTCACCCTGTCAGGAGCTGGAGGGAAGGTTGCTGCCGAGGCCGCGCCGGCCTTTCCTCGGGCCGAGCCAAGAGTTGGCCAGAGTTGTCCTCAGCGGCCACCGTAGCTGCGCCCCGAAAAAGCAGCTCGCATGCTGTCCAAATACTTGCACAGGCTGGATGGCTGCTTCTTTAAATGTTATTTCTTCGTTATTGTTTCGTAAGAAGATTTGCTCGGCGCTTTACAACTGTAACAGTTTTCAAAGCAGTTTGCAAGGATCTGTTGCATTTTAAAAAAACACAAAACTAAATCATAACTCCCCTTTCTTCCAAGGTCAGGATGGCGTCCGATTTTCTTCGCCCCCTTTTAGCTTCACAGTTGTCACTTTGAGATCAAAGCCAAAATCCCCACTCAGCCATGAAACTCATTGAGTGACCTTGGGCCATCAAGTCTTTCGGCACAGCCTACCTCACAGGGTTATTGTGAAGATAAGATAGGGAAGGGTAGAATCATATATACAAGTTTTAACTCCTTGCAGGCAAGACACACTATTGATAGAATTGTAAATAAAATGTTTTTTTTTAAACAAAAAAATGTGTGGAGGAGAGCAGAATGGATCAATCATTTCATGTGCTCCATGGCTGGATCTGAATGTCCCCAACTTTAGCATTGTAGCCACTTATGTCACACTGTCTCTATCTTACAGGTATGTAGCTGTGTTGGTCTGCCGTAGTCGAAACAAATTTTAAAAAAGTGTGCATGCACATGAAAGCTCATACCAATAACAAACTTAGTTGGTCTCTAAAGTGCTACTGGAAGGATTATTAAAATTTTGTCTCTATCTTGTTATCAATTAAACTAAGGAAACTAAAACTAGAATCAGTAGTTAACAGAAACAAGGAGGAAAACAGCAGATGAAACCATGGCATAGTGTCAAAACGATCAGGAAAAATTAATCAGAAATGACACAACCCAAAATAAGGCATTTATTCCCGTTAGAGAAGAAAGAAGGAAATGTACTAGCTCATTTTCATGCTTTGGCACCAACACTATCTCTGGTCTGTGGAAAACTTCATCTGTAGATTTTTGTGAATCAAGCACAAACCAGGTCAAGGCTGTTTTTTTCTGGTTATTTGGCCATTGTATCTGAGTATGCAAAATAAACAAAACAAAACTCCAATACCCAGTTGCTTCACCATTATCACCTTTCTTGGAGATAGCTCTAAAATATATAGTTGCACAGGGTGCATCTTAGAGTGCAAGTCAGACTGATTTCAGACATTAAATTATTGATACTTGCTTCACATTCTATAAAGAAACATCCTCCCCCCATCCCAACTCTTGAAATATTAAGCATGATGTAGGCTATATGGCAAAAGGCTGTTTGTTTTAACTCTCTTTTCTTGTCCTTATGAATTCTTTGCCTCGGTCTCATCTACATTACTTCCAGCAAGTTTAGAAAATAAGTTCTTATTTTTTTTTTTTTTTAAGAATATTTATTCAAGTTTTAAAATTACAAAAAAGAAAGAAAAAACAAAACAAGAAAATCAGTCACATACATCTTACAAAAGATACACACCATACAAGAAAAAAAAAAGGAAAAAGGAAAAAATACACAAAATCAAAAATCACAATAAAAAATAACAAAAAAAAGAATTCAAATTTAACAAACCGTTTTCCCATTTACTTATTTCCGTGACTTCCTCTCACTTCTCTGCTTTGTATTCTAATTCAAATTGTATCTCCAGCAAATCCTTCTAACCTTCTTTTCATTCACTTATTTTAACATTTTAACATTCAAAATATTTAATTCTCCTCTATCCTTTAGTTTACACTTTATATTTACTTAATTCCATTATACTCTGTCTGCCAATACGGTCTAATATTTCTTCTCCAACCTTTCCTAACATTCTTTTATGTTACAGTGATTCTGTAAATATATTTTAAACTTTTTCCAATCTTGTTCCATCAACCCTTCTTCTTGATCTCGAATTCTTCCAGTCATCTCTGCCAGTTCCATATAGTCTATCACTTTTCTCTGCCATTCTTCTCGGGTAGGCAATTCTTGTGTCTTCCAATATTTCCCGATGAGTATTCTTGCTGCTGCTGTCGCATACATAAAAAAAGTTCTATCTTCCCTTCGCACCAATTAGCCGACCATGCCCAAGAGGAAGGCCTCTGGTTTCTTTAAGAAAGTATATTTCAATACCTTTTTAATTCATTGTATATCATTTCCCAGAATGCCTTGATCTTTGGGCACGTCCACCAAAGGTGAAAGAAAGTACCTTCGTTTTCTTTACATTTCCAACATTTATTATCAGGCAAGTGATAAATTTTTGCTAGCTTGACTGGGGTTAAGTACCACCTGTAAATCATTTTCATTATGTTTTCTCTTAAAGCATTACAAGCCGTAAATTTCATACCTGTGGTCCATAACCGTTCCCAGTCAGCAAACATAATGTTATGCCCAACATCCTGCGCCCATTTAATCATAACAGATTTAACCATTTCATCCTGTGTATTCCATTTCAGCAGCAAATTATACATTCTTGACAAATTTTTAGTTTTAGGTTCTAACAATTCCGTTTCCAGTTTAGATTTTTCCTCCTGGAAGCCAATCTTTTTATCTAAGTTAAAAACCTCCCTTATTTGATAATAATGCAACCAATCTCTGACTTTGGTTTTTAATTTGTCAAAACTCTGCAATTTTAATTTATCTCCAACTTGTTCTAAAATTTCACAATATTTTGGCCAGTTTGTCTCCATATTGGTTTTTTTCAATGCCTTTGCCTCCATTGGTGATAGCCACCTTGGTGTTTTACTTTCCAACAAGTCCTTATATCTCACCCAAACATTAAACAATGCTTTCCTGACAATATGGTTCTTAAAGGCCTTATGCGCTTTAACTTTATCATACCATAAATATGCATGCCATCCAAAACGTTGTCAAAACCTTCTAAATCCAAAATGTCCACATTTTCAAGAAGTAGCCAATCTTTCAGCCAGCAAAAGCGGCTGATTCATAGTAAAGTTTAAGATCTGGCAGGGCAAATCCCCCTCTTTCCTTTGCATCTGTTAATATCTTAAATTTTATTCTAGGTTTTTTGCCCTGCCAGATAAATTTGGAAATGTCTCTTTGCCACCTCTTGAAACAGTCCATTTAATAAGTTCTTATTTTAAACCAACTAGACTTATTGGTGTGAAGCTATCGTATGCTCTGCCCTTTGGAAATGTCTATTGAAAGCAGAGTTAAAGTAGAATTAATCGCTACAGGTTAGAAATAAATTACTTTTCTGGTTTATGATTGAGCACTTGGGGACAGTATTTTAATGTTTAACAAAGGCTCCATTGTTGAATCTGCTGTTGTTTCTGCCATTTGTGTTCATGGTTGTGAAGCAAAAACTAAGAACTGTTTAAAATCTTGAAAGTTTCTTAGTTTCTTAGCCAATTTGCCCCTTTTCTAATCCAGTATGAAAACATGCAACTGGCATATGAGTAAAAAAACAAATAAATTAGTATGGTTTTTATTAATTATCTAACTGTGTTATTGAGTGGTCGGAATTTAGGTGGCACTTTAAAGACTTAACTCTTTAAAGACTTGCATCTCTACACAGAAGTGAGTCCTGCTGAGTTCAATGGGACTTACTCCCAGGTAAATGGGTATAGGACTGCAGCCTAACATATTTACTGTGGCATAAGTTTTCATGTCCCTGTTTTGTCAGGTGCATCTGACAGAAATGGATTCTCGTCCACAAAAGCCTATGCCAGAATGTATTTGATAAATTTTAAGAAACCACCAGAAACTTTGTGACTTTATTGTACTTCCTTATGGGTTGTAATTTACCACCTACTTGTTGTTGGCATCCATCTGTCTCAAGAGGCAATGGGTTTGCACCTCCTGGGAGGACGTCAAACCTTAGTGTCGGGCCTGGGCAGTGTATATGGAGGTCCTTCCGGCAACTCCTGCTGCTAAGCTGGTGCCAAACATATTGCTATGCTTTCATTTGACCACATCAATGAGGTCAAGAGTGGGGGTCTTGTCGTCTGGGCCACTTACTGCATGTGTTTTATTCTAACTTTAGACAAGCATGGTGAAAGAACAATATGTTTCAAAGTACGTTGTGTAATACCAGAACAATATAGAAAGTGAGGTTAATGAGAATTATTTCATGATACATCTTTATGGAGTCACAAAAGAAGGTCTTAATGTTTAGCTCCTTATCTCACTGGTTAAGGATAATGGTGTCTACTACAACAATTAATGCTGTTGTCAATAATTCTTTTTGGAAGGCAACAGTTTCATTAATGGATAACTAAGATAATCCGTTTCAAAGTATATAATTTATTGATGGATTTTCATGTCAGATCCAAAATAAAAATATGGATGTGCAAAATACAGCTTGCAATGTATTTTGTTTTGTTTTTAAAATCCAGACAGTCAGGATAAATGGTTTATGGTTATGCTTCCAACTGTCTGAGTTAATAGAATATCGTGAATTCTGCATTTTTTAATGTTATAAAATCAACACACTCAAAATGCAGCCTGACCTTTGAGTGAACATCTACCACCACTACACTTTTGGTTGATACTTGATTAGAATAATTAAACAGATCAAATCTGAAATGTTGCAAGTTCAAGTATCTGTCTGTGGAATTCACTGCTGTGGATTCTGATGTGAGTTTTGAATACCTAATGGATCTTTCAACTGTTGTTGACATAAAATTGTCAGTAGTAATTATAGTTTTGTAATTGGATTGTTTTGTATATTTTTATAAATTAATTATCTTGGGACACTTTGTTTAAAAGGTAGTATATACATTTCTTTGATAAATGAATGAATAGTAGTTTTGTGGAAAATACAGAGGACTGGGATGAATAAATTTAAAAAGAACAAACCAGAAGGTGCTGCCTTCACATTGCAGTTCCTAGATTGGTGATGACAACAACTCTGATAGGGGTGGCAGCTACTGGAAAATATGGCTTCTTATATAATAAAACTAATATTTGTTTGAAATGGTTACATTGGCCGGTATACTTTTTATGCCATTAAGGAGAAGTCATATATTGTTTTCACTGCTATCAAAAAGTGGTGAAACAGTCAATTTGTTTTCACTTTTTTATCAAAAGGTAGGGAATGAAATCTTGTTCCTATGTGTATTGCTGTGATTCTGAAATTGAGATTAGGCTTTATTATACTCTGTCAATCATGAGTAGACCAGATAGGCTGCTAGATAAAAGGCAGGCAGAGATACCCCAATCAGCTGAACTGATCATTATCTCTAAATAGAAGAGCAGTCAGAAGATTCCTTTCACTCTACAGTTGGGAAGGAGAAGAAACAAAGTGGAAAAGGTCACTAACTGATAATAGCCAGATAATTATTTTGGTGCTCCCCCGCCCCTGACAACTGAATGTGAAGATAACATTGCAGTAGACTAGAGTATAATGCAGTTGTTGAGCAGTTATTTGAAATATATTGAGTAATTTTTTTAAATCAGTTTATCAGCTATATGAACTCCTTTGAGGTAATCCATGAAGTACACAAGTGTGGCTCCTGTGGCACAAACATTTGTTACATTGCTATTTAATAGCAATAGGTACATTTCTTTGTTTTCATTTGTCTTGCCTTCTTTTCCCTTGGCCCCATAAGATGTAGTCTCCATCATGGAGAAACGAAGTTGATAACTGGGTTTATAATGCTTTGGAGGGCATTGTTTGGAAAAACCCACCAAGCAAAAAAACTTTTTTGCTTGGAAGTCATACCCCACTGAAATCCACGGGGCTTAGGGCCAATTCACACCAGTAGGTAGGCTCCACACATGGCTAGATTCCACATATAAAGTAGAACGAGCCTCAGTCTTGTGTATGTTCCCTGCAATGCTATATATATATATATATATATATATATATATGCATGCACACACAAGATACAGAATATATGCCTCATCCACATGCTGCAACTACTCCCTTCTGTTGCCTATGTGGAATTTGAGCCTAGTATATTTGTGTCATTATGTATACAGACAGGATGCATTCCACATATCACATTGTACATACAGGGCAGGGGAGAAGCCATCTTAGCACACGTGGAGCCAAAATGCTGTGGCATATTAGGAATGTGCCTTTCCTTTCGGAGAAGTATGTTTAGGATTGTGTCCCTGAGGGAGCAAGCTAATCATAACCGACTATCGGCTGAACCAATCTTGCAAAATGTTCTGCCAAAAAAAAGAGCAACATATTTCATGGATATAAGCTTTCTTGCCTTCTGTGTAGAGAGAGAATAAATCAAAGTGGAGGCCCATGTACCTTTCTCAGATGTTGTCGTAGAGGTCTCTTTCATTGCACAGGGTTTACAGCTGCTAAGTGCTTCTGTTGCAGCAATCACATTTGGCAGCAGCTGAAACCAGGTTTGTAACCTGAGTTTCCCCCCACTTTTTCTTTCTTGTGCAACTATGGATTTTCTCACCTCAAATGCATACTTAATGGGCATCGAAATAAATCTGTTGAAGATGTCACAGCTGGACTTTTACTGCTTCCTGCAAGTATGAAGGCAGAACATGTAGAGGATTACAGTAGTTAAGTAAAGAATAGTTTTGAATTTTTTGAACTTTTTTAATACCAACAAGAGTTCAATATAATTCATCTGAGTTCCACTTTATGTTTATTTTAGTAGAGTAGTGGGGAGCGTGAATAGGCATGGATATGTATATGAAAGGTTAAGAGAATAATGGCTTTATGTTTCCGTATGTAAAAAGGGATAATACTCATAAACAGTTTTTGGAAAAGCAGATTTGTCACTTGTATTGTTATATCCCTTGAGCACAGTCCAGCCCATATTGTAATTAGGTCACTTGTAACACGGAGAATCTTGGAGAATAATTTGGTTTGTTTATGTGTGGGTGGAGATATATATATGAATGGGACTAAGTATCATTTCTTAGGTCCTTCTGTTCAAAGTGCCCAGGGTCCCAGACATGCTCACTTGAAAGTGATTGCTTAAATAACATTAATTTTATAATTATGCAAGAAAAATATTGCAATAATGAATTTATTACATTGATAGAAGTTGGATGGAAATTTCCATTTGCCCAGTTTGTGAAAATGCTTTGGACAGCACTCCCTAAATGCTATGAAATACAGTTCACAAAAAGGTTAGTTGTGTTTGTTTATCTTTATTGCATTTCCCATGAATTCAAGGAGGTTAATAGCATTGCAATAAATATGCTACCTTTTACAAAGCTTGGACATACTCAGCCACTACTGATCCTTACTAAACTAGGCTAGCTCTTCCAGATGTTTGGAATGCAAGTTATATCTATACCTCTCAGGGTGGGGTCTGAGATCAGCCCCCCCGCCACGCCCAGGGCATGTATCGCCAAGTACGGATGGACAAATCAGTGCACATCTGGTCCATGTCAGTTTTGCATGTGTTTATTCATGAGTCTCTTCTGCCCCATTCATGCATTAATTGCATTTTTTAAAGTCCATAGAAAAATGTATTTAGATATGCACTTAATAATACTCTATAAAATATATATTTAAATGCTTATTCTATCTCAATGTACACATTTCTTGACATATTCTATCACAAAAATGTATACTTTTTGCATTTTGGTGCATTTTTAAAGCTGAGAACTATGTTAGCTATTTCAGAGAAGCATGAAATCCAATAGATAATTACATTCTGATCTGTGCATCAGTCCAGAAGGTCAGTTTGCTTAAAAATGTGACCTGAACAAAATTCTTCTCCATCTGTAGTGCCAAGCAAGGGAAAAGAGAAACACTTTTGAATTTAGACAAAGAGAGATACAGTTGCTACGTTTTTGGACTTGACTGGTATAAGCCTTAGGGATGTCCTGTTGCTTTTGACAATTGATGCCTGTTTATATACTTGCTTCCCATTCAACATAACTTGTTTGTTTGAAGATAACCAGAGCATACAAAAGCAGTACAAATCTCCAGGACTCTTTCCTCACAAGGACACTGACCCTGTGAAAGCATGTTCTGTGGATTGGGAAATTGGGAAACATGGAACACTATTGTGTAATATGAAAACACAAACTTTATCACCCAAAAGCTTCACAGTATCAGTGAATTGTGTCACCATTCTGTGGAAGAGAATTACAATAGTTCAAGTAACCAATGGACCAGTGCTACTAAGTTAGTAAATAAATTGGAGAAGCTTGTTCACATTTATTTATTCACCTGCCTCCCCCACCCCCACCCCGACAGGGACTAAATTCAGCTTACAGATAAAATAGGAACAGCTAAAAACATAACTAATAGGAAATATTTATCATAAATCTAACCACAAATTAAAAATATGTAGTTCATTAAAAAAATATATTGTGGCTTATGGAAGGAATGTTTTTTGGTGTCAGTGTCAGATGAAAAATGGGGAAACCATTGCACACGTTAAGCACTACTTTGGCTGGGAAGTTTCCTAGAGCTTGGTTAGGCAAATTCAGAAATTGGATGGTTTCTTTTCCATAAGTTTTGATCTTCTCCATTGATATCATCCTTTGAAGCTGTTTGTGTGAGATGAGGTTGGTGTCAAAAAGGTGAATTAAAGGTCTGTGAAACGTTGAGACAATTTGCCAAGGTGACATTGGGGTCATTTTAGATAACTTAGAAAAAGATGAGTCTGGGGGTTTTCCTCTAGTTTTTAAAGTTTAGCTATCCAGTGAGTCTTATAATTGCTGACCTAGTTCCAAATCAAGCTGAAGGGAGTTAGCAGCCTCTACTGACTACAATAATGTTTTGCATGTTTATTCTAGAATGACAAACACCAATATAAAAATTAGAAAAATCACAGAATGGGTGAGATTCTAAAGAACACACCAGAAAATTCAGCAGAAAGGTTACACTGTGTGTGTGTGTGTGTGTGTGTGTGTGTGTGTGTGAGACATGGAAGGGGAGTGGGTAGAGACCAAACAGACTAGAATTTGATTAAAATGTCGATTAAAAGTGCTATTTATAATCAAAGCAATTTATGCTAGTTGGCATGCCGATGCGTTCCAACAGTTAATATGCTGTACTTTCCCTTTTTTTCTTAGTGTACTGAAACTGCTCAAAATGAATCTGGTAGCACAGATACTATGCCAGGATTTCTACATGGATTTCATCCACCATTTACATAAATATAACATTGAGGAGTACAGTATTCAAATGTGCAGTCCTTCTGCATATAGTTTGAAATGGTACAGTTTTCAAGAGTGCTATGTCAAATGATTATTCTGAATAGGACAACATTTATGCTTTCAGAGGAGTAAGTCTTTTGCAGTAGAAACAACAGTCTTGTGGCATCTTGAAAACTATCAAATGTATTACATTGTTATGTGCATGTGGAGTGGCTGGTTCAATGAGACGTACACACAAGTTTCTAATAATAGGATGGTTGTTGTTTTTTAAATGAGCAAATCTACATGGCAATGTAGAAGGCATGGCACCACTAATTCATCACCTCAAGTAAAAACCCAAAATGTTAATGATTGCTCATGTGTACCCAGTAAACAGGAGCATTTTGAGCTCGAGGAAGGGTTATAAAAGAGTTAATGCTTGCACTGAGTCAAAAACACATTGATTGTCTAGAGGCCTAGACAAAGCAAATAGTAATTAAATAATCTCTTTCCAAGCCAAAGGCTTCCAGTGACCTAGAGATGATTAATATAGTTAATACGCCCTTCCGGAGAGAAAGGGGTTGCTAAATATATGTTTCAAACAGACACATTTAGCATCAGTCGGTCCAGTGCAATGTAGTTCAGTCTGGTGAGATCCTTTCCCTCCACAAGTCTTGGCTGGGGTGGTGGTGGGAAAGCAAGTGCTTTGTAATGCAAAAGACATAACAAAGATATATGAGGGAGTTAGGCAAGATGTCGATCGTACCTTTATATTTCCATAAGTACTGCTTATAACCTCTAGTAAATGAAAACTGTACAGAGGAAAATGGGGATGCGAAGAAGGATGTTCAGTTTTGTGCATGCATTGTTGCTCACAGTGAGTGCATAGTGTGTGTGTGTGTGTGTGTGTGTGTGTGTGTGAAAACTTCAATAAAACATTAAGTAGGAAAAAAGACAGCAAAGTGGACTGAATGAAAAAAGAAAGGAAGGAGCTACTATAAAGCACAAACTGTATACAATGCATTACTCATATGGAAGGGAATACCTGTTGGGCCCCCCAAAGCACTGGAACTATATGGGTGTAACAACATGCTTTTGTGTTAGAAAAGTAAGAAAACTGAGTATATATTGGAAAATTGTTCTGCATGGTTATCTTTTTTAAAGGGATGTAACAGTTGTTTAGATTGGAGAGGATTTATTTTGATCCTGCAAATCTGCTTTCCTGTTATGGAACAAACACTGACCTTCTCCACAAAAGCTAAAACTGTATTCTGTGTCTGGCACAGCCTGTATGACATCGGCAGCTCTAGTGAGACAAAATGGCTTGTAAAAAGCTGCTTTTTAATATTATTGATCCATCTAGCCCATTATCCTCTCCACTGATTAGCAGTGGTGCTCTAGAGTGTCTGAGAAAGGTCTTTCTCATCTCTGCTACCCAATATCCTTTTTAACTAGAGATGCTAGGAACTGAACATGACTTTTGTGCATGCAAGGCATGTGCTTTACTGAACCACAGCCCAGGGTGCATACAACGAGGTTCTTCTACGTGGGGATGGGAGACTGCGACAGTGATGGTGGCTGCTGGCAGCTGTACTGTGCTAAACTGAAGTTTGTGTTCAATTCCCTTCAAAGTGTAGATTGTGAAATTGCACAAGTTTTAGGATCCTTGTGCTTCTTCCTATTAGTTCTAGTGCAGAAGCTTCCAATATTGGATTGTTAGGCTCTGCTTGTAAACAATAATTTGCAAGAAACTTGAGCAGATTCCTTAGGTCTAAGAATTTTTTTTTCCTGTTGAAATTAGTAAGAGCAAATAATTGTAAATCAAAATACTTCACCTTTTACCTACACTGAGATGTGAATTGTGCTCAGTTGTATATTTAGTGCTTGAAAAGCAATGCAATATAACCATAAGCACACTGATGCAATTAATTTCATTTCTAAAATCTGTATACTGCCCTTTGATGGTTTATAAAAGGAAAATAGTATCAAGAAGAATCAAAGTCTCATTATAGTTTTACACACTGAACACTGCAATCATATACATGTCTCCTCAGAAGTAAATATTGCTGAATTCTGTGGTCCTTACTCTCAGGAAATTGTGCATAGGAATGCAACAGTAATTGTTTAAAATAACCAGATAATACAAACAGGTCATTGTCAGCCTTTTAAACTCAACTGAGGGAGGTATTTGGGGTTGCAAAATTGATAGTGACAAGTAGCAAGATCTTTTAAATGGTTTCACCTGTGCTGTCAAATTTTGAAATAGAGCCCTGGTTAAGGTGGCAGGTGGGATATAAAAATTTCATAACAAAGTAGGGAAAAAACAAAAGAGAAGGGGAGTTTTTCTTGTACCTCTGCCCTTGGCCATGTAAGTATAGTCAGCTGGAATATAGCCCAGAAACTAATTGGCAACCTGCAACAACAGTTTGCTTATTAGGTTGGTCACTTAACACATCTCCACAAAAGAGGACACTGATTTGTGTAAAATTTGCTTCCGCTAATTCATATGTACAGATACAGATGTAGAATTGATTACTACAATTTTCATAGACGTACAATATAGTGAGAAAGACTGGACAGGTGATCTGTGTGCTTGCTCAATCTGCCGTCCAGGTGCTGCTTTTGATGGGCAACTTCAAAGTCCCTGCTCTCCCTTCTTATGGGTCTTTATCTTTAAAACCAAATAGCTCACCAACTAGAGGATTCCTTCAAACAAAGGACTGTCCTCTGTGAAGGAGAGCATATGGACACCCTATTGTTTTTGCCCATTGTGGTTGATACAAGTCAACACCCTAGCTGTTGAACAATGAAGGGGGCTAAAATACATTGTATAACTTGTTATGGATTACAAATGAATATTAATATTAATGTCACAGAGCAAGCATGGCAGTTAATGAATATTAATTCACTTGTTCCCAGGGGCCACTCTAAACTTCAAACTCAGTTATTTTGAGACCAATGCATTCACAAGCATAATCTTAAGGTACTTTATTCCTAATGACACAGAAGCTAAACTACATGGGATGTAGGAGATTTGTGACTGGTTCTCACTTTTAGTTTTTAATTAAAAATAGCCATGGGGTGCTTTGATTTGAGTTGGATCAATGGCCCTGTGGGAGGGGCAGTCCAGCAGTTTTGGTGCTGACTCCTTCCTTTGTGCCACAGCTCTGAACTAATTTAGAGCTGCCTGTGGCTGCCTTGAACTGAAAAGGAAAATATTGGGAGGTTTAATCAAAGATCTCCTGCAGTCACGTGTCATTTGGACTCATTTTCTTTCAATAAACTCCACATTCTGCTGTAACCAATAAGCCATACTTTGGATAGTAAATTCAGTCTATGAATAACATATTTGCTAATAGGCCAGAAGTATTATGTACAATACTGACTTCATTACATTGCAAGTTTCAGCTGCTAAAATGGGACAAACCTTTAAATGGTGTGTGCCGGTTTCTGTAGAATCGTTCTGTTGCTTGTTCCATTCTATGTTCTCTAGCTGACTGTTGTTCACATATTAAAAGAAAAATGTGTGAGGCAAAATGTGTGTATTTATAATGTATTTCCATAATTTCATTTCAGGAGTAACTGGATAGGCAGTAGAAAACATTTGACATTCTAAGTCAAATATTAACAGCTCTCATATCTCAGCTCCAGCTTTGCTACTTTAGTGACAGTGTCTTGTCGCTTTGGAATCTGCTCCTGTTGTCAGCTTGATGCATCGCTTGCTATGTAGGATTTAATTCTCTGCTGCAAACAAAGTTTAAAGATTCTGTGGCCAGGGTGGGGTGTGGGATGGGTGTGTGAATTATCAAAACATGTTATAGTGATACTGTTTTTCCATAACACATTGACTTCTCCAAAGTCCCTGAACGCTCCAAGAAAATTGGATGCTTTTATTTCAGTAAAAAAAATTATCATAGAAAATAAGTTCTTTAAAAAGAATTCATCATGTTTTGGCTCTAGTTGAAAAGAAAACATCAAGGCTTAGACATGTGTGGTGTATCATTCATCTCCACTCCCCACCCCCACCCCAGTGCATCTCCAGTTGTGTTCCTGCCTAGGAAATAATCCAAATCCCCAGAAGTAATGCATACCAAAAGCTAGATTTACTAGGCATTTCAAGAATGATAATATGCCACCCCAATCTCTGAGTGGTGCAAGATTCCAGGGGGTTCCAGGAGCTTACCCAGGGTTCAGTTTCCTTGGAATGAGGGAGAGCAGGTACACTGTGGTGTCTTTTCAATATATGGTTTATTTCTACATATATACAACCTGAGCCTAAAATGGAGGGGATTACAGCATTAAAACCCCCAGAAGGTCTAGCTCCTCCAATAGCCACAGCTTGGGAGGCATGCACAGATCAAGCATTGCCCTCACTCTCCTGCTTCTAGCCCAGCTTCCTCACACACTACCTATTGTGCTTCTCACTATCAGCCAGGTGAGGGAGGAGGGGGCCCAGCCATTTGACGTCTGGCACAAAGCCATTTCCTTTATTATACTAACTACCATGCTTAAGCCCATTAACGCATCAAGAAGCTGGTCTGGCTACTTCCAACAATGGAATCCTCCATTAGATTTTAGCCCTTGCTGGATCCAGGATGCCCCAAATTAGAAGGGACTCTGGCATTGTATAGACTAACCCCCACCCTCCCAAACTCACAACAGTAAGAATTATCTGGTTTGTTCCACCCAGATTTTGATGTGAAAGACTGAAGTCTGCATAAGCAGGAGAGAGGAGCAAAAGCAGGCATCTGATGCAGTTAAATCGGTGGGATGCATCTCCCCATAGGTTGGTATATGAAACCTGTGCCAGCCTGTTAGGAGAAGGGTGGCTGGCTGGGTACTGCTGAGGCAGAGGATCTTTGCTTCAAATAGCCAATGTGACATAGGAAGTGAGAGCAATGATATTTTACACTTTATACCAGAGATGGGGAGCTCCTGTTGCTCTTGGACTCCAGCTCCCATCAGCCACAGCCAGTAGGGCCAATGGCCAGGGATGATGGGAGTTGTGGTTCAGCAACATGGGAAGCAGGCACAGGTACCTGTATCTCCCATCTCCAACACCCATTTATAAAGCCTCCCTTCCCTTGTTCGTCCTGCCTCACCAGAGGTATTCCCCTTGTTAACAGGTGCATTTGCAGTTTTAAATGAAAAACTAGATATACGTAAAGTTTATGTTCCTGTCATGATTCCTTAAGACTTGTCTCCACACAGCAGTCTTCAGACATTTATAATCATGTTAGCCCAGACTCCAGATTTCTGGAAATTAACTTTCTGCCTAATGCATAATTAAATAAGTGCCTCCAGAACATGACTAATCTATATTATAAAAATAAGAAGTAAGTACAAAAGATCAATAAGGTATGGGAGAGGCTTTGTGTTTGAATTTTGGTATTACAGATTAGTTTTGAATTTGATAAACCTTGAAAAATAGTCTTAAGATGTTCTTCCATGCAAAAAATTATTGCATGCATTGTGGTGTCAGAATCAGAATGAATTCTGGAGAGTTCCTTAATTTCATGTTTTACTTGTCATATATGTTCATATTCTGTTCCTGTCTGTTGTTTAGAACGTTTCTACCACACGATGTGGTAGTAACATTAGCATGGGAGAAAGGATGGACCTATTGGGCAGTCTCACCATCGCACTGAGCCTTGGATGAGGACATTGTTTCTATATTTAGTTGCTTTATATGGAGTAAACATAATGGTTTGATTTATGAACAGGCAGTGATACAAACAGATGTTATGCATGCACAAGAGATAACTATGTATGTAGAGCTTTGATACTCTTTTTTTGTTTGTTTTTATACTCTTGTTTCAGTTTAGCTCCCCTGCCCCTGCAGGCTTGCAAAATATTAACTTGGAAGCAGCCCTTAATTGTTTTTAAGTTATCAACACCATACTTCACTATCCTCCAAATGGTTCAGTAATTTTGCTTCCTTTGTTACACTGTACCATGTTTTGCCTGTGAATACTTTCTTTCTTTGGGTGTTTTCCGATGCAACCGTATAGCATTTTAATAACTCTACTGCCTTACTAATAAAAGAACAGCTATTTAAGCAGCTATTAAGTTAACATTTCTTTGTTTTGTGCCTACTGAGAAGTAAGGAAGGCTTGAACCCTCCAATATCCCTGGCATTTAAGGTCTGATGCCTGTTTTATGGGTAGTGTTCATCCCTTGAAATCCATTGACTTGTTCTTTAAGTCCATTCTGAATATAACTTAGTTTATTATAATCCTACATGTATGACCACATTTCTATCTGTGCAGAATACTTGTTTGTGTAGATATTTACACGTAGAAGAATGGCAATTATTTTTTCATACCTTCTGAAATCTCCTGCCATTTCTATATGCTGCCTTTCTTGACTAGGTTTTGCTGACACTGACAGAAGCTTGCTTTTCATAACTTAAATAAAAAGAACACTGCATAGAACATAGCAATAGATGTAAATATTGCAATTTTCCACATGAACTGCTGTGTTTTATTTTATACTCAGTTTACCTAGCATGCAATCCATACCCAGCTGAAATTATTTTCCGTGGACTGTAATGACTTCAGCCATGGTTTTCAAAGAAAGCCAAAGAAATCTTTCTTTTACACATCTTAATAATAAAGCTAATAGCTTCAGAACTATTTTTGTAATACTTGTTGCCCAGATAGATCAAAATAGTTTGATTCTGCCTCCTTGTTCCAGGAATATTTCCCAGTTACTTGGCAACGAAAAGTAACCCTTTGAGAACTTTGAAATAATAATAACCCCAGTGTACCAGCCAACCTCCTTTTGTCAGACAGTGAGTAAGTTTGGATCTGTGATACATAGACAATGCAAGTTGGGTTTGGTGAGAAGATGCTTGTTTTCTCCATGCAGCAAGGTAGCTTGGTACTCAACAGAGATTAGTTTGATTGAGGTGGAGTTAAGGCTAAAGAAAGTAGCTATGTGACAAATATGGCTTCATTTGCCCTTGTTCTTGCTCTTTCCTTGTGGCAGGCTGAAACCTGGATAAGTTGAGTGAATCTTTTCTGGAGTGTTGAGTTCAGAGGATCATCTTGATAGAGGAAATTAGACCAAATTCTTCTACATTTCTATGGTTCTATCACTGTCCTGTTTATCTGAGTCCATTATTATTTATTTCTCTTATAACACTGAGTGCAAAAATGAGGGGTGTGTGTGTTTGTGGAAACCAGTTTAGTAAAGAATAAATAAATGTGTTTATCTTGGACACACAATGTGCTTCAGTTCGTTGAGTTTTGATCTTTATTTAAATCATGCATAGCTTCTTATTCTCTATCCCACCCTCTCAAATGGATCTTGCACATAATATCAAGCTCATATGGAGTACACACTCCATATTCTCTTCTGGCATGTAAAGTTAAACCAGCTTGTTTATATAATCTAAGTACTTGTCAGTTTGTGCTTTTTGAGTGTTGTGTGCAATTCTGTTTGCTTATGTATATTGTCAGTATGAGTAGATCTTTCGCCAACCTGGCTGGCTGTGCTTTTGCTTTGTTAATACTATAATCAGATTGGTTGGGAGACATAATGATCATATAACCAAACAACTACACTGGCTTCTTTTGCAAAAATAAACTATTTGTATATCCAGTGCTGTACTGTGTATATCTGCCTCTATGACAAAGCACACTTTAAAGACGACAGAAGACAATCTACACATATCAGTGATAATGTGTTTTGCTGTGCCTTGCACAAATCAACCTAAAATCTCTTGCGTAGGTTGGGAATGAGTAAAATTGAGTGGATCACACTTGCAGTGATGGTGTGACTAATACATAGCAAAGTAGTATGGGTCATATCTATCATTCTCCAGTGGCTAGTGCAAGAGTCCTTGCACTAATGGATGGGCAAAGTTGCACAACAAAATATTCCACCTAGGAATTGCACTAGCAGAAGCTTCTTACTCAACAATAGATTTTTGTTGAACAACCTTAAGTCATGTACTTGTGTTTTCTCTTGCACCACAACACTATGTGACTTTAACTTAGTGTTGCACTGGATACAGTTCTATGTATAATATCCTTTATAATGTTTCAAATATGTTCGTGCATTGCAGTGGGTTGGACTAGATGACCCTTGTGGTCCCTTGAAATTCTACAATTATATGATTCTACCACATTAACATTTAGATCATGAGAAATGTTACTATGTTCTAGCCAAACTTTGATGCAACCAGATGATTGCAAAGTGATAGCAATGGAAGAATCCAAGCTCGTAGTTGCTAGTACTTAGCATCTGTTTTTCACATTAATTTCAGAATATAACCTACTGTCAAAACATGTGAAAGACAAGTAGGAAGTTAGGTTTTGTACATTACCTTACAGGGTATTGAAGTAGTTATATTCACAAATAGAAGAGGTTATTTTTGTTGTTGATCTGGAGACGTTCCAAATTTTCTGTACATAAGGTACATAGGACTAGACAAATATTGCTTTTCAGCCTCCAGCAACAAATAATATACCAACCTTTACTCATATTATCTTATTTTAGTTACAGAGGTAGAATCTACACACGTATAAAAAACTCTTGTGAAAGTGTTTTTTTAAAAAATGTTTTGAAAAATACATTGAATTTTCATAGCTCACTGTTGCCATCCAATATGTATTTGTATATTGCACTTTGCAACACATTTAAAACATTTTATTTGCAGCTGTATAGCTGAGTCCTTAGTGCCATTACTCCCTGTAATTGCACCATAATGGCTGTGCTAGTTGATGCTGCTAGTTAATTTGCCCCCCAGCAGCGATCATTGCAGAGGTTGGTACTGTCCCATTGGATATGTCAGGCACACTGTCACTCACTCACAAAAGAACACAAAGTCTGGAAGTGTCTTTATGGTCAGTGAAGGTCTGCTAGGATTGGGCCGATTAATTTGGAGAAGCTATAATTTTTATCCAGCTGATCTCCAGGTGAATTTCTTTTGAAATAGTATGCATAATATGCATCCACCAGAGGAGAATAAGAGGACCTAATTCTCAGTGGTATACTGGAAGCCCATATTTCTTATATCTAACCTTCCCCTCTTTTTTTGTACTGAAAAGACAAGTGATACTGAACGGAATCCTGGAAAGATACACGAGTGAATGTAGTTTTCCTTTGGGGCTTATCCACACGTGCCTTTCCTCTGCTCTTTCCAGGCGTGGTCTGCACTTTAAAGCTCCATGTCCAAGTGCCCGTCCTTTTTTTGCTCCAGAGTTTTCCCCATGAAACCCCATTCTTAAAAACTGAATCAGAGTAAATGGCAGTCCCTCTACCTTTTGACATAAATGCCATTTTAAAGTATATGGTGTTGAAGGTGGGTTTGTGGATTGTTAATTCTTTGTGCAATTGTCCTACCCTTTCAAAGTACTGGACTGGGTGTATTCTTGCAGCTAGTTCACACATTACATCTACCATTTGTCTCTGTGTTGTATGAAGTAATTGAACATTAGGTCAACTGTGAAGTCATGCTTGTGTGTAGCAAAGCCAGAGCCTGCTGAATTAGGGAAGCTTAGGTTTCTGAAGTTGAACCAAATTCAACAAATGTACAAATGCAGTGCTTCTCTTTTCTGTTTCATCTTTTGTTGCAGGGATATAAAGCTACAGTTGTTCCTGCCATCTTCTGCTGTCGGTTAATAGAACAGACATGTTCAGCCCAAACTAGAGAAATTCACAACTTTGGTGAACAGAGACTTGTGCAGTATGTTCTGTACCAAACTGAAAGACCTGAAGATCACTGGCGAGTGCCCTTTTTCATTATTGACCCAAAGTGGGATTTCAGATGAAAATGAGGATGAATGTGCAGAAGTGCCAAATAGTTCCAAGGCTGCTTTGCCAATTTGCAGAGAAAAGACTACGCACGGGAACCTTCCACAAAGGAAAACCAGCAGGAGCCGAGTGTATCTGCACACTTTAGCTGAGAGCATCTGCAAACTCATCTCTCCTGAGGTATAAATTATTATGATGCTTTGATGAAAGTAGTCTAAAAGACCATTCTAAGGGAGGTTTTAGAAGAATGCCTTTTAAGCAATAATTTTAAAAGCAAGACAAATCTTCACTTGATGAACGCTCCTTTTCAAACTCTGTTCTTGACGTTGGGTTCTGTTTTCATTTCTAATTATGCCTAATCCTGTAGTTTGAAACCTTTTGCATTTATTTAATCTTACTTCACTACATCTTCTGTGTTTAGGGAAAGGAAAAGAAGGATGATTAAAAGCAACTCAAATATGAAATGTTTACTCACACATTGATTTAGCAGTTACTTAGCAAAATTTAAAGAGGTTAGCAACCTATGTGAAGTAAGGGTGGATAATATTTTGTGCCAGATGAACCATGGCAACATCTAGATGGAGCAGGTTTACTCAGATTTATTCCATGTCAGGGCACCTTAATTTATTATAGCAGTGAATTTGTTGCAGCATTGATTAGAGAGATGCTTTCTGGAGCTTATTGCCATTCTGGCATACTAACATGTGAAAGTTCGGAACCATGTGAGTGGGCACAATCACATATGTCTTTCCCAACCAAACATATCCTGTAAGGAAGAGGTAAGATGAAGGATCTTTGCAACTGGCCTGCTGCACTTGGCTTTCTAATTTTTTGATGACAAAATAGGAAGCCATGGGGAAGCAGCTGTGGTAACAAATGAAAAACCCAGGATTGCAATCCCGTTATCACAGCCAACCACCAAGTTATGTTTTAGACCACATCTCAAAAAACAAAAGATATTGTAGAGCTGGAAAAGGTGCATGGAAAAGAACTACTCAAAACCACCTAGTTTTAATGGAAAACAGTTGGAGCAACCTACATATAAATTGGTACAATATTGAAAAATTGATGTGTAGATAAGTGTGGCTTACACTGAGCACAACAGAGGGGGTGGTGTCTGTCATCTCATCTACTGAGCACTGTAGAAGGAATGATTGCTAAAGCCATAGTGTGGATAGAGGATTGCTGGTTAATAATAATAATAATAATAATAATAGCTGTGGAAACTGGAAAGGGGGAAATGAAAACTTATGGATTATAACCACAAACTTTCAGTCCAGAAATCCAATATACTATTAAGGGCAAGGGCAATTTTGCTAATTGGATGCCAAATCTTTACATGCTCTTTATTACACATCTCGGCCCCTGCTTTTTACGGAATGTGTTTTTTTAGTCTTCTCCCCATTGTAGTTGTAGGAAAGGCATCCATAACTCAAAACCAGTTTATAAATCCATGGGAGAGTGTGACAAGAAGCAAATTTAGTGGGCAATGCAGCAATGTCTAAAAGCATTCCTTAGTGAGACAAGTAGCTTCCCAACATTGAGTCAGACTAATGGTTCATCTGTTTCAATGCAGTCTATCCCAAATATCATCAGTTTTTTGGATTCACTGAAGCATAGATCTTTTTCATTGCACCACTGTATGGGGTTCTTTAAAAAGCAATTGGGCAAGTTGTCTTCCACATGCAAAGTATACTGCCTACCAGGAGTAAGGTATAATATTCATGCTGCTGTCTTTTAATTAAGGGTGCTTAAGCTTAAGCTCATTTACCTGAGTGTAAACTCAATAAGACTTATTTCTAAATAGACATATATAGGATTGTGCTGTAAAATATATACTAAAAGAGACATCTCATTTTGTTATATTTAATGTTACATAATGTTAATGTATATACTGAAATGATAGGATTCAGATATAACCATAGAACCTTTATTGTTGCCTCTAGACTTGGCTTGCAGTTCATTGAACTGGTACGCTGACTGAGAAAATGTCCCAACATTGCTTTCAAAGGTGCAGATTGTTGCACGGGCATTGACTACATTATAGGGGTGGGGCGGGGGTGGGAATATGCCTATCTATAAAAACTGGGGCGGAGAGATTTCAGGCTTGCTGGATTTACCAGCAAGCTTTGTTTATTTCAGCATCCTAAATTAGAGAGAGGGAGTCATTTAGTTGTTGCTGTCATTAAATAACTGAGGCAGAAACCCTTGTTGATCTACTGCAAAGCACCCAGAGATCTCCCAGTAGATTGTGACCAGCTTTCTTTCCCCTGCCTTAGATGGTCTTAGATTTGTTTAAAAGTTACTATCTCTCATCACTGGATGTACGCAGTTTCCACATGGAAAACTCAAAAAACTGAGAAGGTGACTATCGTGACTTGGATCAACACATGCTGCTTCCATTGACGTCAGTGAAAGGTTGTGTGCAAATATCATGGGGAGTGTATAGTGTGGCCCAAAATAGCATTTGATGAGATTCAAGATACTAGCAAATTCATGTGGAGCTTTGTTTGTTTCTTAATTCGTTGGTTGGTTTGTTTTTTAAGAATATTGTAAGTCCAGACTCAAATAAGGAGTTGGAAAGCGCGGCACATATTGTTTCTATTTAGATATAAATATTAATTACATCTTGTTTTAATAAGGTATAACATTCGTTCAGTTGTTCTTTTTATTTCAAATGTAGAACACAGCCTTCATTACCAGTGTAGTTTTTTCATGAGGCAGCATGGACATACTTCCATTCTTCCTCCCATAAAACTGCTGTCTACAAAGTTCTGTGTGTCACACAACAAGGTTAATGAAAGACAATAAAACATTATGTGCCCAAGCTTGGAGATCCTTTCATTTTCACAATATTCTCATATATACTGACTCTCATATTAGGAGGCTAAATAGATAAATAGTTCAATCCTCTATTGGGGATTTCCTGCACTGAACAGGGCATTGGACTAGGCGACTTACACAGCCCCCTCCAACTCTATTATTGTATAATTTGGGCATTCTGATACATATATAAGTCCTGAGACACAGTTGACCAAACTTCATTATGTGTTAACTGAAGGGAATTGCAGCATTATCTTTCTGTCAAAGAAATACTTCAGTCCTGAAAGCTTCCATGTGTTCCATTTTCATAAGTGACATCTATCCTTCATTTCAATGAACTGAGTCAATACAGACACAGATCACCTTCCTTCATTGAAATAAATGGACAGGCACATACAAATGGGAAACTATGCGTGCTCATCAGAGCACTCCATGATTAATCACTGAGTTGGAAGGGCTGAGGAGTAACGAAGTGTATCCAGTGGATATGAGCACACTGCATCTTCATTTGTCCACAGTGGCATGTGAATATGGACAGTATTTGGAGAGTAACATCTGTAGCTGGGCATCTTATCAACGGAAGGGGCTGTGTAGTAAATTTCCATAACAGTGATACGGGCCCACAGTTGCTTGTTGTGTTAGTATGGGAACTTACAATGTGATCTCCCTGATCCATATCTAGTCTAGTGGCAGGTGCTTTGACACAGAATGCTGGTCATCTGAAAACATCAGTCACATTACACTACACCATAATGTAGACAGGACAAGTTGGGGACTCCAATGATCTACAAATAGGTGTGCTCTAATTTTGGATAGAATTGCATTCTACCTTTAGTATAAGGTTTGCAGCTCATTCTAATATGAAATTCTAATATATGAAATGCTTAAACTTGACATTTGAATTAATATGACTTTTCTCCTTTCAGTATGAAAGGTTATATCTTGCATTTCAGAGGACACTAGCAAATAATAAAATAAAAGAAATCAGGTAAGTTAAATAAGTTAACTTTTTGCAACCAATAACAAGTGCAAAAACCAAATAGGAAGTTGGATCCCATTTACGGTAATGACTGCACAGATTATATAACAAGCCCCTATGTTAGTGAAATCAGGTACCATAAATGCCAAACACAGTCTTAAGTATTAAGGTATCAAACAATTGTTCAACATTAAGACACTGGAAACTTTTATCAGTATGTCATTGTACCAAGACTGAATTTTGAGCAGTATTCCCTTTAGAGTTTTCCTCTCTCTATTGCGAAGACATTTTGTGTTTGCCTGTTCCTACAAATGGGAGTTGCAAAGTTGTCCTTAGGCGTGAGAACTAATAGCTTTAAAAAGTAGCAGACTTTTACTTTTATTTAAAAATATATTCAGCTATATATTTCCCCTAAGAAAGGGAGGGGGGTTGCATAGGAGTCATGAATCTTTATAATGAAAATTCAAGTCAAAGCAGGGATTGGACAAGGAGGCAAAATTTCATAGCAGTCTTGCCTAGTCTCTGATCCTGCCACTCCTGGAAGCTAAAATTCCTTTCTTAATAACTTTTGTAGAACTTGAACACTGTGGCACTATGATTTTAAGCTAATTAGCTGTGAATCCTACTGATATTCAAGTGTAGGATTTGCTTCCAGTTACTTGGCGGTGGTGGTGAAGATACAGAAAGATGCTTGTTCTTTTGCTAGTGGTTGTGTAGGAACAGAATAGGTTGTATGAGGAAGAGACACAAAAGCATTGGCTTGCTTAATTGTTTTTCTGCAAAATTGCTTAGTTAGCAGATAAGAAAGAGTAACTTAATTTTTGAGTAAATGGGAATCTAAAGTTTTCTCAAATTAACTTTGCGAATTGGGTTGCTTATCTGTTGTTTTATTTTTTTCAGGTTTTATTACCTGAAAATTAATTTTTACTGTGGATTAGGTAGTTTTTAAAATTCTGTTTTGCATCATTTATAGGAATTCTGAGGAAAGAGAAGACTTTGAAAAGCTAATCACTGACCATGCAAATGCATCAGGTAATGAGATATCTATGGCAAGCAATTCCACTTAATGCAATTAGTTGATGCTTATTAAACATTTGAAGTGGAATAAGTTCTGCACACACCACTCACATTTGTGACCAGCAATAGTGATGGATCATGTTGATGCAGTTCATATTTTGAGGACACACTAGGAGATAATAAATTACTTTCAGGGCTAACAGTGCAGTCTTCATTATATGGTGTTGATTCAACCTGGTTTTGGCTACTGTGGGAGATTGACAATACAAGCAGATATTTCCTAGTGCAATTGTTAGTTTAAGAAAATATTTGTGTTGCAGAGGATTTGTATTTTCTAGGCACTCACTCAAACTACTTGGTTGCTGAGAAAATGTTATCCTTTCTGCTTTATTGTGATACTAAGTGCTTTGTGTCTATTACAAACAAGCACATCTGTTGCAAAAGTGAGTATATGTGCCTTTAAAAACAAGCTTCATTTTTAAATTTTTTTTAAATTATATACATCAGGAATGGGAAACCTATGGCCTTCAATGTATTCTTAAACTCCAACTCTCATCATCCCTGCCCTGGAACTGATGGGAACTGGAGTCCAACAACATCTGGAGAGTCATAGATTCTCCATCCCTGCTTTAGAAGGAGAGCACTCCCTCAAGCAGCCCATAATACTTAAAGTGATTAAATATAAACAAATCTCCCTTCCTCCCCAAGTCATTTGGTGAACCCTTTTGCTTTGTTATTTTGCTTTTTTGGATGGGTAGCTGCACACTCCTTCCTCTTTAGTATTAGAGTACAGTGGTACCTTGGGTTAAGAACTTAATTCGTTCTGGAGGTCCGTTCTTAACCTGAAACTTCTTAACCTGAAGCAGCACTTTAGCTAATGGGGCCTCCCACTGCCGTCATGCCACTGCTGCATGATTTCTGTTCTCATCCTGAAGCAAAGTTCTTAACCTGAGGTACTATTTGTGGGTTAACGGAGTTTGTAACCTGAAGTGTCTGTAACCTGAAGCATCTGTAACCCAAGGTACCACTGTACACACCTCCTCTGCAATGTCATCTCTCTGTCATGAGGTGATACATGAACATTTTGGCATTTCTCCTCTAGAACTTGCACGCATACCACATGTGTTGCTTTCCAGTGTACAAGTGCCACCTCAGACTCCAAAATCCATGTTTGCTACCAGATGCTTACTTCAGCTCTTAGATTTTAGTAAACTCTAATCCACTTCTTTTTTGTCCATCTGGAAGGACTCTTTTTCATTGTCCTCCATTAGAAATGGTTACCAATTTTTTGCTCAAAACAAATAAGACGTGCAAAGTTGTTGTTACAACTTGTCCAAATGATTTCTAAACAGCTTACGACTATTAAATAAATCCATAATTAAAATTCATTAATTAACATATACAATAAAACAATTAAAGACGTAACAATTAAAAGTTTAAGAAATTTAAAATAAAATAAAATTGCAAAGCAAAGTCAACAAGTACTTTGCTCCTACCATACAAGGTTTTGTGAGAATGAGAGGAGATGCCTCCAGAGACTGATCTGAAATGGCTTTGTTAGTTTGAAGATGTTTAATAGTGGGAAACTGGTTTGGGGTGAAAGAAAATGAAACGCAGAAGGATTAAAAAAAATCAAAGGCATACTGATTAGAAGAATGCTGGTATAAAATGTTTTAACTTTGCAGGAGTTCCAGTAAACATTATGAAGGAATCGCTTGGTGAAGAGCTTTTCAAAATATGCTATGAAGAAGATGAACATATCCTAGGAGTTGTCGGGGGATCCCTCAAAGACTTTTTGAACAGTTTCAGTACTCTTCTGAAGCAGAGTGCTCACTGCCACGACGCAGAAAAAAAGGGTAGACTTGAAGAGGTCTCAATACTGTGCTTGGAAAAGGACCCAGATTTCTTAAACGTGTACTATTTCTTTCCCAAGAAAACAACCAGCCTCATCCTGTCCGGCATTATCAAAGCAGCAGCTCACATTTTGTATGAAACAGAGGTTGAAGTGACGGTGATGCCCCCTTGCTTCTGCAAAGATAGCGCTGAGTTTATTAACCAGCCATATTTGTTGTACTCTGTGCAAGTCAAAAGTGCAAAGCCATCCTTATCTCCATGTAAACCTCAGTCTTCTCTTGTGATTCCTGCTTCTATGTTCTGCAAGACTTTCCCATTTCATTGCATGTTTGACAAGGATATGGCTATTCTGCAAGTTGGCAATGGTATAAGGAGACTGTTGAGCAGGAGAGAATTTCAAGCAAAGCCAAACTTTGATGAGTGGTTTGAAATCCTGGCCCCTAAAATAAACTCCACGTTTAGTGGGATCATGACAATGCTAAACATGCAGTTTACTATAAGAGTGAGGCGAGGGGACAGCACTCTTAAAAGGTCTACAGGGGTAAGAACAGGTTTATCATATTTATATTTCTTATTTTTTCATCCCATCTCTAATTCAAGTGTGCAAATGCAATAGTAGCTTTGGATGTATTGCACAAGGCACTGAGTGAATAACTATGAATGACTCCTCCCATTTTGGGGGGCTTTGACATTGGGAATTTTGAATTTGAAGTTTCTCCTCATGTAAGTTTCTTTTCGTAGCAAAAGCGCAAAAATGAAAGCATAAAAAATTCTTGCATTTATTTGTTAATGCTTCCATTAACAATGGAATGCCTGTTTGAAGTAAGCTATTCTCCACTTGTTACATTTATTTTGGGGTCATTCCACTTTGGACTGCAGGTGAAGGGAATGCATGTTTTAACATTACCTCATGAGGAAAAGACCCTGCTCATGGAAAACAAGCGTATCAGGGAGAAAGCTAGGTTAAAACTCCACCTTAAGATATATTTCAATAAGGAGGTTTTTTAATAGCAAACCATCACAGGAGAGGATTTAAATGTGTTGGCCTTTGCCAGAAAATCTGTAGGATAGCCTGTAAGCTGCATCCAGACCCTACTCTGAGTTTTCTAGCTCTTACTGACCCCTATTTGTGCATGTGAGGTGCCTCTCCTTACCAAATTACCCAGTGGGAACAATAGTTGTTAACTTCCACCTAGTAGAGGGACAGCCCCTATTTATCTAAAGAGGTGTGAGATTTGTGATTTTATAATTTTATAATCATTGAGCTTCTAACCCAAAGCAGGTTGTCTGGAGAGAGTTTGGTACTATGGCTTAATAACTTGGCTATCGCTGCATTAGTAAACTTCCATGATGCACCAGAAGTCTCACATCACCTCGTCTTTCTCTCATTGTTTCAGGTTATGGACCTTAAAGGACAGATGATCTACATCTTTGAGTCCAGTACCATCTTGTTCTTGGGATCCCCCTGTGTGGATAGACTAGAAGACTTTACAGGACGTGGCCTCTATCTTTCAGATATTCCGATTCATAATGCACTTAGGGATGTTGTTTTAATAGGAGAACAAGCCCGAGCTCAAGATGGACTGAAGAAAAGGCTAGGAAAACTTAAGGCCACTCTTGAGCAGGCACACCAAGCCCTTGAAGAGGAGAAAAAGAAGACAGTAGATCTTCTGTGCTCTATTTTCCCCGGAGAGGTTGCACAGCAGCTGTGGCAAGGACAAGTTGTACAGGCCAAGAAATTTAATAATGTGACAATGCTTTTTTCTGACATCGTAGGGTTCACTGCTATCTGTTCCCAGTGTTCACCTATGCAGGTTATCACAATGCTCAATGAGCTCTACACTCTCTTTGATTACCAGTGTGGAGAGCTGGATGTCTATAAGGTAGAGAATTTATTGCACCAATTTGTCCTCCTCGAGAGGGGAATCAAGCTTGTAAGGTTATTTGAGTGATATAATGCAACTTAGAGAGGATGGTGTTAATCTGGAATAAGTCATTTAACAAATTATATACTTAAGAATGCAATCATCGGTGCATTTAATGTGGAGTAGCTTCATTGGCACTATTTATGAGTTAATGCCTCCAGGACTGATGATAGAACCTCATGGATGGTGGATGAAAGATAAATATTTTGACATTTTTGTCATAATGAAAGAGTAAAGCAGATTTTACAGCTCAAAATAATCTGCTCCAGCAGCCGGCAAGTTGCATCTTGCAATTAGCACGTCAAAACTCAAGTTCATGTGAATCTCAAGTGGGTGGGTGCGCTTTGGAGGGGACAGAGTTATGGACAACCCTTCCAAGTGTGTTCTGTGTTTTCTTCATGTGATTTTACTTGTATTCTAAGTTATTTATTTTAATGTTCAGGTAGAAACCATTGGAGATGCATACTGTGTGGCTGGAGGCTTACACAAGGAAAGTGAGACCCATGCTATTCAAATTGCATTGATGGCTTTGAAAATGATGGAGCTGTCCAATGAAGTGATGTCTCCACATGGAGAGCTCATCAAGGTTAGCATGTTATCTCAAATTCACTAAACTACTGATATTTTAAATACTAGCTGGTAGAAAAAAATATTCCTTATTTTCATTTTTTAGTGAAGTATTACCTAAAATGCTTTTCTTTCACAGTGATTTAATTTACCTCATGACCAGTGCTCTAAATTCATTTGTGCTTTTCTGTGCAGAATTGGGACCAAACCAGGTGTGATGTGAAAGATCCATGATCAAACCACCTATATTTTAGAATTTGTTTCATAGTATTTGTAGGGTGGGAGGTGTTCTTTTGAGGGCCGGAGAAGGTGGTTTTAACCCTTCCCTCATGCTGCTTTCCCACAAAAGTTTCTACTTGCCCCACAAATACTTGATTTGTGGTGGTGACACCTTTGATACTGGCTTAGCTGATGTGTTGCCACTGGATGTTCAGTTGCTCAGAGTACAAAGCAGTGTGAAATCCAGATTCTGTGAAGAAAGAGAAAGTTGTGTTTGGCTAAAAAGAAACCCTCACACGGGGTCAGACTGAGGACAAGGAAGAGTCCTAGGATGTGGGGAAGTTATGACATAGATTGTCCCAAACCAAGGGGGCTGAAGAAAATGAGAAAGAGCAGAGTAAGAAATGAACCAAGACAGGAAGTTGAAGGAATGATAGGTGGCTTGGGAAAAGGGCAGGGGAGATGGAACTGAGAGAAGAAGAAGATAAGCAGCCTGAAGGAAATTATGGCTGGGGGACCACAGTGCTTCAAGTCACTGTTTAAAGTCAACTGCTTAAAACTATTGGCTACCTCTGTCCAAAAGGACTGGTAAGGTCAGGGGGCAGGATTGCTAAAGAAAGTCAGTCCAAGGTGTGGAGGTCATAGGCGTTATTCCAGCTGCTGTTTCTATGGCAGCATTATCACCTGGCAACTTTTAGAGAGTAATGAGAGCCCTAAAGGGGCCAAGGACTGAGTTTTAAATATCGATCTGAACTGCACACCACTTTCTTTGGCTGCAAGATTCTACAGAAAAGATAAATATGCCTTGGCAGGAAAAAAAAATTATGTTTGGAAGATTTATTTTCAGCCCAGGCAGCATGTGAACATGAATCACCAAGTGGACATTAATAAAAATCAGGAGAGCACTGCTGGTGTGCTAAGCTCATCTTGCAGTCACTGTTCTTGCCTTCCAGTACAGTTACCAATGGCCTTTCTCACAAAGACACTTTGTCTAGCCAGAATCTCAGGGCTATCATTCTTCCCAGACTGCTAGAATTAATCTCCTTTTCCACTTGAGTTTCCACTGGTGTCTCATCAGCCCTCACAGACCTGATCCTAGGCTGACATCCCCTCTACTTTTCTGTCTCTTCCTCTGTTTTATCTCCTTTTCCCAGCAGGACAGTTTCCCACCCTGAGGCTGCATTCACATGGCAGTTTATTCCATGTCCTTGATGCTTTCCTAACGCTGAGATTTCAGACAACGTAAGAGCCACTTCCAGAACTATAGTGGAATATAGTGAACTATAGAAGAATACAGCACATGTTTAGCATTCATGTCCATTTTATTTACAAATGGATCTCTTCTGGAAGCAAATTACATGGAAGTGAGCACTAAACTTGTACTATATTCCACTATAGTTCCACAATGCAACCTAGCAGTACATGTCATAGATAGTGCTATTGGGAAATGTAGCCCTTAGACTCCACAGTCCTATTCCATAATGTTAGATTTTCCAAGAAAGGGACTAGTGTGTTATCTGTCCCTAACAGCTGGCATATGGGCTTAGCTCTTGGACCTTATCAGTAGAGGTTGTTTACACTTAATGTTTTCAATACACTTAATAATAGTTAACTCTTACAATATTTGACACTTGCTGTGTAATTGTATTCTATCTCAAAAGCTATCTCAAAAGCAGACTAATAATATCCTAAATTGAGTTTTCATTACTGTTAATCAGCATTCCTCTCGAAAGTCCCCTTGGTACCCATAAAACCACATTAATGTCACTATGGATAGCTCAGTTGGGAGAGTATGAGACTCTTAATCTCAGGATTGTGGGTTCGAGTGCCACGTTGGGCAAAAGATTCCTGCAGTGCAGACGGTTGGAGCAGATGGTTCTCATGGTTCCTTCCAACTCTACAGATCTACAATTTAATTATTTATCCCTTGCTTTCTTGTGGCCTACTAAGTATGAAGCATCTGCCTAGTTTTAGGGATAGCATGAAGAAAAGTAGTCCGTGCCTCACGAGGTATTGTACCTTGCAACTCAGCAAATCCAAAATTGGTTGTGGTTTCACTATAATATGGGAGGCACTTGGCTTTGCCAGTTCTCTAAAATTCCAAAGGCACTGACCCCTCCAACTCTTGGGTAACACCTGTGAAATACACTCGGGTGGATTTCATGCTCTTTATTCAGCTCATAGTGTGAGGAGGAATGGAAGTTCCCCCAGAATGTCTGATTTATATACATTATTTACACAGTGGGCCCCACGTGATTGGCTAATTCCGGGATTCTCTTGTAGGCCAATCAGGTTGCGGATTCACTTCCACCTGGAGCTGGATTGGGTGGCTCCTGTGGACCAATCAGACTGCTGCATTCGGAATCCTATTGTTCTAGGACCAATCAGACTGCTGCATTCTGAATCCTATTCAACTCAGTATATAACAACCTGCCTTCTGTTTTCTGGGCTTGATCACTTCACTAGCAGGTGGATGGATCCTAGTTGAGAGAAACATTTACATATTTATCTATTGATTTCAGGCTGCTAGGAATTGGAAAACACGTATGCATCGCAGAGTATTTTGTTTGATTATATTAGTAAAAGTTTGAACTGTGATTTGAATATGCTTCCATCAGTCAATGCAGGCGTTCTCTTGATCCTTTGGGCTTGTGTTAAGAACTTTCAAGTGATTGCCAACGCCAGCCTGTAAATTAGGAGACTATTCCTTGAACAGTAATGGTATTCTGATTGCAGCTTTGTACATAATTTCTGCTATGCAATATGCCCTTGTTTATGAACAAACTGCAAAGAAAAGACAGTGTGCATGTAACTCTTGAGAGGTGTTTGTTTTTGAGGATACAATATAAATAACTAATTGTTCTAGCTGTAAACAAGCAGCATTCTGCAAAGTATTTTGTTGGACATGGAAGAATAAATTGGCTGCATAGTATTTATCCTTTAAATGTAATTGTAGAATACAGAACAGGATTGTAAGTCATGGTAAGTGCTTGATTTGAGGGGAAGCCAAGATGAAAGAACTGTTGAAATAGTCTTAAAATTTGAGAAACACAATCTCCCACAAGTTCCTAAGCTAGAGGTTAGTGGACTCATTTCTCAGAAAATAGTCCACAGAACACCAGCTCCATTTGTCCCAACAAGGTTTGCTGGACAAGAACAAAACCAAAACTAATGTTCTGCAACAACCGTGCCTGTTGGACTACACTCAGACATTTCTGCACAAACATGCTTTGTTTTGACTAATGGTTATGCAGAGTATCAAAAGAAGTTTTCTGTTGTTACCATCTGACTACTACTCTTCAAATTGCACTGCTCATATTCTGGTCATAATCCACAATGATTGCAAACGAGCTAATAAAACTTACTGCGACTTTGATAGTTTGATTTTTGTCAAGTGTAACTGTCAAACAACATTATATATCTTCTTTTGTTTTCAAAAGATGCGCATAGGTCTGCATTCCGGCTCAGTCTTTGCTGGCGTCGTAGGTGTTAAAATGCCGCGGTATTGCCTATTTGGAAACAACGTAACACTTGCCAACAAGTTTGAGTCTTGCAGCGTTCCTAGGAAAATAAATGTCAGCCCAACAACCTATAGGTACAGTAGTTTACTATGCAAAGTTCTTATACTATGCAAGTGGTGGCTTGTTAATCACTTTCACATTTATCTGCAGCTTTCCCCCCTTTGCAAAGTACCGCATCACATTCTATGACATGGTTCTATTGAATTAGCAGAACTGTGGGGAGAGGTTGGAAGAGACTGTTTGTATTTGGATTTTGTGCTTGTTGGCTTTGTGCAATGCTCAGCAAAAGAACCACTGTCAGGAATGGACAAACCTGAATGTTATGGAAGGTTGAATAAAATGATCAAACAGTGATGTATTTTAATTTCGTATTGTATGCTTTTTGCATTTTCCTTTTAAATTGTAAGTCACTTTGAGACTTTTTTTTTTTGCTGTAACCAACAAGCAAAACAATAACAAATAATAGAGTCTTATTACCTATTATTTCCTGCATTTATTAACAATTGTATGATTTGCAGTACAATAAAAACTTACATAAAACAATTCCAGATACAAGAATAGTTAAACAATTGCACATACATAAACCTAGCACATTTGAAAAGGTAAGCAGGGTCAGTTATGATTTCAAATTGGATGGGGAACCATGTGGTTGAGATTCCTGCTTTGCAGGGGGTTGGACTAGATGACCCTCTTTTGGTCCCTTCCAATTTGCTATTCTATGAAAAACATTGTTTAAAAAAAGCGTATACAACAATTAAAAACAAGCAGATACCCTTTGATTCCAGTAAAACCTTGTTCGGATGGGAAGCCTATATGACCTAGCAATTTGTGTTGATGGCAGATACAGCACACCATCGTGCATAGAAAATTAGGGATCGCAGCACAATGTGATCCATAATGAAGTGAAGTAAGATGTTATGTCACTTGCATTGATACCACCAATGCAGTAGTTTAATACATGCATAAAGCTTTGCTGTGCAGAATTCACTTGTCCTCGGGCTTTCATTCTCTTCAATATCAGAGACAGATATATGCATATATTAGAAACGTGAGAAGAAATTCTCCAGATCTTTGCATTGCAGTGGTTAGTTCAGAGTGAAACTGTCACCCTCCCATGCAAAAAAGCAACAAATATGAATTTGTTTTGATAATATTGATCACCATTATTTAAAGGTTACATGTATATTATATTTAACCGCATTTCAATTTTTCTTGCAGGTTACTAAAAGATTATCCAGGATTTGTATTTACTCCTCGTTCAAGGCAGGAACTTCCTCCCAACTTTCCAAGTGATATTCCTGGGATCTGTTACTTTCTTGATGCTTACCTACAAGGAACAAATTCAAAGCCCTGGTTTCAAAAGAAAGATGCTGAAGATGGAAAAGCAAATTTCTTGGGGACACCGACAGGAGTAGACTAAGCTGTGCTTTCTTGCATTTTCAGGATGAGTTCTGTATGAACTGAACATTCAAAAAAAGGAAACATGACAGCACTTTAGCTTGTTAACACCTGAAAGCCAGTATTAAAATTACCAAAAAAGGGATATTACATACTACTTTTAATTTCTATTTTATGTAAAAATATATTAAGTCAGTGGCAGTTTGGAAGGGTGAGAAGCAGGAGCGGCCCATATTAGTGACACCTCGTGTAACAATGAAAGGGCGAAAGCCCAGGCACCTAATATTTCTTTTCCTCTTGCAAACAGCTGCTTTACCAAGGTGAGTCTGATAAGGGCTCCCTACTTCCCTAGAGTATGTGCTTGACACTTCTCTCGACTTCCCAGTCTTTAGGAATCACTTCTGGAGGGGCAGCATTCAAAACAAGCAGAACTGAACTGCTTGCTATATGAACAGCATAACATGTAGCACTGCTCTTTCTTGAAATATACAGTGGAACCTCGGGTTGCAAACGTGATCCGTGTGGGAGGCACATTCACAACCTGCAGCGTTTGCAACCCACAGTGCCGCATCTGCACATGTGCGGGTCGCGATTCAGCACTTCTGCGCATGCACAAAGCACGATTTAGCGCTTTTGCGCATGCACGAGTGCCGAAACCCGGAAGTAACCCGTTCTAGTACTTTCGGGTTTGGCGCAGTGCTCAACCCGAAATTGCGTAACCTGAAGCGTCTGTAACCTGAGGTGCCACTGTATTTGGGTTACATAGAGTTGCTTAACCAAGTTGTACCAACTAGTGGTGGGTGGGGAGGTGTTGCTCGCCAGGCTTCTCAACACTCAAGTGCCACTGCTGGCACCAAGAAGGATGGGGGAATGGCAAAGTGGTCAGGGAGTGTGGTGCATGCCTGGAAGAACCAATTCAATGCTTCCATCGCCATGTCTGCACTACACCAAGCTCTCTACCACCTCATCTCTTTCTTGGTAACTAGCAGTGATGCTTGGCATTGGGAAGCCAGGTGAGCAATGCCACATTGCCCACTGCTAGTTTTAAACATGCGCATGTAATACATGGCAAAGAGAATGTCTACCTAGGTGCAAGTGGAATTGGTGTCTAGCCTCTCATCCTCATTCTGCCTAGGGGGCCTCACAGATGCTACAGTACCACCAAAGGAGTAGCCTGGAATGACACTATAGGCCACCATTCATTTGATGGGGAGAAGGCTGTTTGGTTCATAAGCGGGGGAAGTGAAAACATGTCCAATCTCAGTTACTGCACACTGCAAGCCATGCAGTGTACCTTTTCTTAGTTTCCATTTACAGCCCATTATTACTATAGTAGTATTTTTAAATGTATAGCAGAAACAAAGATGACATTCAAGTAGCCCCATTACAGTATTTTAAATGAATTTGAACTATTCCTAATCTTAATTCTTCCAGCACCATACCTCAATGTGCTTTTTGTTATGCGGTGGATTTTCACACGGTAGCTCAGAATGCATTTGTAGTGCACGGCCTTCACATTGCATGCATACAGAATGCGCTACAGATCTGGACCTAGGCCCCATGTGTACACTGTGATACTTTATGCATTCGCACTGACACCAAAAATGGCTTGGCTGGATTTTTTTTTCTGCCTTTGCATCCTTCAGTCCTGTCAATTAACAAAGAGAGTAAAATTCTTGGTAAAATACTGACCAATTCTGAAACTAAGCTAGGAGGAATTTTTCCTTTTAGGAACCATTTTTCTGCCACACACTGGGTCCAAGCAAGTCTATGTAGTAAGATCTCCTTCCTCTGTCCTTCTCTCCCTCCATCTCAGACTTGTAACTGTTCCTCTTCATTTGTACAACTCCCTGAAATTATTCTTGACATACCTGTCTGGAAATGGAATTTCTTCTTTCTCAAACTTACTGCTCTGACTTCTGTACTTCCTACAGTTTCCTATTTCTTATCTCATGTGATATAAGAAGTATGTGTCATCATGAATATGTGTCATCAAAAGAATTAGGAAAGAGAGGAAGCATAACATGATGGCACAACCTCAATTTTTGATTAAGAGTTTCATGCTCTTTTACCAGCTGAGAAATGTATAATCTGGCCAAAGTGTCCTAAAATATGGGACATCCTTTTTCACTGCATTGCTGCATCATTTTAAGTAAAACTCTGTTCAGTATTAACCATTTCCTGAAAGGCACAGGTTAATCAGACATTAAAAGGCCAAGCATTTCACTTAGACTGCAATCCTATGCACACATACCTGCAAGTCCCTTTGAAGTTAATGGGACTTAATTTTGAGTAGGCCTACATTTGATTGCTCTTGCATATATGGTTATCAGCTGTTTTCAGTGCTAGTATACAGATATGTCACTTACTGCTTCCTGAACTTCTTTCACTGTCAATAAATTATACCAATGTGTGTGTATATGTGTGTGTGATTATAATCAAATGCTAAAACCTCTGTAATCAAACTTATAAATCTGATTTCAAGGGGAACAAATCTCCCTTGTTATGTATTATAGCAATAAATGTTTTCTTTTCGTTGCTATTTAAGTTTATATTAAAGTGTAAAGTAAACTATTCCACAGTATCGACCATTTCTAAACAGATTGCATTGCATTCATTACAGAAGTGTGAGGTGTGTGTGTGCATGTGTGTGTATATGTATATGTGTGTGGGTGGTATACTCATGTTTTGATATATGATGACTTCAATAAAAGGAAAAACACTTGAATAATGTACAGAACATTTTTCCCTATATGCATAAAAATGTAAGGTTGTCATCACGCTGCATAAACAGCCATGTCAACTCCAGCATAATGACAGGGTGGAAGGCAGCCTATCCCAGTTGTTTAATGGAAGGAGGGGTTTCACAATGCAATTTGGCAAACTACTCTTTGACGTCCCCACCCCCATTCAACGTAGCTGGAGTGAGGTTTAACAAGGGCACTTCAAAATACCACTGTCTGAAGTGGAGGGATAGGTGAGGGAATGGGTGAGGTAGTGGAGCTGGCCAAATTTGAGGGAAGGGTGGTGGTGGCAAAAGGGTTGGATGGCTTAGGTTGAGTGAAGTGAACAGGGGCAGTAGTTCCTAACAGCATAATAAATGTACAAAGAAGCCTGCCAGTCTTGTCCTAGTAAAGGTCAGTAAGGTTGAATCATAAGACAGCAAGAGCATGTAATTCAAGTTCAACCTTCTCCTTCAACTCTTTATGCATCCTGCCCAACACTTATGGAGCAGAATGGTGCCAAATTCCAGGGCTCTGGCACAGTCTGCATGAGGAAAGGTTTTCCATGTAAGACTATGGCATATCCCTGCTAGACTCCAGTGAGAGTGATCCAACATGGGTACAGATTGTAAGTTATACTTGGCCAACTTGGAAAATCGGTAGGTGAACCCACAGCATGATAAAAATGTCAAAGGGGCCCTACAAGAACAGACCAACGATCCAGTAATCTCTTTCCCAAAATGGAGAACTAGATGCTTCCAGGAAGTCAACAATGAAGAACATAAAGTCAGTAGCTCTTACCTAGTGTTGCTCCCTAGGATACAGTAACTAGAACATGGGGAGGCAAACTAGGGCCCGGGGGCCAGATCTGGCCCAATCGTATTCTAAATCTGGCCCGCAGACGGTCCAGGAATCAGCATGTTCTTACATGAGTAGAATGTGTCCTTTTATTTAAAATGCATCTCTGGGTTATTTGTGGGGCATAGGAATTTGTTCATTTCCCCCCAAAAAATATAGTCCGGCCCCCCACAAGGTCTGAGGGACAGCGGACCAGCCCCTGCTGAAAAAGTTTGCTGACCCCTGAACTAGAAGCATTCTATCCCTCCATCCTGATGACTAAATTGATGGTTCCACACTCCATGAATTGGTCTAAACCTTCCTTAAATTTATCTAAGCTAGTGGCCATCTCTTCATCTTGTGCCTGTGAATTCCATAAATTTGATTAATATATTATTTGTGAAGAGGTGCTGCATTTCATCTGTCCTGAAACTACTACCAGTCCATTTTCATTGAACGACCCTGTAAGTTCTAGTGTTATTAAATAGTAACACTTTGTGTATACACGCATTGATGTATTAATCATTGTCTTGAGGCAATTTACATATAAAATAATTAAACAGTTAAACACTCAAAAGTACAAAAAAGAGAGAAAAGAACATTGAAAATAAGACCAAAATTCCAACAAATGGACACTCGTGATAAAGACTCACTTATCCAGCTGGGAAAGTCTGTCAGAACTAAGATGCCTTCAATTGTTTCTGGAAAGTGGATAGTGGATGTCTGTTATATTTCAATAGGAATGCTATTCCCCAGAAAATGGGCAGCCCTGCTCCAAGTTACTGTAGAGTGAGCTTCTAAGATCTTTGGAACTTGTAGAAGAAACTCCACTACCACAGTCACTTTCCCCCCTAAATTACTCCTCTCCCCTGCTTTGCACACACAATGTTTTAGCCTTTTCTCCTAGGGAAGATGCTCCAATCTTGGTTGCTCGTTTACAGCTCTGTGCTATCCCTTTTCTGAGGTGGAGCAACTATAATTGTAAACAGTATTCCAAATGTGGCTACCTCATAGATTTGCAATGCTATCGATGAAACAAGTATACAGAACTGTTTTCCTGTTGTGTACTCTTGCCATAAGATACACTGATGGGTTCTGTTGTATTCAGAACCCAATATTATGCCTAGATGCGGGTGGTGCTGTGGGTTAAACCACAGAGCCTAGGGCTTGCTGATCAGAAGGTTGGCAATTTGAATCCCCAGACGGGGTGAGCTCCTGTTGCTCGGTCCCAGCTCCTGCCAACCTAGCAGTTCAAAAGCACGAAGTGCTAGTAGATAAATAGGTACTGCTCCAGCAGGAAGGCAAACGGCATTTCTGTGCACTGCTCTGGTTCACCAGAAGCGGCTTAGTCCTGCTGGCCACATGACCTGGAAGCTGTACGCCGGCTCCCTCGGCCAATAAAGCGAGATGAGCGCCGCAACCCCAGAGTTGTCCGCAACTGGACCTAATGGTCAGGGGTCCCTTTACCCTTTACCTTTACTCTTGCTATAAGATACACTGCTGGCTTCTGTTGTATGTATAACCCAATATTGTGCCCAGATGTTGACTGCTTTTGCATGTGCATGCCCTGGCCTACTTTGGTGATCCTATTTGTCTCTCCTCACAGTGGCCAGAAATAGCTTCTTTCCCACCTCATTTATTTGCATAAAAGGGCTGCAGACCTGAAAGTGCTTAACTCTGGACCAGTTCCAGGTGACTGAACAGAGACTAGTCAAGTGTAAATTGTTTGAGGGTTCAGGCTTAGAGAGGCAGGAAACGTATCTCCTTAGAGTGTGAGACTCCAAAAATAGAAACTCAGCTGCCATTTATAGTAAGGCTTACACCAGGTCACTGAATCATCTTGCATTTTATTCTCTCTCTTTTTACTTCTAACATGGAGAAGTTTTTTTTTAGGGATCTTAAGTCAAAGCCTTTGAGCATGACCATACTTTCGAGACTGTATTTCATTTCTAACAGTAATAGGACTGGGGAAAAAATTAGATTTCAAAAAATGGTTTTAAGCCAAAGTCTTAATCTATGACTTGAGGTAAATCTGTTGAAGCTAGATTTATAGAACCACAAAACTGTAGAGTTGTAAGGGACCATGTGGGTCATCTAGTCCAACCCCCTGCAATGCAGGGTTTTTTTTGCCCAACATGGGGCTCAAACCCATGACCCTGAAATTAAGAATCTCATGAACTATTGACTGAGCTATCCAACTAGGATCTTTGCACTTTTGATACCAGTTTTGCACTTTTGACTTCTCTCAACGACAGTATAAGATCTCAGTAGATCTCAGAATGATAGTACTCACTGAAGGGGAAGAGCAGATCCATGCCTGCTGGCCTGTCCCCATAAAATCTGTCATTTGCCACCTAAACATGGGGCAGAAGGGCACATCTGTAACAGGAACATGGTCTAAATGTTCAGTTCCTTTCCTAATGATCCCTAGCATGGAATTTGCTTCCCCCCCCAAAAAAAACCTGCCACACACTGGGTCATGTGTGCTTCCCATCACACATTGCAGAATACTTTGGCAGTATGTCTAATATCATGTTCCAGCATAACTGCATATTTAACTTTTAGATCCATCCTTTACATTTAAGAGAAAACATATCTCAGGCTGCTGTCTCTAGATATGGAAGGGCATTCAGAGGAGTGGAACATCTGTGTTTGCCAGAGTCATAGTTGCAGTAGTTCTGGTTGTTAGTAATGTGTTTTCCTACATGGAAATGGTGTCCATCACATTAACAGAGTTTCCCTTGAACTGCATGGCTGAATGATTGTTTAAAATGATGCTACTTCGTTTAGAAGGATGCCAAAGTGTGTACACACAGATGATCCACTGCTCTGAATGCCCCATCATATCCAGATACAGTGGTTTGAGCTGTGTTTTCTCCCAAATACAAAGGGTGGATCTGAATGTTAACTATGCAGTTGTGCTGGAACATGAGGTTAGACATACAGTCAAAGAAATAATAAACTGTGCAGGAATCTGGAATAAAATAAACAATCCTCTAAAGATATATGTCCCATGGGCTTCAGAGGTTTTGATGCTGACAGCCAAATAATCTCTTCTGCTTACACAAGCAAATGGTAATGAACCCTTACTTCTGCTAAAGTCTTCACTGCAACGAAACAGTTTTCAGAGACTTAAACTGGGAATGTTGGGTTGTGTTCTGCATACTGTAAAGATACAGTTCTTCTGCAGCTCAGATGAAAACTACTTTGCTCTACTAACTTTGTAGAGGAACATACATTGAGTCAGTTCTAAAGCATCAAACTCAGCACCACTGTCCTCTTCCACCAAGGCTGTCTCCTGATGACACTTGAACAACATATTATGTCTTTGTGACTTGCAGGAGGACTATCGTATATGGGCTCTTGGTTCATACATCTTAGTATTGTCTATCCTGCCCACAGTGGCTATCCAGGATTTCAGAGAGGGGACATTACCACATCTGCCTAGAGACATCAGGGCCTGAACCTGGCTCCTTCTGCTTGCAAAGCCAATACTCCACCACTGAGTTATGGCCCTTCCCCGATAAGGGAAATATATTTATGGCACATATGGATCACTGACCTATGCACAATTATCTTGGACACAGATACTGGACATCGTATCTTCAAGGTATTTATGTACCTTGAAGGTATGGTGAGGAAAGACTTCACAGTGGACCTTTCCTTTATTCTCTCTCTCCTCTACTTATATTCTTTTCTGTCTGCTGCATTTTGACCTTCTACATAGCCTGTTGCCAGCTGAAATTTCCCAGCTTACAATGTTCCTTTTCAGCCTTAGGCCCCTCTTAACTTGTGAACATCCTTAAAACCTGATCTTTGTTTGATTCGATGGCTTTTGAACATCTGCATGTTCTCTGGTTAGAAGTTCATTTGGAATGGATTCATCTTCCATCCGGTACAGATGACCAAGTTGAGATGTCTGAATGAGAAGAGTAATTGACTTGGCAATAGTGCTTTCTCAAGCATTTCAGCAGCGACTATTTTGGCTTCTCCTTTAATACACCGGATATGCTGAAGGCAGTCTGTTTAGAAGGTGTTGCATGATCTGTGATCAGTTCCAGGTTCTCCTGAATTAAAGACTGCTCTGATGATACAATTCACTATTATTATTGAATTATTAATCACCTTCTAAAGCAGCATCTCAGGGTGATTTATACATCAGATAATTATAAAGAGTTAAAAGCACAAAAGCAAAGCTTTTGAAACAAGACTAAAACGCTAACAAGTGGACACTTGCACTAGACCCATTTATCTATCTGGGAAAGCCAGTCGGGACAAAAATTGCTTTCTGAAAGTATGGATAATATCTTGACAGCAATGTTGTTCCACAGCACAGGGGCAGCCACACTAAAAGCCCTGCTCTGAGTTACAGTGGAGCAGGCTGCTGAGATGTATAAGACAGGGGTCAGCAAACTTTTTCAGCAGGGGGCCGGCCCACTGTCCCTCAGACCTTGTGGGGGGCCAGACTATATTTTGGAAAAGAAAGAAAGATGCAAGAGCACACCGAGCCCCAGTGGCTGCTTACCTGTGTCTTGCTAGCAGCAGGGGCTGGCAGCAGCGGTGGAGGGATGATGAGGGCTGCTTAAAATGGAATCTGCTCAAGTGCTGCTGCTGCTGCTGGCACCAACAAAGCCCAGTCCCCTTCCTCCTTTAGGCAGGGCGGAGAGAAGCCAGGAAGAGGGAGGGAGGAGGTGCCACCGCCGATGTGAGGGGGAGGGAGAGGGAGGGAGAGGGAAAGAACGCATGTGCTGGCGATCCATGTGGCAATTCCCTGACTGTCCGTGGGCTGGATCCAGAAGGCAATTGGGCCTGATCTGGCCTGTGGACCTTAGTTTGCCGACCCATGGTATAATAAGAGATAAGACATTCTCTCAAGTAACCTGGTCCTGAGCTGCATAGGGACTTACATGTGAGTACCAACACCCTGAACATGGCATGGTGTTTTTTGCAGGGTGTTATTTGCTGGTGTTAGTTTGGCCCCACATGCAACCTACCCACTGTGCTTTGTGTCAGCTGCAGCCTCTGGAGCAAGACCTGCCTGCCCAGGAGGAAAACTGAGGCAGCTGCCATGGGGGCCCCTGCCATCTCCACCACCAGCAGAGAAATGGTGGTGGCAGTTTCTGGGGAGGTCTTCCCCAAATCTCACCAAAATCTTGTGAGATCTCACCAGTACCCATTGTCTTCGCTGCCACTTTGCTACTGTGCAACCTGCAGAGGAAGCGGGGTGGCAGGGGAGCATCCCCTTCCTGTTTTGCCTCAGGTGGCAAAAAGGGATGTGCAGCCTCTGCTCCGGACCTTCCCCAAGGCTAACCCCATATCGAGCGCATTGCAGTAATCCAAATGTGAGGTTCACAATGCATGGAAAACTGTGGTTAAGTTATCCTGATCTAGGAATGCCTACAGTTGTCTTACCAACTGAAGTAGGAAAAAGGAGCTCCTAACTGCCAAGGTGTGCAACAATGGGGAAGGATGTATTGCAATGAATCTGATGATAATTGTACTACCTGTTTATAGGAAGCTGTTTGCAATAAAATATACTGATCTTACAGCCCAGTCCTTTGCATGGTGACTCTGAAATAAGTACTGATGTAAGTACATACAGCTTACTTCTAAGTATATGTGCATAGGATTAGGTTGAAATCCCATGCTCACACCCTTAGAAGTAAGTCCTAGTTGCATCAGTGCTTCTTATTTCTGAGTGGATCTGGATTATTTTTTAATTGTCAAACACATTTCCTCCAGGTAAGTCACACTGATTCTAGAGAGATGATTTAAGAATTATGATGACCATATAACAACCATTTCTAAAATTTGCTATATCAAGCAATTGTCCAGAAACATTGTCTTTAAACCCCCTCCCTGCTGATCTAATTCAATAATTCCTCCACATTGTTCTACTGTTAAATCTATTATTTCTATATACGTATATAAGTTAAAGCATGGTTAAGTGCACACCGGGATATAACAAACTCAATTAGAAATTTGAATAGTGCAGATTCAGATAATGATGGTTACTAGATGTATCTGCTGAGCTTCTCAAAACAGCACATAGTAATTGCTTTGACTGAATCTAATATATTTTACAATCCATCTTTTCTCATTCAGCCTGCACAACTCTGGGTGGGTCAGCAGTGTTAATCACTACAATCTGCATGCAAGTCCAATATTCAAAGCACACGCTCACATGTCTTTGAATTCCTGCTACTGCACTTAACCAATCTGACCTTTATCCATTACATTTGAACACCAGAAGGCACCAGTTTGGATCACTTCCCTATTGGTACGTTTCCTGCCAAGAGAAGAGTTTATTTAACCTTCATTTCCCAGTAATCATGATGGCCTCTTGCATTGCAAGAAAACAGTAATTAATTCCTTTCCTTAAGAGTCTGTCTTGGGTAATGAGCATCCTGTTTTTCATTGTCTCAATTTTTATTATTATTTTAAATCTTTTTATAAGGGGGAGTTTAAGAAAGTATTTTTAATACCCATGGCAGGTTTTGGCCCTCTCCCCATTTATAGAAGCCTAGTTTTAGAATTGCTAGCTATTACCTCCAGTTTTTGATGGCCAATTTAATGATTACACTATAATCATTCCTTTTCACATAGGAAGAATCTTGGCCAGTTTTGCTCTTTAAGCCCCAACTATCCAGCTGCAATACTGCCACTGGTTTATTATTATTATTATTATTATTAGTTCCAATACAGCTTTTCTTCTGGAATTGATTTTGGTTTTTTTTAAGTCAGTATCTTCAGAGACTGAGGAAGGATTTGGGCAGAAAGCTTATAAACTCTACTTTCATAATGTTCGTTTGGAGATGAGGGTACCACATCCAAGAGGCAAGGTCAGCACCCCTGATGAAGATGTGGAATTGGAAAGATACAGATACACAGTTTATTGAAAGGACAGGAGTATTGGCAATAGCAGGGCCAGCCTGTCCATGTGGCAGAGTGAGGCAGCTGCCTCAGGCAGAAAATTCTGAAGGGTGGAAAGTGGCTAGAAATGTGTGCCATGTGGTCTGCCCTGCAGCCTCTAAACCAGCTTGCTGCCCTAAGGGTGTGGTGGAGGGCTCTGTTCCATCACCATCAACTACCAGTCTGGTTTCTACTTAGATTCTGTGCAGAGAATGGGGAATGCACCATCTTGCCCTTCACATCAGGCAGGAAAATGGCTTGGGCCGCCCTGGACAACTTTGCCAGAATCCACCCCTTAATTGTTCTAATGGAATCTGGAAAATAACAGTTGACTAGCGGGTTTAGAGGAGTGACAGCTCTCAGCGCAGCCAGGGTGACCTTTGGGTAATTATTTTGGAATCATTATCATCATCTTCATCATAGCAACAGTGAAAATCCTAAATGGAGTTATAAGCTGTGAAAATGCAGACAGAGAGGATAGTTGAAACAAAACAAAACAAAATAAAATAAAAAAATTCCTTCCAGTAGCACCTTAGAGACCAACTAAGTTAGTTATTGGTATGAGCTTTCGTGTGCATGCACACTTCTTCAGATAGAGAGGATAGTTGCCACTCTTCCGAAATACAAAGGGGCCTCTAGAAAAGGCTTAATAACAACGCACGAATGATGAGCCAAAATGCTGAAGCCGGTGGGAACGGGAAGAGCAATCGTGCCTGTTAAATATTTACCATGCAAGTCTCAGAAAAGCCACTGACTAGAAAGGTGAGTCGATGTATTAATCAAAGTAAAGCAAACAGGTGAGCGAGTCCCTGGGAAGCAGCCAAGAACAGAGATGGAGAGAGGGAGAGGAATCTGGCCCTGGGCGCACACGCACATCCCTCAGGATGACTTCAGGGCAGCCTGGTTTGCATCAGCTGAAGCGTCTCCTTCGTCCCCCCATTGTCAAGGCAATCACGTCTCTACCTCCGGTGTCGCCTCTCGCAGCACTGTCGCCACCAGCCCGCATCGCCCTGCCTTCCCCATCCTTCGCCACCCCCTCCCCTTTCCCCCCTCCCACCCCGGCAGCATCCGAATTCCCTCCTCTGCTTCCGATTGGAAGCCACCCTCCGGGCCGCCGTCGCGATTGGCTGCGTTCGGGTGACACTCAAGAGGGCGCATCGAGGGAGGCCGGCGCGAGAAGCCGCTGCTCGCCTGCTCGCCGCCGTCCTCGTCTTCCTCCTCGCCTGCCTATATCCCCGCGCGGAGCTGCTGCTGCTGAGGCGGCGTCACCGCTCCGGCAGGCGCGATGGTGAGTGCGAGGCGAGAGGCAGATGCACCATAGGCTGCCGGGTCGCCTTTATTCGGGGAGCGGGGGGCCGGAAAGCGGCTATTCTGACAGGGATGGGAAGGGAAGGATGCGCGATAAGGAGCGCGGCGCAGGGGACGGGAATAGCTTCGGAGAGCGAAGCGGGTCGCGAGCGGGGAGATGCGGCCGCAGTTGGGGCTCCCCCACAGCCGCGCGCTTTTCTTTCCTGGGCACAGTCCACCTGGAACAGGGACGGGGGTGTGAAGGGGGAATATTGGCACCCCGCTCCTTTCCCTTGCAGAGGAAGTACCCGGGTTGGTACCCATCTCCTTGGCTTTGTGGTTTTGCCTGAAGCTAGGCGCTCCTGTAGGCACCATCCACCTGGAGCAGGTGAAACGGGGGGGGGGAGGCGGGGGAGGGAATAATCGCTGCCATCCCTACCTTTCTTCCCCGTTTCCCGAACCCAACCCGAATTCGTCCCCGTGTTTCCACGCACAAGCACATCATAAGCTTCGCCCCCTTTGCGCATTTGAGAGCCTTCCACCAACGCGGCTTTCCCGCTTTCCCCCCTCTTTGGCAGTACGGATTCGTCAATCACGCTCTGGAGCTTCTGGTGATCCGGAATTACGGCCCCGAGGTCTGGGAGGACATCAAGTAAGTGGGCGCCGCCTTCACCTGCCCGAAGGGCGCGCGCGCCAGCTCCCCTCTCCTTCTTCCCGCGCCCTGTGAGGGAACGGCGCGACCTTTCCCGCCGCCTTCTTCCTGAGGGGACTCTTTTTCCTCGCCGGGTTCTCACGCTCCGAAGGGGCGCCGGCAGGAGGCCGAGGGAGGGAAGCCTCTCCCGGGGGAGAGAGAGAACGAGACGAAGGGCCAGCAGGGCGGCCCTGGTCTCCCGGGTCCTCGCAGCCGGCAGCGGGCCCGTGGGAAGAGGCGAAGCCAGCCGCCTCCACGAGGCCCGGCTCCGCAGCTGGTGAGAAAACGAAGTGGGCCGCGAGGAGGAGGAGCAGGAGGCCTGTGGACTTGCCGCTGCCTTCCAGGAGATGAGGCCAACGCCTCGCCTTGGCCACCAGACCGCAGGGCAGGCCCCACGCTCCTATGGGGAGCGCAAGTCCCGCTGTGCTCGGTTGGAAGGGACCCCCAGGGTCGTCTAGTCCAACGCCGTGCAGTGCAGGAATCTCAGCTAAAGTATCCATGACAGTATCCATCTCATTTACACCTGAGAAGGAAAATATGCCTTGAAAAGTCACAGTAAACTCATACCTTACTTATCAAAAACACAGGAAAGGGCATAAACACAAGGATTGCAGGGTCTCTGGAACTCTTCTTGAAGTTTTTCAAAGCAAAACGGGGAGCCGTATTTGCGTGTGTTTAAAAAGGAGGGGCTTAATATGTTTAATATGCACACAAAAAAGAGTTTGGGAGAATCTGAAAGCTTCATGATGTTTGAGTTGGTTCCGATCGTGATTATTATCTTACTGTGGGCTCTTCATAGAACTGGCCTGTAAATTATTCTTCAGCAACCTCTCTGATTTCACGCATGTTTTGTGAGTGTTGGAAGATTAGCACCAAGACAATATAAGCATATAAGAGGATGCTTTTCAATCAAATCCAGATTCCCTTCAATGTAGGTTGCACAGTTCACAGAAATTGAAAAGGGCTTTTAAATGTGAGATGAGTAATTGAAAGCATGAGTTTGCTATGCATATATAAGGGTTAAGAGGTATTCTTGTGCTATATGCATTATGCTATCTGCACAGCTTTGCAGATTTGTTCTCTGTATTAATTCCCAAGAATGATCTCCATTTCCCCATTACTGAATTTAAAACAAAAACACCTCTTTGACATCATTCAGAAGCATATACTGAAACAGTGAACAAATATGGAATTTTGGAGCACACTGTCATCTGTATTCTGATGGCATACAGCTCTACATCTCCATGACATCTGACTCAGAGGCTGTGAAAGCTCTGGGTTGGTGTCTAAACGCAATGGTGGAATGGATGAGGGCCAATAAACTGCTTGAATTTTGCGAAGATGGAGGCTCTTTTGATGGGTGGTTCCCATGTCCAGCAAGTTACCTGTTCCAGATACTGACAACTTTTTTATTCCATCAGCCTCATGCAGACAATTAAGAATACATTTTCCCCACCATGGTTAGTTGATTTCTGAATTTAATTTTTTACATGATATTTATTGTATGGTTTTATGTAAAGTTGTTATAAACTGCTCTGAATTTTTTTATGAACAGTGATACAGAAATAGTTTTATAAATAAACACGTAATCTTTATTTCACACACACATGCATCTAGCTTCTCAGAATCACCATTTTGTATTTAATTAGTGCCTTTGGCCATGGGCAGAATGCATGTCTAACACCAGTCAGCCACTAGACCACAGTCAGTCCAGGGGGCCAACCTTGCTTTACAAAAATATCAGCTTACTTTAAATATCATGCAGGGAAAGTGTGTCAAAGAGAAGAACTTAAGTGATACATCCTCTCTCAAATCTACTCTGTTCACATTCCCTTTTTTTTTCATCCAAAGGGATGGAAAAGAGGAATGGAAGAGCAATTACGCCATCCCAGTGCTTTTATTGCCTTCCCAGAATCTCAGCAGACTCCATTTATCAATCATGATCCTGCAAGAGAGTGGCAAGGGGTGAAGAGAGAAAGCTTTTTTTAAAAAAAGCAAATAGGAAGTGCTATTCCTATTCCCATACAGTTCCATACATACTAACGTTTGTAGCAGAAAAATGTACAGTGGTACCTCTGGTTGCGAATGGGATCCATTCCAGAGGTTTGGTTGCATCCCGAGAAATTCGCAACCAGAGGACCACTTCTGTGCATGCGCGCAGTGTGGTTTAGTGCTTCTGCGCATGTGCGCTGCAAAACTCAGTAAAATACTTATGGGTTTGCCGCATTCGCATCCCGAAGTTTACGTATCCATAGGGATACGTAAGCGGAGGTACGACTGTAGTTCTTCTCAATCTGAAATCATTCTGATCCTCAGAATGTGCTACTTTCAATCAAAATTGAGCTAGAGCCTGCTGGCAACAAGGGTGATGTGGTTACTTGATATACATTTTATAACACTCCCCTTGATTAGATTATCCATGCCTTTTCCTCCTTACACATACCCCTGGTAAACGAAGAAGGAACTGGTGATTGCAGTCTTGGTATAGGTCCACCCACAATATCTTTGTTTATGCCCACCAAAAATGCCTTTGGCCCATCTCCCAATGCTGAGACCCATTGCCTTAATTTGTTTTCAAATGGACCCACTGTGGGGCAATCTGCAGTGAGCTTTTATTTTCAGATTGAAACTCATTTCTCAGTATGTGCATTTCAGGGGCAAACTATGCAAGATTGTGTGTGGACTATGTAGAAAAAAACAAGCACCCAGTCTCCATTGAGTCTAGAAAAAACCATATGTATGCAGCCTCATGTCCTCCTGTTTCAGTTCCACCAAATGACCGCTTCTACTTACAGAGGTTCTTCAGAAGAGGGGAAAGAATAGGTGGATGCTGCTCCATCACATGCTTCCCTGATTCTACCAAGCTTGACCATGATTTGCATGGTGATCAAGTTGGGAACCTTGCTTCCTAAAGTCAGACTGCTCCCACCCTCCTTCATAAAGCACAGTTGCAATCTATCAAAAATTGTCAGGCCCCTGACACTAAACGTGAGGTGAAAGAGAAGGAATTATGGAGAGAAGATGGAAGGATTTTGCCAGATTGTGCAGGAGGCTGGACAAGAGCAAAAGAAACACACTGTCTTTATTATTTATTATATTTAATAGCATTTATATACTATTTACTGTGCCTCTCTTTCCCACATGTCACTTTGGCAGACAAGGCAAATTATTTCTCTTGTGAGAGCATAACACCTATGTATTCTTGTAGCTGTGAGCAGTGTGCTGAATAAGCACCTTTGAGAGATTATTTCCCCCCCTACAGTAAGTGAACTATACTGTATATTTCTAATATGTAGTCTCTAACTCTTGTTCTCTCATTTTCCTGACGTGAATTGTAATGGTAATGAAGTAGTGTGTATGGCTTTAATTCCTGCCAAGAACTGACATGTTTCTGATATATACTTCAGTTTTCTTAACTAAATTTGAGCTAAGCCTGGTATAAATTAGATTTAATTATGCTACCTTAATTCTTGGAGGGAATGCATAGAGATGTCCATTTGGCTATAACTGAATGTAGTCATTACAGTTGATAATATGATAATATTTTCAACTGGTTAAGTCTGTCATTAGCATAAGAAATAACAATACAATCCTATGTATGTTTTCTCCGAAGTAACATTAATTCAGTGGGGCTTTCTTCCAGGTAGATGTGTAGCCTAGATTTCATTAAAATTCACAAAATAATGCAGTTTTCAGGCTTCAGACATGACCAACCACAAGAACATACACAATATTGACACTAACAAAGAGTTCCCCCCTAAGGCAGAAATAAAACATTGTACTTAAAAAAACCCCTATAATAGCCACTCCTTATACATCATGTTCAAACTGACTAAGATGTTTGTTTCAGGGTTTCCCCTCCAGAAGTCCAACATGACTGTCTGCTTTACCCTCTGTTAGGGCTTACATCATGGTACCAGAGTTACTTCCCTAGCAATTACAATAAATCAAGAATTTTAGCTCTCTGTGCACACAGGTAGAGGGATACACATACACACAAACACAGACACACACAACAGATGATGATACCAAATTTTATTTCATATTGAATGTCTGTAGCCAAGTTGCAGCTTAGTTAGTTTTTATCAGTTAGTAAATTTAATTTGTACTCTCACTCCTCTTTCTCTTAGCCTTAATGGTCTCTCTCAAATTTCCATTTAGTGATGGGAGAAACCCCACAAAGTAGAAATGATTCTTCATGCAACTATTAAATATTCAGGACTCAAAAGTCAAGTCACAGTCTAGAGCAGGGGTAGTCAACCTTTTTATACCTACCGCCCACTAATGCATCTTTCTTGATGGTAAAATTTCCTTACCGCCCACCAATGTTTGATGGAAGGAGGATTCTGCTTGTGCTGTAGTACCCCCTACTGCCCACCTAGAATCCTGAAACACCCACTAGTGGGTAGTAGGGACCAGGTTGACAACTCCTGGTCTAGAGGTTCCCTGGCCCATTGTCCTCAAGAGCTGGGAAGTCATTTGGTCTTGATAGTGCCATTACTTGTGCATATGGAGTCCAAAAGCACATCTGATTTACTAGCAATAGGATCCCATTACCAAGATGGCTGTCTCTGTATGGAATTCCAGGCCAGGAATAACTTCAGTATTCTCCAGATTCATTCTTTGTTCTTTTTCTTCTGCCTGAACACATTCTGTAATTAAGAACTCTGATGGCTTCTTCTAGACTTGATCTTGCTGCAAATATATTTTTATTTATCTTATTCATAAAAAATTATACACCACTTGATTGCCAGCCCCTCTCAAATCTTTTCCATGATGTAAAATCATATTTTTAAAAGAAGGAATATCAGTGTATCTCTGTCTTTGAAGTGTTGTATATGGACGTTCATGACAAAACTGCAGTTATTTATATCTTCATATTTATAGTCCACCTGATCTCACTGCATCAGGATGTAGCTGGATCAAAGGCTAGAATTTCTCCTAGAATTTTCTAGCTGGACATAGCCATAGTCAAGAAGTGCCACATCAAGATCAAAGGCATGCAAGCAAAGGTCCAGAAAACAGATTAAATCCAGATGTGTGACACCACAGAACAACCATTCTGCCAAGAAACATTCTCAGAAAGGAAGGCTGGAAATAGTGGAGACATAGCAATCAAGTTTGGCTAGAGCAGTAGCATCCAGGGTTGAGTTTCATAACAGAATCCCTGAAGATTTCGTTTGATTTGGTACTTCTCTTTTTGACCATGAAACATGGCCAGCAAAGAGATCCCATCTTGTCCTAACTAGCTTTTTTCAGTAAGCTATCTTCACATGTTCCTTCCCCTGCTACGTCTATGTGTCAGACAACTTAAAATATAGTTAAATCAGGAAGTGACTAACTTAGATCCATTAATTTCAGTGTGTCTACTCTATGTAGAACTTAGTTGGATATAACTATCTGAAAGTCCTATTCAGATAATTAGTTTGCATGTATTCAAAGAACACATTAAAGGAGAGCAGGGCTGCATGCACCAGCCCTGTCAAATACATTTAATCCTGTTGGTAGCTCCACTTCTGAATGCACAAAGATGTGAAGGAGGATTCTAACCATGTTCAAAATCATCATGTGAATGTTGGGAGTGAAGCAGATGGATTTTTTTTGGGGGGGGCAGAGCATGTGTCCCTTGCATGTGTTATTTGAACATGAGTAGACCTAATACTTTGGTAGTGCTAAACTCATCATACTCAGGAATGGCCCTGATTCCATGTAGATTCTAGGGCTGTTGCATATTTGGTACCCGTATCTGTTATTTTTAGCCTAAAGTTGCAGAATAGTGCACGCTGCTTACTTGGCACCAGTTGAGACTAGCTTAATTTACCACTTAGTGTAATACAGTGGTACCTTGGTTTAAGAACAGCTTAGTTTATGAACAACTTGGATTAAGAACACTGAAAACCCGGAAGTAGGTCTTTGGTTTGTGAACTTTGCCGTGGAAGCAGAACATGTTCCTCTTCCTGTTGAGTGTGTTCCAGTTGTAAATTGAGTCCCCCGCTGCTATGGAAAAGGACGCCTTGGTTTAAGAACGGTCTTCCGGAACGGATTAAGTTCGTAAACTAAGGTACCACTATATGTTGAATTTTGTTTTCATGCCTTTTTAAGTGATAAGGGCAAGCAATCAATTATCTTCATTAAAAAATAAATCTGACCACAGTGAAAATGTAATGGTAATAAAAAGTGATTTAGCATCCTCTCCTGCTCACTTTCCAAAATAACAGAGATATGTATGATGGGATCTTTGTAGCTTGTTAAAGTACAGTTGTCGTATTTAGCCTTTAGGAACTTGGGGGAATTTGCCCAGCTGTAATAGTCTGTAGGTTTAGGCTTCTATACATAGAAAACTTTTTGCTTCTGCTGAAAATGCAAAAGAGTTCTGTGCTTAGATTTTCCAAGACTTGCTAACACAACTGTGTTTTGTACAAACCTCAGCAATATGTAGATGACAAGGTGATGCTCTGCAGTAAGATGTGCAATTGGGAGTTTGTGTGAAGGCTTAGAACTTTCTTACACGACGTGTCTCAAACGTTTTAGAAGCGCACAGAAATTGACAGAAGCATAGCTGTCAACTTTTCCCTCTTTTAAAGGGAGATTCCCTTATTCCGAATAGGATTCCTCACAAGAAAAGGGAAAAGTTGGCAGCTATGCAGAAGTGTGACAGCATATCCAATTCCTATTTACTAGAGTATACTCATCTGTATGCTGCAGCAATCTCCGAACTATGGAGGAAATACAACAGTGTTTATCAACCAATGGAGCAGACATTGTTGGTGGAATGGATTCCTGCCAGCGTATCCCCTGCAATCTTCTCCAGAGGGTTGGGGGAGTGATTGGCTGTAGAGGTAGGAGAAGTCCCATTACACAAGTGAAAGTTTGCTCTTCCACTCAGTTGTGTGAATGGCTTTCTTATAGTAAATTGCAAACACATGGGGAGGAATTTGTATCAGAACCCTCACATGGGAGTCGGAAGTTTAGCCTTCAGGCCCCCATTGTTGTCCAAAATGGATTGGGTTCCCTGCATTTGGAATTTATTTGCATGGGAAGAAGGTCCATTTTCTTGTGACTGGCATCTTGCATATTTGATAATTCAAAGATACTAAAGGATACTAAAAAGATACAAAAACTATCCAATTTCTGATGTTTATAATATTGTTACAATTCTCATCTACAAAGGGGTATTTTTGGTGGGACTATAGAAGTCACTGTGTTTCAGCTGAATTTTAAAGAACTGCTCCATTTACTACTCCCCAGCATAATTTATCTGCACGCACTGGGAGAGTGAGTAGGATTTTTGCCTGTAGTCTTTTACTTTGTGCCCAACTTAAATGGAGTTTTAATGGCTATGAATAATCCATCCAGAATACATCAATAGAACAATTCATTTCTTCTCTATGGCAGAAAGAAAGTAGATTTAAATTGCATTTCATTGTAGCAGTTAGCTATAAAAGATGAAAATGTATATCTAGGTTCAATATAATACATATTTTTGCTCTTTGGAAAAGAATATTACCTGTGGTCTTCCTTGACTTGTAATTATTTTTACTAAACAGGTATATTAACTAATCAGTCATGTTCATAATGACTAGAAAAGTTGCTAGGGTGTAACAAAGGAGCCACATTTTCTGATTCCTCAGCAATAAAAGATTGATTAAATTAATGTGGTTAATTCCATTTTTAAACTTTTAATATTTTAAATATTTAAACTTTAAACATTTAAAGATGTGCACTGCAACCCTATATATGTCGATTCAGAGCTAAGCACCATTGATTTCAGTGAGACTTACAGGTAACTGTGTATAGGATTGCAGTCTTAAAGAGCTCAGTTGATACCACCAGTCATTGGGTTCTTTCTGAACCATGTTCAGAGGTTCAAAATTCTTTGTAGAATCACAATGTGTAAAAACTAACAGCAAGGGCAGGGGGGAAAGTCCTCTTTCACTCCATGTTGGTACATGAAATTTAAATAGCTGAGTTGGACTTGGGGAGGACTGCATTTAAGGTCTATACTTTTTCACAACAGGTGATGTATCTTATTATTATTGTTCTTTAACACTGATATGAAGCAGGTGGGAGAGATCATTCAGAAATTTGGAATGTGGTATCAGTATGCTGATGACACCAAGTATTTTGGTTGCTGTCTTGATCCAGAAGCATTATTGGTAGTTCTAAGCCAGTACCTGGAGGCTATGATCAGATGAAAACTGAACCAGAGAACATACAGTTGCTGATAGCTTCCATTACGTAATATTAATGTGTTCAGCATTATATTAACATGCAGTTTTGAAGAGGTTGGGTTGCCCGTTCTGGATGGGTCACACTGCCCTAGAAGCATCAAATTCATTCACATTTTAGAAGTGCTTGTTGACCCCATTCTGCTTCTGGATGTCTGTAACAAAGAGTGCTTTTAAGCAGCTGAGCTTTATTTGCTTGCTGCACCTGACTTGATCCTGTAGCACAAGAAACCTGCTATAAATACCCACAGTTTGGCAACCTCCTGTATTTTCACTGTAAGAGAACTCTCGATGGGGCTACAAGCCATGTACTCAATGGCTATCTAGCTTTTAACTGGTACAGACTGCAAAGAGCTGCGCTTGCTTGACTTAATTAGCTACTAGTGAGCATCTGTTAAGGTTAAGGTGTTAAACTTTACATTTATCTATCTAATCAGTCTTACCCACGAGCATATTAATAGGGGATCTTTTGCCAACTATCCAGTTCTTGCAGTTTATCATGGGCACAGAATGAATTGATGGATTCATGGAGTTGTCTCTCCCACAGATCAGGATCCCCTCCCCCTATTTTCCCACCACTGGATATATATATTTTTAAAGAGTTTGCATTCAATACTTGGGAATTTATACAGGAATAGAAACTGTACAAATAAATTCTTAGGTAGCATTACTAGATTTTAAAGCACGTAGCTAACAAGGTGAATATTTTTCCATCCCTATCACTTGATTTATTAATTTCATATAATTTATATATGTCTTTTAACTAGAAATCCCAAAACAGTATACAGCAATAGCAGTTTGAGATAACCTATATATACACAGCTGGTCTCTTGTTCATAGCAGCATTTATGAAGCTCTGAATCAGGACAGTTGGTTCAATGAAATTTGGGATGAAAACACTCTTGCCCAGAAAGGGGTGCATGAGATTGAAAGGTTTCCCTACCAGCAGCCTCTCAAAACTTCCTTTTAGCACATTAAAAGAAACTTTTTAAAAACATGTTTGTTTTGGTTCAGGCATGGTAATTCATTCTTTAATCATGGTAAACTGTGAACGTTTTATATCATTGTTCAACACCTTCCCCCGCTCCTTAATAAAAAACAATTCACAATTCCCTACATGTTATACACTATCGTAAGATATTGGTGTAGGGAAACAGCTTTGCTTCATTGGTTGAATGTTTTCAATCACCAAGGATTAAAATAAATATTCAACACAAAGCCTTGCTATGAACCTGTGTGTTTTGTTGGATGAATTTTTTCCAAATGTCACTTTGCATTTTTCTGATATTGAAAAAGATAAAATACACCATGTGGCAAGAAGGCATCCTTTAGAAAATGGAAATCTTGTCCAAATGAGGAGAACAAAAAGGAACACAAAGTTTGGCAAAAGAAATGCAAGTAGACAATAAGGGAATATAAACTAAAAATTGAGGAGCACGTTGCTAAAACAAAGACCACAGAAACAAGAAATCTTTACTTGCATTAGTAGCAGTAGACTGACTAGGAAAACAGTTCCATCTTGGGTTGATATGGAATTGAAAGTTAGCTGAAGAAATGTAAGTAGATTGCAAGAAGTTGAATGGATTCTTGCATGCCTCTGTCTTCACACTGGAAGATGACTTTCAGGGGAAGAGAGTCTAAGGGGCTGAGGCAAATAATGGTTACAATAGATGGAAATTATAGGCCTTAAAAGACAAAACAGACAAACTGCTGGGGCCAGATGGTATCTACCCAGGAGTTCTTAAAGAAGTCAAATGTGAAATCGCTGATCTTCTAACAAAAAATTGTAGCTTGTTCATAAGATCAGCTTCTATACCTGAAAACTAGAAGGGACCTCAGAAATTACAGGCCAGTTAAATGCCCCTTTCAGGAAAACTGCTGAAAAGTACTGTATTAACAAAGACAAAACTCTCAAACATATCTTGCTGAAGTCCTTTCTTGGTAACCTATTAGAGTTCTTTGATACTGTCAACCAGCATATAGATAGAGGTGATCCACTTCACATCATCTGCTTAGACTTTCAAAAAGCTATATATATACACACACACACACACACATACACACACACACACACACACACACACAGTACCTTACCAAAGATTTCCTGAGTTAGCAGTTGTGGAATAAGAGGAGAGGCTATCTTTTAGCTCAGTAACTGGTTAAGAAATAGGAAGCAGAGAGTAAAAATAAATGGGCAGTTTTCCTAGTTGGAAAGATTATTGTAGAAAGTGGAGTCACCCAAGGGTGGATACTGGGACTTGTTCATAAATGATTTAGAGTTAGGGGTGAGCAGTGAGGTAGAAAATTTGCTTAGGGTGGATTAAACCAAAAGGGGCTGTGAAGAGCTTCAAAAAGATTCTTCTGACTGAATATAAGCAAGTTTAAAGTGCTGCACACTTGGACAAAAAAAAAAAAAAAAAAAAGAGAGAGAGAGCTAAATTTTCAATGCTCATGAAAATTTGGTGGTGTTGGACCAGGAATGAGACTTTGGGTCATAGTGAAGAGCTCAATAAAAATGTCAACCTAGTGTGCCGCAGGTGTGAAAAAGGCAAATTGCATGCTCAGAATAATGAAGAAAGGGGTTGAAAATAAAATGCCCGCATCATGACGCCATTATACAAATCTGTTGTGTGATTGCACTTGGAATACTGTGTACAGTTCTGGTTGCTTCACCTCAGAAAGGATCTTGGCAGTGTTGGGAAATAGCAACAAAAATGAGCAAGGGAACAGAGCAACTTCCCTGTGAGAAAAGGCAGCATCATTTGGAGGGGGTGCGTTAATTTAGAGAAAAGGAGTGTAAGATGAGTCATGAAAGAGTGTGTATGCATGGTGGAGCAAGTGGACAGAGAAGTTTTTTATCTCTCATAACTCTAGAACCTGGGGACATCCAATAAAGCTGAATGTTAGAAGAGTCAGGACAGATGAAAGAAAGTACTTCTTCATGCAGTGTGTACAAAACTATAGAATTTACTCCTACAAGAGGTAGTGATGGACACCAGCTTAATGGCTCTAAAAGGTTAGACAAATTCATGGATAATTAAGGCTACCAATGCCTATTATCCACAACGGTGAGCTTCTACCTCAAATGTTAGAGGTAGTGTGCTTCTGAAAACCAGTTGCTAGGAACCACTGGTGGAGAAAGTGCAGTTGCCCTCAGGCCCTGGTTTTGCACTTCTCATTGGCTTCTGGTTGACCACAGCAGGAACATGGGGCTGGGCCAGATGGGCCATTGGCTTCATCACCAGGCTCTTCCTATATTCACCATGTTTGCAGACTGATTACTATTATTACAGAAGAGTCATAAATATTTTTTGTTTAATGAAGCATTCTTTTAAATTAATTTGTTTTATAAAGGAAGCTTATGTGTGTTTGGAATATTAACACACAGTTTATTTTATATGTTACATCTGATTTTTTAAAAATAATCAATAGATTATATGATTTTGAAAGCCGACATTAAGCACACTCATGCACAGTCCAGAGAACCAGCAAAAATAGCCATGTCTTCTGAGTGTTATAAATAGAACTATTTACTTTATGCAGAAAGTCAGTTCCTTGGACAGATTCCCATTTTTATTTAATTTTGTTACTCATAATTTTTTCCACTAACTGAATGTTTACAATATTTACAGAACCTTTAGGAATGAGGCCGGCAATACACCCAGCTTATGAAACATATATGACCTTGTGTTTGACCTACCAGTGGGGAAACTGGAGGTGAAAGAGAACAGGGCTTCTGTAGCTCTAACAATTGTGTAAAGGGAGCTTTGGCTGGTGCAGTTTGTCATATCAAACTGATAGAAGTTGAATTTCCCTCTCCCACGCAATATGGCAGGGACTGAAACCCTGCCATCCTTTGCTTTTGTCAGCATAATTCCCCAAGTGGTATTTATGGAGAGTCACCCATGGCATCGATTCAGGGCCACACTGTGACCTCCAGTATTTGTCTGCCATGTAGAATTCAGGCTTTACTCTCATATTTTAGTTGCAAGCAAAATGCCTGCCATTTTGACAGATGAGGAATGCAGGCTTGCAATCCATTGGGCTTCTGTGCTCCCTGCCCATTGAGGTGTCCTTTTCATTGAAGTTGGGGAGCCCAGTGTTGAGAAGAGGTCAAGTTTTGTTCTCGTCGCAAAAGCATCCAGACATGCAGCACTTTACTTTCTCACAGAAATGAATGAATGCAGTTTGTTCCTTTAGTAAGTGGGAAAAGGATGGTGACATGTCGTGGGCAGCTCACTCTATTCTGCACCTTGGTGATGCTAATCAGTGCATAGCCCTATTTTTGCTTTCTTTTTTGATGATGCTAAACTGGTGTTTTTAAAAAATAAATAAATAAATTATAGATTAAAATTGCATTCCATTCTTCATATAAGGAGCTCAGAGCAGACATATGCCTTTTATCTTTGCAACAGCACTTTGGGATCAGTTAGGCTGACAGACCTATTTGCCCAGTGTGAGCTTCTTCAAGTGGGGAATTGTGCCGAAGCTGTCCGTGTGGAAAGTCAATGCCTTGGCTACAGCAACATGCTGAGGAAGGTCTGGAACAGTTGTGTTGGAGTGGCAGGAAAAGAAGCTTTCTTTGTAACAGGATGATTAAGCTTTAGGCGTGTGTTATTGTTATGATGTTAGCACTGGTATCGTACTCCAGCACACTATATAGAGAGATCACCAAATATTTCACCAAATATGTGAACCCAGAGAGAGACCTTAAGTGACCAATGTTAAAGTTTTTCAAATTCCCTATCTTCCCATGGTTGATGACCTCTGAGTGCTGTGCCTCCATCGTTTGACCTTCTGGATTACCATGCTGTTGGTAAATCAGTGAGATCCAAATATAGTGCCATGCACATACAGTGAGATGCTAAGCTTTGTGCTTCTGTACAAAGGAGGAAGATATTCAGCCAATGTGGTGAGTTTGGATTCTTCTGGCAGCCAGGCTGTAACACATGAGGTTATGTTACATGCATGCATCTGGGTCTGTTTGGGGTTTATTCAGAGGTGAACATTAATCTGAATTGAGGTGACTTTTAGAAACCTGATTTGAAATGGCTACATGATAGTATCTGTTGAACAACAAGGTCTACTTACACACAATAGTGGCAAAAAGCCCAACAGAAACAATGCCTGACATATAAAAGCAACCTTGGATTTTATTTTTTTAAAATGAATGTGTTTTAAGTGCCATACACATATGCAGGAAAAGTTTAATTGCAAGGGAATACAGTTCTGTGCTATATTTAATTGTTCATGGCAGCAGAGTACGTAAGTTTTTCCAGGGAAGCTTGAATATATTCACATCTATGAAGTTTGTAGCACTTTCTTTTACCCTTCTTACATTGTAGCCATTCTGTTTTGCAATTGCCCTCTTGGGAGCATTGCTACAAACGAGCTCTTCCTCTTTATATTAAACGTTTATTGTAGGGAGTTTCATAGTGAATAGGAAATGTATTATAGATAAAATGTCAAGGTTATATGTCACAAGACTGAAAAGCTTCTAACATAACCATAAATCACAGTAAGGAGAAACACTGCAAGCTCTGAAGTTTGACAATTGTATGGCAAACAAAATTATATTGCGATCTTGTTTGTGTATTTGGATACTTGCAGTAAAGTTTTACTTTACAGTAAAACAACCAGAGTGGCTTGACCTCAGCTGAAAATGGTATTTTCACCCCCACTTGCATGATTTCATCCAACCAAAGTTAAGAACGTTTCAGTCCCATATTTACAGTGTGAGAGTTGATCACATATTTTAAAGCTCTCCCACTGACTTAAATGAGCTTAGCTTTGTCTGAATTGTGTCCATTGAAGTGGGTTCTGCAAATTGATTTATATGTAATGCTAATCCAGACTTTGGCTTAGTACAAATGCACAAGTGTGATGGTTTCTGGAGAGGAGGTCATGACCACTATGTGAACATGTAACCTCCAGCTGATAAAACACCCCCATGCTTTCTCTGCATTTTCCAGAGTAAGCTTCAAAACATCTAGAAGTAGGGGAGAAATCAGATAAATTGGAAGAAAATGAGGACAGCCCTATCATACAGTAAGAAGAAACAGTCTGCTATGTGTGATAAATTTTAGGGAACAGGTGAAGGTAGAAAGTGATGTTTCAACTTTTGAAAGTTTATCCTGGCTGTGGGGGTTGCCATTTGGAGCTCTGCTTCAAGCAGCAAAATCACCTGGGCACTGAGAGAAAAAGTGGTTGGATGCTGAACAAATGATGTGGAGAAGGAGTATGTCTCATTAGGTTATTTCCCAGGGTATGTACTTAGGATTGAAACCTGAAGTCATCCTTTTTGCACATAGTGAAATTATGCTGCATATCCAAACTTGCAACTGAACTCTGTTGTCTCCAAATCCTCAAAGCTAAATGAACAATCCCCCCCCTGCTGTGGAGAGTGGGGGCCAAGAGAAAATGCCTTGATGAGTTAGATGTGGTCTGCAAGATGCCTAATTACTCTTGGCCTCGCTAATCCAGTGTCCTTTTAATGGCTAATTCATGTTAGCGTTTTAGCAGATACATTCTGCAAACTAGAAGGCAATTATGAAAACAATCCGTTCCTGTTACTTTTTTCATTCTCATGTTCTTGTGACATATAAAAGCATTACAGGGTTTGAAAACAGTTGTGAACTATTTATTCATGGTTGTAAATTAATACCTCCACTATATATATAGTCTAATACTTGGCAGGTATTTTGTACATTGTGGAGAGCCAATACATTGTATTTAGTTACAGCACGGTTATCATAATAACATAGTATATTCTCAAAAATAGATGTGTTTTCAAAAGACAAGTTGATTATGTACAGAGATCTGGAGTTAAACTCCTTTGTTCGCCTTTCTAGAGCTGTTGTTAAGCTCCCTCCCCCTTCCATATACATTTACTGGGTTTTTTGTGCTTTAATCTAGTTAAGCACTGAAGCACACCCTGTTTTGAAAAGAAAGATGACACCAATCATAAATCACATTGTTTTTCTATTTGTTTGACTTGGCAGCCATTTTAAAAGAAAACCTCCCACACGTAGACATTAAAAGCTTGCTACTATACTGGATGAACTTTATGAGAAACCAACCTCAGCTGCAGATGGGAGTTTCCCAAAGATTACTGCCCAAGGCTAGTTTTGAACCAGTATCTTAAGACAATCACAGTTACTGATCTTATTACCTCAGTGTATAAGGATTCCAATATTTCACCACAGTTACTAACTTTTGAAGATATTTTGCATTGAAAAGTATGGATGAAATCTCAGAAGACTATGATCCCCACAAAAGTTTCTATTTTGAGATTTCAGCCTTACTTTCTATGACAAGCTTTTTTCATGTATCTTTCCATGTGGTAATATTCCTAATATTCTCTTTGTAATACAGTATTTAGGTTTAGATCCAGACTTCCCCTTCTGCAGGTTCAAGGGCTCCTTTCATTGCAGATGGCATCAAGATCCAGCAGAGCTTCCCTATGGAAGTAGGACCCAGGGAGGAGATGCTTTTCATAGATTGTTCCCTACTGCTCCTTCCATCACCTGTCAGACTGTTCTAGGGGTATACCAATCATATAGAGGAGATTTTCAAAAGTTACTGGGGGCTTCAGGGAGAAGGAGAGATCGACAAGAATCACCTTCTCCTCTTCTGCCCTTGGAAGTGTCGACTCTCTGGTGTTCTGCCCCCAGCGAGTCTGATTTTAATCTTGAGTGAACCAAATATGAGAGTTGCAATGTGGTTGTGGCCAAGCAAGGTTTTGAAAACTCTCTTGAGGCCTGAATCAAACACTCTGTTGTGCACGATATCTTGACTTATCCCTCTCAATTTCTTATTAATATATATCCATAACTGCTCGAATGTATTAATATCAACATGAGCCAACTGGCCAGATTGGCATTTTAGTCTGCAATTCCTATTATAATCAGTGGGAATTGCACCATGTTCCCAAGAGTAGCTTTTCAGAAACATTGCAGTGTATTTCAAAACAAACAAGAATGCTTTTTCCCATGGAAGGTCCAAAGCAGACAGTACATGAAATAAAAATTAAAGGCTTTGCTGGGTTTAGCCATTGGATTTCTGTTGTCTGGATTTCTGTCATAAACAGAAAGTTAGTACTATTATAGCCATACTTAACTAATGTAAATGTATTTTAATTTGTTTAAGACCAAGTTTTTTTCATTTATGTTGCTCACAACCGAGGTCTCACAGCCACCTGGTCTTGCATTGGACTTATTTTGTATCCCAGATGGTATAATGAGAAAATGGTGGTGGGGTGGGAAGGAAGTTGAACATGTGTGTGTGTGTTTGTGTGTGCGTGTCCTGTTATTGATGTCCTGATGTGTGTGTGTTAGAACATGGGGGAGCCACACTCACCTTGGCACATGGCCTCCAGAAGGAGATGCAACCCTTTGCCAAAAAATGCTAGCCTCCTCCTGTTCCTGTCTGCACGCACACACAAATGCTTTCCCCTTGATCACTCTAATCCATGGACTAGATAGGATGGTTGAAGGGAAAACATATGTGTGCATGTTTGTGTGGAAAGCAGAGATGTTCAGTCATCCTTTACAAGTTTGCTTTCAGCAATCCACAATGCCTGCCCTAAGTATTCTGCAGGATCTTGGTACACCCCCCATTGTTTTTTATCTATGCAAACCCTTACTGCAAACAATTAATTCTTCTTGTCCCTGTACATGTTCCCACAATTTAAAAATATTTAGAAAGTGTGTATCTACTTCAGAAACAGTGCCCTTGATTTGTTGCATTGTGACGCTCGTTCCAAAGCAGACACAATGATATGAAGGGTTGGCCAAATGATATGTTAGTCCCATATTCTTTGTGATGACGTAGGATTAGATTGTCTACAGTCTGCTAAGGTTCAGGAGTCACTGAGAGAGGATAGACATAACCACCCTGCTTGTGATAACTGTTCATTCCTTCTCTTTTGTTTTCCCCAATGCATTTTATTATATTTTTTGGGCATAACAACAAACAGCTAATGTCCACAACTCTTACAAAGATATTTTTTTAGTGTGGAAATATGCACACAGTAAAACATATCTGAGTACCACTCTATATTTCTAAGAAGTTCTGTCCAGCCTATTCTGATGAGTTAATCATTCTGACAGTGTCAGTTGCCATGTCCTGGCAAGCCAGCCTGTAGCAGCATAACCTGCTTATACTTCCCAGTTACATGCTACTTGCATGCCCGCAACGTCTTAATAACACCCAATTCATGTAGAGATATTTTTTCAATGGCCCATGATATGCTAGCAAATATTCAGAGGTGAGCACTTGTTTAAATCATATCTGAGAAACTCCTATAAACTGCAAACCATGATCTCTCTGGACATTCCCATCACAAAGGAAAGGAAGCTCCTCTCATTCCACATTCCTGGCAACACTTGGAGGGCAGTGAATTATTTATGTCTTGCATTCTTTGTGAGATCATATGTCAGCACTGATTTGTGCATTCTAGCTATTCTATAGAATTGTATTATATTTTCTACATGTATTCCTATTCTGCTTGGAGCATCGCTCATTTGTGCAGTTCTGCATGCAATTCCTCAGGCTTCACTGAGATGGTTTCTGGGCCAGCATTTTATCCAAGAAACTGAAATAATTTTTCCATTGACAATTTGCTCAAGCAATCTTTCCTTTTTGATGAGCACTTTCCAGCGATAACAACTTTTTGCTTGTCAGATGAGAGTTCTTTGATGCTCAAGTACTACATAGAAGTGAGTTGTATGAAATCACTGATGGAGCTTATTAGGTTTCCCAGCCCAAGGGCAACATGTTTGGAGGAGAGGGCATGCATCTACATGTTCCAGTCTTAAACAAAAAAGTTAGTTACTATGATTACAACTGATTCCTTTTCTTTGGGAGTGGCATGTTTTTCTGGGTTCATTGCTGCCTTGCCTCACTTTCAGCCCCAAATGTTTGCATAAATAAAGCTGTGGCTTTTCATGCCATGCTACTTGTGTGTTCTGATTTATTGGTTGAAAAAAACAATGGAAGCAGGTGCAGGAGCCTGCAAGTTAATAATTAACTTCATTTAAGGTGGCTATTGTTTTTAATATTTGCTTTCTTAAAAGTATATTTTTCTTTTTTATATATATAAAAAAGGTCATTTCTGACCAAAATGAACATAATATGGCTGAAAATATTTCTTAAATGGGATATGCAATGAGGTGAACATGTATTTTTCCATCATAACACTCCTCTAGGAAAATAGCATTTCCCCAGCATTTGTTGCTAGGAAAAATGCAAGTTCCTTGCCCTGCACAGCTGATAAATGTGGAATGTCTGGGATATGGATGAGTGAAGCTCCTAAGCACATCTTGACATTTGTAATACTGCCAAGTGATTAAAGAAACAACTCCTCATACTGTACTTTGGGGAAAGTTTTAGATTTTGTTACTTTGGTAATTTTCCTTAATGGTGAGGCTGAATGCTGTTGTGTTATAGCCCTGAAAAGCGGGGTGGCTCATATAACTATTCACACACACACACACATGCTAAAATGGGATACAGCCATTTCGAGACTTGTTTCTCTTGCTCCATTTCTTCTTCAGTTGGTTGAAACCTGGATCTTTCTGAACAGACATCTTCCATGTGAGAGAATTAAGAAACTTGCCTTCCATCTGCAAAAAAACCTGCTTTCTGTCCACAGGATAGGGATGGATAATGATGTTAATAGTACCAAAGAACCAGGACTTGGCCTACTTTTTTCTTTCCTTTTATCTGTTCATCAGCAGACAGAACTACAGTACATTGCAGATTTCATTATACTTACAAAATTAAAAAAATCAATCCAACTATTATCCATTTCTCATTTCTATATTGAAAAAAGTTATCTAAAATGTTATAGTATCAGTACACTATCTCTTTCACTATCCAAACTTTTTAAAATTGGTAAAATTAAAATAATTTCTCAAGGTATTATTAAGGGAGCATCTTCCAGTTTTGAGCAATTAGTATGTTAAAGGTAAAGGTAAAGGGACCCCTGACCATTAGGTTCAGTCATGACCGACTCTGGGGTTGCGGCACTCATCTCACTTTATTGGCCGAGAGAGCCGGCATACAGCTTCCGGGTCATGTGGCCAGCATGACTAAGCTGCTTCTGGCGAACCAGAGCAGCGCACGGAAACGCCGTTTACCTTCCCACTGGAGCGGTACCTATTTATCTACTTGCACTTTGGCGTGCTTTTGAACTGCTAGGTTGGCAGGAGCAGGGACCGAGCAACGGGAGCTCACCCCGTCACGGGGATTCAAACCGCCAACCTTCTGATCGGCAAGTCCTAGGCTCTGTGGTTTAACCCACAGTGCCACCCGCGTCCCTATTAATATGTTAGCTGCTGATATAAAATGAAAACCAACTCTGTAGTTTGTTTATTCCAGACTGCCCTCAAATAATTTAAGATTGCTGTCTCTGGATTGTATGGTATCTGTATACCTAGCATACTCTGAACCTTCTCAGCTAATAAGCAACTGCAATATTTATTATTTGGCTATGTTTCCCACATACATATATTTATTTTATATTTTTGCTGTGCTTTGTTTTAGGCGGGAGGCACAATTGGATGAAGAAGGGCAGTTTCTAGTTAGAATTATTTATGATGATTCAAAAACATACGATCTGGTTGCTGCGGCAAGCAAAGTCCTTAGTAAGTATATCTTTATTTCCTTCAGCACTGATTAACATTTAAGGAAAAACTGAAGTTTACGTGTAGTTAGTTCACAATGTTTGTTGATTTGCATTAAGGCATTTATTGCGTTGTAGTTTTTCATGCCACACAAGCATCTTGGGAATGTCAGTTTTCATTGTTAAAAGAAAGAGAAGGTGCTTGCGTTTCAAATGCATCAAAACAAAATTGAAGTACACAAAAATAGAACTCACAGAATTCTATGACAGTGGAATCTTGCAATAAAATATTAAAAGCCCAATGCATTCATGTTCCTCAGTGCTGATTAGGAAGTATTAAATGTGATTTTTTTTGGTTCTGCAGGGGCTTCAGTGCCTTCAGGTATTATATAATGCTTCATGTTTTCTTTAGACCTTAACGCTGGAGAAATCCTTCAGATGTTTGGGAAGATGTTTTTTGTGTTTTGTCAAGAATCTGGTTATGACACCATCTTGCGTGTGTTGGGCTCCAATGTTAGAGAATTTTTGCAGGTAAGAAATCTGTGGCAAACCATTAATGGTCAAATTCCAGAGTAATTTCTCAATGGCAGCAGCAGTTGTGGCCCAGTGTGGCCTTGGGCAAACTTGAGGTGGGGAGGCAAAAACCTTCCAAGCGTCTGGTTGGTCACCATCATCGGCCCCGGCCAGTAAAGGGGTCCAAGGGGAAGGATTCTGTCCATATGCCCAGGTGGGGGCTAATGGGTCATGGAAGTTATGCTTGGCTGATCCAGGATACATACCCAATGCCTAAGCCAAAGCCTTCCTGCAACTGTAATCAGTAAAGTTGTGGCCATTTCAATTCCCCAAGGGTTACCATGTCATTTATTGTTTCCTATATCCCTTAGGGTTGTTGCATCTGGGCCTGCATGTTTAGTAAAACCAATCCTGTTGAGTTCCATGGGAATTAACTCTTGCAGTACCTGTTCAAAGAATTTCAAATGAGAAATCTATTTATGGCTATTCTCTTAGGCAATAATTAGTGCTTTGCTGCACTACCTATTCCATAAATAAACTGATTTTACAATTCACATTTAAGAACTGAATTAACACACTCATTCAGGAAAACCTACCTACCAGTTTGCATTTGTACCATATCAAGTTAAGGCTCCAGTTGCACACTAAATTATGCATGAACACATTCTTTAAATTAAAAGGAATACAAATATGTGAAACTTAATTTGAAAGGCAAGCAAAAATAAATAAATAAATATAATTAGTATTTTAAAAAATATACAATTCTGGAGCCAACTGATGATTCCCAGGTAAGATCCATCCTCTGTTGTGTGGGCAGGGCGGTCCCTCCCCCTACTTGGCCGATTCCCTGGCAACGCCTCCCCAGGTGGGATTGGGCAATTGGCTGAGGTGGGTGCATACCTCCAGGTTTCCAGCCTGGGGAGGGCGAAGCCAGCCCATACTGCCAGGAGCCGCATGGGATCCGTGGGGGGGAGGAGCTGCACGTGACCATGCAAAAGGCGTCCCCCATTTGATGTGGGGAGCGGTCATTAGTATTTTTTTTAAATATACAATTCTTCCTTTTTATATTATGTAGGGCTGAAAGCATTACTAATGGAAATACAAAGCAGAATGTAAAAGAGAGGCAGCTTTTAGTTAAGTGCAATTTGAGAAATCCCAAGGGCATTATTATGTTATAACCACACACAAAAAAATCAATCAGGCACCAAGTGGTGCTTAACCTAAAATACTTTAGGGAGTAGTTTATTTGCCTTCTCATATTTTAAAATTAGCAACAGAGTATATGTTCTATGGCATTTTACAACACTCAGAAGAAATGCTTGCAGAATATGTCCAACAATGTGCCCCAGAGCTTATTTTTCCATCTTTCGCTGCATATACCCCAAACCTATCTACTTAAGGAGCATACTGGCCAGTTTACGTGTAACACGAACCCACGGCTAAGTCTGAACATGCAAGTACAGTCATACTTCATGTTACAGATGCTTCAGGTTACATGTTTTTGGGTTACGGACCGCAGGAAACCCGGAAGTACCGGAATGGATTACTTCCAGGGTTCGCAGCTCGCGCATGCGCAGAAGTGCTAAATTGTGCTTTGTGCATGTGCAGAAGTGCTGAATTGCACTGGCGCCTGCACAGACACAGCACTTCAGGATGCGAACGCTGCGGGTTTCGGACGTGCCTCTGTCATGGATTACGTCCGCCACCCGAGGTTCCACTGTACTCTTGCTTACTGGCAGCGAACTCCATGTTGGGAAGCTAGGTAAGGAACATGACTTCACCCCACTGGCTGCTACTGCTTGGGGTGAGTTTTAGCACCCAGGTGATGTTATAGCCACATGTTTGCCCTACTGGCTCCATTCAACACCGGCCAATAAGAGCATGGGGCACTGACTTCCTTCTCCTCCCCACATTTTCACCTTTCACTGGTTGCAATTTGCTCAAAGAACTGTATCCAGAATATTTCATTGGTTTGTTACTAATGTCTCTTACATTATCCCCCTTCCAGACTCCTACCTCTCACTTACTTTTTTTCCTCCCTTTTTGATGGACAAGCTGTTATCCTGGTTAGTGGGGAATCTTGATACACAGGGTAGTTTTATTAAGGGCAGAACTGGCTAAAAGGGAAATTGAATGGCAAAAAGGCATGTGATGAGCTATCATTAGTTACCAAAAATGATTCTTCCTGCTAGAAAGTGGCAGGGAGGTCACAAGAGGGCCAATGAGACTATGTTGTTGTCTGCACTCGGACATTTTCACAGGAATTGTAAATTTAAGCAATCCAGTTTCCAGGAAAGGGTTTTACTGAATGGTGCTCCTCGATTACTGCCCAGAATTAATTTAATGCTAAGTAAGGTTTCTTACTTAACATTAGATTTGACAAAAGTTTCAGGAACCAGTTAGAACCACATACACAAATTCTCCTGTAAAGGCACCACTGCGAGGAGGATTCTTGAGAGGAGCCACTGGACTATCCCATAATACTAAGCTTGAGCTTTCTTTATTGTGAAGGGTTTAGCTTGAAATACGGTCACTTTCTCTGACTCCTTTGGAAGAGTGCCACGCTCCTTAGTCAGACAAAACCAAAATACAAGAGTAGTCTTGAGAGCGGAATTTCTCAGTAACAAAAGAGTCTTGAAACAGGCCTTTGGAATGGGTTGATCTTTCCCTACAGCCATCATAGTAATCCATTCAGAGAAATGCATGGGTTAGTATGCTGGCTATTGATAAAAACCATCTCAATAAAATGTAAATTTCAAATAAGCAAATAAAGTAAACCAGGAAGCTCTAAGCTGAGTTTAGCCCAAGGAATTAATTTACAAGATGCTCATTTCCTTTGGAGACCTCCCAAGAGAAGAAGCAGCTGTTGAGGCTTTTCATTTCTCACAGAAAATAAAGTTCAAGCTATTTCTAAAGTTTTGAGGATCTGCAGATGCTCTGTAATACAGCTTGCTCTTATAAAACATTGTCATCATCTATTATGTTTTAAAAACATCAGCGCCCATATGAACATTAATGGCATTAGAAAATGCAGAAGGACGAGACAGAGCAGGTAGCAGTGCTTGTGCTACTGTATGGAGCAGAATTTGGAACAAATATTCTTCAGGCAGTTATGTTGCCTTCACACACCATTCACTTTTACAGTGAAAGGGCTGGAAAAATAGGTTCTAATCGTTTTCTGTTATTAAATAATCTCCTTGCAGAACCTTGATGCTCTTCATGACCACCTTGCTACAATATACCCAGGTATGCGGGCCCCATCCTTTAGATGTACTGATGCAGAAAAGGGGAAGGGACTCATTCTGCATTACTATTCCGAGAGGGAAGGGCTCCAAGACATTGTAATTGGAATCATCAAAACAGTCGCTCAACAAATTCACGGCACAGAAATAGATATGAAGGTAAGTTGTAGCATAAAGTTTCACCAACTTTCCACATGCCACAAATATATATTCCACAGGTGCTTTAATATTGTTTAACTTAAAATATTTTGTTCTCAGAGGGAAAAAGAATTAACACCACATTCTCAACGTGCTGTTCTCCCATTGTTAGACACAAAAATGCACTGTGTTATGTGTTACTGTTTTACTGTTACTGTTACTGCACTGTGTTACTGTTACAAGACTGTTTTCATGACACCGATTGGGAGGTATTCGCCCAACAGGATGTAGAGACTCATATTGAGCAAGTGTTGGACTATATTAGGTTCTGCACTGACAATGTAACACGGAGGCGCCGGATAAAGATCTACCCAAACAGGAAGCCCTGGATGACAAGGGAGGTCCAGGGGTTGCTAAAGGCAAGAAATACTGCTTTCAGAAGTGGAAATAAGTCGCTGTACAGCTTAGCTAGAGCCGATCTAAAGAGAGGTATCCGTGTAGCAAAGGAGGTGCATAGACAGCGGCTGGAGAATCATCTACAAAGTAACAACACCAGGCAGGTGTGGCAAGGTGTACAAGAATTAACAGGGTATAAATCTAAGGACTCCCTGGCAGACGAGGGAGGGGCATCCCTCGCAGAGGATTTGAATGCCTTTTTTGCCCGTTTTGAAGTAACATCTGCAGCAACACCTGCTGAGGCTTTACCAACACCACCACCACTCCCTGTGAAGGCTTTGCCATCATCACCACCATTGCCATCATCAGTCCAAAGGAATGCAGTAGTCTCTGTGGAAAAAGAAGAGATGAGGAAGGTGTTGAAGGGAATCAACCCAAGGAAGGCCACAGGGCCAGATGGGGTAGCTGGAAGGGTATTGAGAGACTGTGCAGATCAACTAGCAGGAGTTTTCACTGGGATTTTAAATCGATCCCTAGCCCAGGCTATTGTTCCATCCTGCCTAAAGTCCTCTATTATCGTTCCAATAGCAAAAAATCTAACCCGGAAGATCTGAATGATTTTCGTCCAGTAGCACTCACACCTATAATCATGAAGTGCTTTGAAAAGCTGGTACGAAATTATGTCATTGCCTGCCTACCAGAGGGACTGGACACATTATAAAACGAAAAGATCGACAGAGGACGCTGTGGCGATTGCCCTCCATGCCATCCTTGCACATTTGGAGCAGCGGGGGGGTTATGCCAGACTGCTTTTTTTAGATTTCAGCTCGGCATTTAATACCATTCTACCACAACGTCTGATGTCTAAACTGGAAGATCTGGGGCTTCCGTTATCACTTTGTGGGTGGATATTGGACTTTTGTCAGACCGCCCCCAGAGGGTTCGGTTGGGCCCCTATACCTCTAATATGCTCAAGACTAACATAGGAACACCACAGGGATGCGTACTCAGTCCGCTCCTTTATATTCTCTACACGTACGATTGTGTCGCTACTCACCCTAGTAATAGGGTTGTCAAATTTGCAGATGACACAACCGTGATTGGGCTCATCCCTGAAAGGGAGGGTGAAACGGATTATAGAGATGAGGTGGAGCGGCTGACAGAGTGGTGCAGAGCTAACAACTTGCTCATAAATACAAGGAAGACAAAGGAGCTTGTGGTGGACTTCAGGAGACAGAAGAGAAACGTCCAGCCACTTTTGATTGATGGGGTCTGTGTGGAGAGGGTAACAACGTTCAGATTTTTGGGCATTGAATTACAAGAGGATCTGTCCTGGAGTGTCAACACAAGGGGGCTTGTGAAGAAGGCGCAGCAGAGACTGTACTTTTTGAGAATACTAAGGAAAAACCATCTTCCGCAGAAACTGCTGCTTGCCTTCTATCACTGTGCCATTGAGAGCGTCCTCACTTATGGCTTATGTGTGTGGTATGGAAGCTGTACTACCCAGGACAGGATGGGGTTGTGCAGGGTTGTTAAGGCAGCAGAGAGCATTGTTGGCTGCCCACTCTCCACGTTAGAGCAGATTTATGCCACAAGGTGCCATAGGAAGGCACTGGACATAGTAAAAGATCCATCGCATCCTGGTCACTGTCTCTTCGAGCTCTTGCCGTCGGGACGGAGATACAGGACGATGAAGACAAGAACGAGCAGTCTTAAGAACAGCTTCTTCTCCAGAGTGATCTCGGCCCTGAATGGGAAGCCCGGACTTTGAAAGTCATCTAATCTCCCTTGCTGTATTATACTGTATTGATTAATTAGTGTTTTTATGGAGCAGTCAAGTAATTTCGTTTTCCCCAAAGGGGGCAATGACAATAAAGATATTATTATTATTATTATTATTATTATTATTATTATTATTACATGCCTGTTTCCATTGCTCTAATTATTATAGTCAAAAGTTCAAGAGCTGATTTATAGAAGCAGCAGTAGTCCTAGGTCATGATGCAGAATATTTATTCATTCCACACTCTTTTCACAATGTTAAATTTTCTCCACTATCCACTTTATGGCAGCTTGGCAACTCACCACAACCCACCATTGTAGAACTGTATACTTGTTTTTTTTATGAAAGAGTGCATCAGAATGGTTTCAGCGTAGCCTAAACTAGTGTCCAAGTCAAAGGAATAGCAACAGCAATGTTAAAAAGTGAGATCTGCAACAAAGTGTTGCAGTGTATCCTCACCTGGTATCATAAAATGTGATACCAATAAGGAGGGAAGAGACACATGTTCGGATTTTTTTGTGGATTTTTCAGCAGGGCAATGCATATAAATGGATTTTATATATAGTCAAAATCATAGTGTGTCACAAAGAAGAGAGATCAAATGGAGAATATAAGGCAGAGGAGCTTTTATGATCGCAAGGCTCAAATTTTCCACACCAGATGAACTGTGTACCAGACAGCTATGACAAAATCAAATTACAGCCTGCCACAAACACAGAGGCCATGTGAAAGTCAAAGTATGTCTAATAACTCAATCTATAGAATTGTGACACATAACTGTGGAAATACAAAAATACTAGTCAGTATGATCTGGAAGTAAACACACACAGCCTTTTGAGTGGATAAGAAATTAAAGGAACCAAAAAAAAGTCTACATTGGACAAAGATTGGAACATACTCCTATCTTTGTTGGTTTCCTATTTTTCTTCACGCAGTTGGCAAAGAGTTTGTTTTGTCTACAGCCTTCATAGATTTCTATTTTTAAAAGGTTGGGATTTATTCATTTCTTTTGCTAAATGTCAAGAAAATTATCCCAATAGCACTAAACTCGTGGAAATTGCACAAAAAATATTTAGCCTGACAGGACACCTAGAAATCAGAATGCTTGATACTCATTTCACCTTGATTGTCACATTTAGCTTCAGGAAAAATGAACAGAGGCAGCTGTAGGATGGGAGACATGCAAGGGCAAAAGGATAGGCTATTACAGTATAAGGAAGATTGCCAAAATAGTTGATTTTTTATTCATTTGACTTTCTCTGCGTATTTTGGGGGCTTGCTATGTTTTACGTAGGGAATGTGGGTGACCGCCACCGCAACATGGACATGTGACATCACACACACTATGTGCAGTTGTGTGTGTGTGACATCACACATTCACATTGCAGCGGCTGGCAGCAGCAGCAGTGGCTCCTCTTTGCAGCCAGCGAAGCATCCTTTTCCACAGGGAGGTGCTCAGACTTGGAGGCAGACTCTGCCCCCATGTCTGAGTTTCCCCATCCAGAAAAGGGTACCTCGCTGGCTGACTCTGGAGGACACAGCTGAACTTCTCTCTTGAAGGCACCACCACTGCCACCTGCTGGCTTTTCTCAATGACTTTGTAGGTGCCCGGCTCCCACAATTATATTATTGTGGGTGCCCAGGCACCCACGGCCCCCTGGAGTTGGCTCCTATGGTAGGGACACTGACCACCTTTGACCTGAAGCAAGCAGACAAGCAAAGAACAATGTTATTGACATATGAGCCATAAACTATGGTCAATCATAACTAACATTTTTTTTGAAACAAATCAGCTTCCTAAATCAAGGTTTGTACTTGGTTTGCTACAGTAAACCATAGTACAGACATAATGTTTTCAGATGTAATTGAAGTGAAAGCTTCTCTTCTTCAGGGTGTCTCTGGAAAAGGGAAAGAGAGTTTGTGAAGGTTCATTCCTATAATGATAAACTGTAGTTTATTGTTACAGTATGCTTGAATGCCCTCTCACATGACATTTCAGAGGAATACCACTGTCAGTCTGTTGCAGCTGAAACGACAGTCTTGTGGGACCATAATGTCCAAAGGATTTATTCTAATACAAGCATTTGTGGACTAGAATCCACTTTATCTTATGTAGTGTTAAATCAATGATAAATCAATAAGTCTTTACGTCCCATAAGACAAAAACATCTGGTGAGATGTTTTTGTCTCATCAAAGGACACCCATTTTGGTGAAGTGTTTCATTAGTGCTGGGTCTCTTTTGAAGCTGCCATTGATCTAAACTACTACAATTGAGCAATGAGTTAAATTTAGCTCAGGAGCTTTGTTCTGGTTGTATAAGCCAGGAGCATAACGTCTCTTTCAAAATCCAGTTGGCATGTCTGTTCTTTTAAACCATAAAAACACACACACACCACCATCATTTGTTAGTGAGCTGCCTTGGAGTATGTTAAGGGAAGGTGGGCTATAATTTTTATACATAAAAAAGTCTGACCTAAACAGGGCTCCTTCTTTGCAAGCTAATTCCCTCCACTGCAACACACACACTCAAAGGAAATGTATTCATGTAAAAATGCTGCTTCACATATATCCTTGCCTCTCCCACAAATCTCCAGTTCCATGACGGTAAACAATCACATACCTATCTTACTTAATGTGTTTTTCTCGAAAAAAGTGAAAACATAGGACATACTGTACTATTGCATAGCATTTTCAAAAGCTAACTTTAATGCAACACAATGGACATAAGCACGAAACAATATAAAACTATCTATGTTTCCCCAAAATCTAAAAATTGTTCTGAAGGTCTTTTGTAATGCAGTTTGTAGGCATTTTCAAAACTCTCTCCCTTATAAATGCCGCTTTTCACACAGCCAAGTGGGAACATCAGTTTTGCAGAAGATTTTATTGCAAAGCACAGGAGAAAGAATCTGCTAGATATCTCTTTGAAACTTAAAGAGTGATTTGTCTTCATTTTTATTGCTGTTACCATGGTGAAAGAGTACGTACGCATGATTGGTTGACGTAACTTGGTAGCTAGGTCCAGAGGGAAACAAAAGTCAAACTTTATTCCTGGCTGTGTCGCTGCTGGTGATGCTCTTTCATTTATTTAATATCACACAGTCGGGTGTTTAGCAAATTCCCGGACCTATTTGAAGTCATATAAAACTTGAGAAGCAAGGAGTTATCTAATTCTGCTTCTATGAACTTCAGATGGGTGTGTGTGTGTGTGTGTGTGTGTAACTTAGGTGTTTTGATTTTATGTTTTTTTAAAAGAAAAGGTTACTTGAACATCTTTGAATAACAAGCAAGTAACAAGTCTAATAAAAATAATAGTGTCAGGTGTTCTACACAAGGAGCTTTGGGGCAGAAATTCAGCATTTGCAGGAGCAAGCCTCATTGGCCTCAGTGGAACTTGCTTCTGAGTAGACATGTAAGCAGCACAGGCACATACATCTTTAAAATGAAGTTAAGAATAATTATTCTTGATGGAAAGTGCAAGAGAATGAAGTAGATGTGAAACTGGTCATACTCCTCGGGGAAAATACAATTTTTTTCAGTGAGTTTTCAAACACATATTTGCATTCAACTCTAGAATATTCTTTTTAAGAGGCATTATTTACTTAAGGTGCAGGGCTTTTTTTAAGAGCCACCCCACCCCCAGCAGCGTGTATTCTGCCAATCACATCATCTTTTTTTAACAGACGCTCAACTGCTTTCATTTTTTCCAGAATACAACGGAAATGTTTCTATTGATTTCAGCTGTGCTTTGGCTCAAGCACTTACTTATTTTTTAGTGTTCCGACTCCTTCATGTCCTTCCCTCACCTCCTTTATCTCAATTGCTCTTATTCATTTCAATTCAGCACTGTGAATTACAGTTGCAACTGTGCTGTTATTGACACATACTCATTCGGTAGAGGTCATTGGAGACTGCAGAGCACTTGAACGAAACAGCAGATTGGTTTTCTGAAACTGTGGCGACTTGCTGCTGTTTAATAGTGGCACTTTTTGAAACAGACTAGACAGTTTCATAAGTTTAGTAGCGGCGGGGCGGATCCTGCTAGTATTCTGCAGGGACTTTTATAATGTACAAATCATTTGGCTTGCATGTTTTCTTTCGTTATATTTTCAGCATTATCCCAGGAGGGAGGGACTTTGAATAGAAAGAGACCTACCAGCAATAAGCAATATTTGTTAACATTGCAGGCTAAGCACTTCAGCCATATTGTTTTTTAAAAACCTTTGTATTGTATTTATTTTATTTTAATTAGGGCTGCAGTATTTAGTAAATTAATTAGTTGCATTAATAGATTCAAGAAACCTACAGCTATCTAAAAAGGTGCAGCCGGTGAATTAGGCAGCAGATTATTTATATATTAAAAAACCCTTATTCATTTCTTGTTTTGATATTATTAAAAGCTGTGGGTGGCAGGCACCATCTTAGAAAAAGCACCCCCCTTTTTATATCCCAGAATAATAAGATGGTGGAAGCTGTGACATGTGCATGATTGCCTAAAAACTATCGAAGTGTGTTTCAGTAGCTTTGTTTTAATATACAAGTCTATGCAGATTTAATAAATTGATCAGTTAATAATCCCACTAATTTATATAGTTAGTGAACTAAGATTCTGTTAATGAAGTGGCAGTCTATGTTTTAATGGATTATTAAAAGAGGGATGAAAATATAATCAGGAGGGTTTTTTTAAAGGCAGTTATATCTTGCCGGATAAGATGAATTGTTTGATTTTCAAAATTTTGGCTGCTTTTCCACAATCCTAATTATGAGACTTAACTACAATGGAGTGAACCACAGGTGGAACTGGTTCAGTTAATTTTGGAACTGGTCTTGCCCGTTAATTTCTAAAGCCCTGTGCTTCTGTAGCCTTCTGTGCTGTAAACTGGATCCCTACCCTTGGCTCCTCTCCATCCCGAGAAAGGAACTGAGAGTCTGACAAGACCTCAGAAGACTGGGGTAACATTTAATCCACCTGGTCCTCATTCCATACCCTCCAATACATTGAAGCTGGAAACCAGGACATGCATCTTCCCAGCCCTGCTCCCACTTGAGTCACATGACCCATGCGAGATCACAAATCTCTTGTGAGGTCGCAATCTCGTGTGTTTCAGGATGCCATGCTGAGAGCACGATGTCCAAAACTGGCTTGTCCCAATTTAATCGGGGTAGTTGACAGGTATGCCATGCATGGTGGTCAAGACTTCTTAAAGTTGTGGCACTGCCTAGGGTTCCATTTCATTTCAAACCAGCCTTGGCCTCCAGATGGCCTGGAATGTATTTATTATTTCTTCTGCTGCTCAGTGGTCTGATGCTCTCACTGCCCTTTCTACATTTGAACATAAGCGTCAATCTTATAAGTGTCAATCTTCTTTGGATACCTATTTGTACACATTGATTGTCTATATTAATTTGTATGTTTAAGTCAGGATTGATGGAGCATTTTTTAGTATTAATGTCAGCTGGTGATATTTTTTTCTCTCTGCTATGTTTGCATTAAAAAATAAATAAAAATGAACATATTTCTATATAGACATCCTGCTCAAAAAAACAATGAAACAGAGTTGTGGTCAATGGACCCTCAAATCCAGAGTCAAAATCTGGAATTATGAAAATCAAGAATAGCTCTTGTTCATTGCTATAGAAGAATAACCCTAAAAAAATGTTTTAAAAAGTAAAATTGCCCATAATTGTTGTTGTAAATCAGGTTTTTGTTGTTATTATTCAGGTTATTCAACAGAGAAATGAAGAGTGTGACCATATTCAGTTTTTAATTGAAGAGAAGGAGTCTAAGGAAGAAGATTTTTATGAAGACCTGGACAGATTTGAAGAGAATGGCACTCAAGAGTCTCGCATCAGTCCTTATACTTTTTGCAAAGCTTTCCCTTTCCATATTATATTTGATAGATATCTAGTTGTCACCCAGTGTGGCAATGCAATATACAGAGTCCTTCCACAGGTGATAATTCTTATTTTTCCTGAAAACTGTATACATTTTTATTCCTCTGTGCTCCCATCACCACACCCGGTAAACTAGTCAATGCTATTCACTAGCTTATATTGGTTGTGGTATTTATTATGCATGGACAAATTTTGTATGCACTGCTAGAACTCCAAAAGACATTTCACATTAATGCCTTTAACTAATTCCATCTTTGTCTTCATAAAGTATCACAGTCCTTCATTTCAACAGCCTTTTAACCATTATTTTAACATTTTTATTTTTAATTTATTTTACATCTGTTGGAATTGATCAAAAGTCCACATAGGTGCCAAGTTGATCAAAAGTCCACATAGGTCTCAAATCCTTCCATATTTTGAGTCATATGACTAGTCATGTGGAATATGCATCTCAAGATGGTGCAACAAATCATTCCTTGATTGGAACTGACCATCTTTACTCAAACAGTTTATTAATATGGTAAAATCTAGTGTTGTGTATATGTGTTTGTGTATGTGTGCGTGGGGGGTACTCCTCAACATTGTACTGATAAATTAGCATAGATAGAGCATTGGGAAACAGAATTCAAATGCTACATATGATATAGAGTATAAATAATTTCAGGTCTTTGAAAAGAAATTTGTCTGTCTCATTTATATTTCAGCTCCAGCCAGGGTATTGCAATCTTTTGTCAGTGTTTTCGTTGGTTCGGCCTCATATTGATATTAGTTTCCATGGAATCCTCTCACATATCAACACAGTCTTTGTGCTGAGGAGCAAGGTAACCATACTGTTCACCTGCCATTTTTCAATGATAATCATGTTTTACTTGGATGAACAATAGAACCTCAAATTTCTTTACCACATTTTGACATCTTTCTGCTTGGGTGAAACAGAAGTAAAAACAACATTAGACTGTGGATGGCATTAAAGTAGTTTGTGGAAAGATATGAAAATATACAGATATAACTATGACACCTTTAGCTGCAGTTATGGGTTTGGTTTTTTTTTTCTTTTCTTTACAAGGAAGGGCTGTTGGATGTGGAAAAGTTAGAGTGCGAAGATGAATTAACTGGAACAGAAATTAGCTGCTTACGCCTTAAGGGTCAAATGATCTACCTACCAGAAGCAGATAGTATTCTCTTTCTTTGTTCGCCAAGGTAAGCAAACACAATTTGTTTATATTGCAGTGCATTGTTACAAAAACTTGTACAGTAACTCACATCTTACATGAGGGTTCGGTTCTAGGAGTCCACATGTATATCTAAAAATGCACAGGGACGTGGGTGGCGCTGTGGTCTAAACCACTAAGCCTCTTGGGCTTGCCAATTGGAAGGTCGGCAGTTCAAATCCCTGCAATGGAGTGAGCTCCCGTTGCTCTGTCCCAGCTCCTGCCATCCTAGCAGTTTGAAAGCACGCCAGTGCAAGTAGATAAATAGGTACTGATGTGGCAGGAAGATAAACAGTGTTTCCATGCGCTCTGGTTTCTGTCACTGTGTTCCGTTGTGCCAGAAGTGGTTTAGTCATGCTGGCCACATGACCCAGAAATCTGTCTGTGGACAAACACCGGCTCCCTCGACCTGAAAGCAAGATGAGCGCCACAACCCCTTTGTCGCCTTTCACTGGACTTAACCATCCAGGGGTCCTAAAATGCATAAAGCCAGGAACTCCCAGAACCAGGTCCCCTGCAAGGTGGAGAGCTGCTTACTCAACTTTGGGAAGGAAGCAGGAGAGCTCTGGTAGGGACCTAGAGTCCCTCCCCCACCTACTTTCCAATGCCCAGTAATTTCTTGCCCAGATTTGGGAAGGGGGCATTTTCTTACACTGCCTTCCCTAAGCCAAGTAAGCCCACAATCGCAGCTTTGTGCAGGTGGATCAGGGGGAAATGAATAAATGTAGGGTGGGCTTCCTCTGCTCTCTATTTGTTTATTTAACCCCCTCCCTAACCTGCCCAAATCTGTGATCACTTAAGTTAAATAAGCATCAGATGTGAATTACCTGTATTCTTTGGGCCAAAATATCCATGATGCAAATGGTTGTGTGTGTATTAGCAACAACAACAACAATTTATTTTAAAGAAACCATTTGGAGTGCCCATTCGGGCAGACCAATTGTACTTGGTATTTAACCCTTTTCACCCTGCACCATCTGCCTAATCTAAGCTTGTTTCTCAAGGTGCTGTTGACCCCACAGCTCTCTCTCCCCCCCCCAGGAGCTTCATGAAATAATTTAGATTGGGAAAATGGTCAAAGCCTCTTTCTCACCACCACTGCTCTGATGGGAGGTCTAGACATGGATCTCCTTAATCACCTCTGTTTTGGCCGTTTGGCTTCAACATTTCCAGGACAACATTCTTGTGGCACAGTAACATAAGCCCATTGATGGCAGAACTTGCTAGTTTCAGATATACTGATCTGTATCTGCTCTGTGTCTTCTTATTCCCTATAATCCTCTGTTATGATATGTGAAGGAAGGTCTTTGCATAGCAGGCAAACTCACAGCACTATCACATCATGGGTGTTTCTGTAGTGACTTTAATTGTTTGATCGCACTTCTCCATTCTCAGCTTTATCTCTCTTCCCCGTGTTGACAGGGTAGAAAAGGCGGCATATTCAGTGCATATTAAATAATGAGGGTGGTAGAGGTTCTCTCTTACTTTGGGGGAGTGTCAAAATATATTTGCAAATTAACTTGATCAGTGTTTTTAATGGCTGTGCAAGGCAAATCTGAGTGCCAGGTTTAACTCACCATTTCCCCATCTGGTCTTTTGATTGTTTATTTGTATTACAGTGTGATGAATTTGGATGACTTAACTAGAAGAGGGCTATACCTGAGTGACATTCCACTGCATGATGCTACCCGTGATTTGGTCCTTTTGGGAGAGCAGTTCAGAGAGGAATACAAGCTGACTCAAGAGCTGGAGATACTAACAGACAGGCTTCAGCACACATTAAGAGCACTGGAAGATGAGAAGAAAAAGACAGACACGTAAGAGTTGATCTCTTAAGTTTACATGAGAAACAGTAGAAGTAGTTATTTTCCGTCTTAACCTGTATTTTGAGGCTTAACAAACACATCTGATTTTGAATTGTCCTGTTAGTCAGTGACTCTTTACCGAATGCATTGTTGCCATAATTCTTACATAATTCTTATGAGTGCAAGATGAACTTCTTGAATGGATGTCCATGTCAACCTCTATCTAAGATCTGATTCTGACCTGTTAAAAGTTTTAGATCATGCATATCCCTGTATTATTCCTCCCACCTTCTGTATTATGAGGCAGCCATTGACCTAATGATTATCAGTTTAACTTAGTGGAATAGTTAATATTTTATGAATCACTATTATGAAACTATGGTGTTTCGTTTTGGAAATGTTGACATTTTGGTCTAAGGAGTTCCTACCTTGGACAGGATAGCCTTCTCAGTCTTGGTATCAGTGATGTGGGGCTGATTTACACATCACACTGATTGTAGAGATAGCAGCCACCAGAAGATTCCAGCAGGTGCATGCAGGTCCTTATTGTAATGGTGGCCACCCACATTCTAAGCTTCTCTGAATGTCATAGGTGGGCCAGGAATCACTGTTTACAGTAGTGAGCATTTGACATAGTCACTGACTTTCTTTAATAGTTTTATGCCTTCTGACAATCTGAATATGATTACAAATTGGAGCTGATATGTGAAAATAAGGACACAAACAAGTTAAATGAAAATTAATACCTATTAACTCATTCAGAATACTATATTAAGTCACTGAATAGCTGTGTAAACTGTATTTCAATGGGCTCAAAATGAAAGCATTCTGGAAGACTTCATGTACTAGTCTTCGAAGGAAATGCATCCACTTTTATTGTTATCTCCCTTCATTATCTTTCTTCCCTCTGTTTTCTTCCCTCTGTCTGTTTTCCCTCAACGTCTCATTAGCTTTTATGTCTTGGATCCTAATGTTTGTTTACTGGCACATAATCTATCTATCACAACCTGAATCAGTTGAGCTTTCAGAATAATAAAATATTTCTGGACACCATAAAAACTTAGGAAAAAGCTGGCTCGGGAGATCTTTGTTTAATTTGCATGCACATAACTTAAGGGCTAAACGAGATTCACACAATTAGCAATTATTAGGGGTAAAAGGTTAACGCTGCATGTCAGGATTCTGATCTGTATCAGGGCCCACACACTTCCAATTTGCTTTTAAAAAGCCATTCACATAATTCCTAATTGTGTGAATGGCATCTCATCTAGTCTGAACCATACAATCTAAGTACCTTTTATGTGTAGTCTTTAGAATGAAACATTTCGCTTTTTGTGAATATTGTACTTTGCAATTTTTTTGGGTGGGGGGAAGACAGTAAATAATAAAATGTGAGCATATAACCCTCTAGCTGATAATGGATATCTCTGCTGAAATATCAATTTATCCAGACTGGAAGTGCTTGTGGGTGTGTATATTCATCTCACTGTTGCTTGTTTGACCATAGGCATTGGTGACAAAGGAAATGAATACATATAACATGGTTAACTCTGCCTCTGTTGGGCCATTTTCATTTTTCTTAAAGCTATTGCCTGTCCCCAACTATTCTCTAGATAAATCTAGAGTATGTGACTTCTTTGCAAAAGATTAAGGGCACATTCCATGGAACATTACGTATTTTTATGTACCATCAATTTCAACTACAGAGATTTAAACTCAAGTCCTTGAGAGTTTAGCAGTGCTTTCTCATACCTATATAGTTTTGCCCATTTTATCTTTCAGTATTCTAGGAACATTTTTAATGCACACCAATGTCTGGTGCTTAAAGAGTATTACTTCTGTCATTAATATATTTTTTAATAAGTGACTTGGAAACCTAAAATGTATAAAATCAGCTCTCACATGAGAAGCTTATTACACAAAAAAATGACTCATGTTTATCTCTTCCTTTTTTTTTTCTTTACTATTACTGTCCAACGTTATGTAGCTTGCTGTATTCTGTCCTTCCTCCATCTGTGGCCAATGAGCTGAGGCACAAGCGCCCTGTGCCAGCAAAGCGCTATGATAATGTGACCATACTTTTTAGTGGCATTGTTGGGTTTAATGCCTTCTGTAGTAAACATGCCTCTGGAGAGGGAGCCATGAAAATTGTCAATCTCTTAAATGACCTTTACACAAGATTTGATATCCTGACGGATTCACGAAGGAACCCCTTTGTTTATAAGGTAAGCACCACTGCTTCATTTCTGATTTTTTGTTTGTTTGAGATAATGCTGCATTAAATGAAAATTAATGTAGAAACAGCCCTGTAATGATGAAATTATGAAAGAGGTGTATTATCTGAGCTCAGTTCTATGGAGTATTAGAATTTCCCATTGATGTAATAATGGTTTAATTCTTGGCAAGAGAAAACATCGCGCTGAAATAAATTTATTCTGAAGACAAAATAGCTGCATCAATGTTGATTACAGAAATTGGGGAAAGTGAACTCCTGACTCCAAAACACTTTACTGATGTTTCTTTCTGAATCCAAATACCTGAGGCTAAGCTGTGATTTCTCTTAGTGTCATGTCCAAGTCATGATTTGTCTCACTTGAGACAAGAAATCAGCTGTAGCCAAGGTTTGTTCTTTGTTTACTACTCATGTTTTGAGAAACAAACCATAAGCCCATGTTCAGATGCTAAGCCAAACCATGGCTTACTTCTGGATAGTGTGATAGTAGGAGGACTGAGAGAGGAATGCAGCCACTACAGTCTTTGCTCCAGGAACCTGCATGTTTACTTGTTCACACTTTGTTTGGGCCTCTCTCCCTCCCCCTCCCCCCGATTTATTTTGTTTGTTTGATGCAGCAATAGCTAGAACATTCTCCAAGTGTTTTAGCTGATAGCGAGTTAGATAGATCAAGACTCTTGCCCCTGAAGAAGATTGTCTTCTAAATGTATTTGGTTGGGTATATCATATGCTATAATAAATTATATTTCCCAATCTGAAATTTTGCTTGGGTTTCGTTTTTTGTTTGCTTTTTGGTGCCACCCTTCCCTTCCTTCTTCATTAAGCTTTCTAGGCCTCTACACTTGCTACCTATCTAAAAAATAATGCACTTTTCTCTGATTCTTCTATATTTATACCATACGTTGCTTTTAGAAAGTATCCTGTGATGGGGCACAGATCAATGGGTTGCACCCAATGGAGTGCTAAGTTAAAGTCACCTGGCGGTATACTTGTGCTGCCGGAACATTGATACACAAGGGAAAACACAAGCACATTACCAAAGATGGTTGCACAACAGATTGCACAACAAACTTTTATTAATGCAACTGTTGTGTTGGATTCCTTTGTTGTGCAACCTTTAAACTGTACCATCTGCTAGTGCAAGAGCCCTTTCTGTTTCAAAGGTATGGCTAGTGTTTGTAATAACACTGTTTCCACGTAACCAAGAAAATGGAATAACTTCCAACTTCACATTTTATTAGGTTGAGACAGTTGGAGACAAGTATATGACAGTAAGTGGCTTGCCAGAGCCATGCATTCACCATGCGCGTTCTATCTGCCACTTAGCATTGGATATGATGGAAATTGCCGGACAGGTTCAAGTTGATGGAGAGTCTGTACAGGTTAGTAATTAACAACATGCTACTGGTCCTCAGGGAGTTTTTATACAAGAAGAATTCATACCTAGATTTTTCAAACATATCTGAGTGCCAACTTTCAGGTGTGTGTAGCCTAGAAACCATGGGGCAAGATCGTACAAGACCAGTATTAGGCACTGATGCAGAATGCAATAGGGAATGGTTGAGGAATACCACCAAACTAAATATACTTCCATGTGAGAATTACTCCATATTTCTTCCCACCATTCTCATCAGTGCTTCCCCTTCCCCTTGATAGTGTGCATTGAGATAGGTGGTCTGGATCATGCTGAGGTTGTTAGGTTGTTCCTTCCCTCAAGACTGGTGCTTGGGACAGATGAAGGGGACATTAGGAGAATGTGGGTTGAGATAATACAGCAACATTGTTCCATCCTCTTGTAGGATAACCTTGTCTTTTGGAAGCTCTTTTGCTTAACAAGCACTCAGGTAGTGGCCTCGTTTGTTTTATTTTTTTAACAAAGTCTTTGTTGTAGTGAAGCTTCTAAGTCGTTTACAGAAATATTAAAATTATCAGTAAAACAATTTAGAAGCAGTTGTGCAATGGCTACATTTATCTCCCCACAAATGCTAAGCCATCTACCCACTACTTATGTAATTGTTTATTGTGCAAATGCAAAATTGCAATGCTGTATGCATTTCACTTCAAACAACTTGGTAACATCTTTTTATTATTGTTACTGTTCATCTGTATTTTTGTTCATTTTAAAAGATAACAATAGGCATCCACACAGGAGAAGTAGTCACAGGTGTCATTGGTCAAAGGATGCCCCGTTACTGTCTTTTTGGAAACACTGTTAATCTAACAAGCAGAACAGAAACCACTGGAGAGAAAGGAAGAATCAATGTCTCTGAATATACTTACAGGTGAGAAATTGAGTGTACAGATGGCTTATAGCAATATCCAGAAAACAGCTTTCTTAGAACAATGGGCTCACTTTTTCATTGATTTTAGAGACAGCTCCTTATATCAGCTGATTTTTTTGGGGGGGTGGGCACACTGCCAATACTTACATGCATCACAGAGCAATTCTAACCCCTGGCTGGGGAACAGTCAGACAGAGTGGAGAGAGTATATTTGACAGGGTGGGAGATTTTTCTTTTTTGCTGTACCAACTCCAGGCTGCCACGGTTGAGAGGTACATAGATTGTGACCTTTGGGAGATCCATAAGACTTTGGATCAGGCAGATACAAAATTGCTGGCAATTTGGGCCTTCCCAAAGGCTACCACAAGCAGGAAAAATGCTGCTGGAGGCTTCCTATCTGACTGGGTACAATGAGGACCTCCGTAGCAATGGAGCTCTCCCCTGTCATCAGAGATCACAAGAAGGTCAACTCTTCCAAATCCTAAAACCCTCCAGCTACAAAGATCAGGGGGTTACAGTTGCATTGTTAGTGCAAGCAATTATTCCATATGGGGAAAGACAATCACCTTCAGATACTCTGGGAGTTATAGGCTCTTTAAGACATATTCTGACATCTTTACTATATTGCAAGTCTTGGCCTGAAAGCACTTCATGAAAGTGTATTTTGCGGTTAATGGTTTGGTTATATCTCTTTTTATTTGCAGGTGTCTAATGGCTCCTGAAAATTCAGACCCACAATTCCATCTGGAACACAGAGGTCCCGTTTCCATGAAGGGTAAAAAAGAACCAATGCAAGTTTGGTTTTTGTCCAGAAAGTGCACAGAGACAGAGGTATGACTAATCAAAAAGTGCTTTTAAAAAGAAGACGCACAGAATATGTATGAACAGTCAAAATCATGACATTGTTTTTCTTGCAAAATTCAATGTTCCCTCGAAGAAATTAACCTTCTTTTTTAAACCCATTAATGTATTTCTTGACAATATACTAATTTGTCCCTGGTGTTTATGCATTTGTTAGAAATCAGGCTTTCTGCTTCAAAAAGTCAACGAGAGAGTGATAAATCTTTAAATTTTAATCTCACACACTTTCTACGTCCTACTTTGCTGGAACTGGTATTATGCAATGTCTGTGGCTAGGAGTATCAGAAATTTCTAACCTTGCTTCTCTTCATTTAAAATGATATTGCTGTCAGTCACCTGTAATATGCACACAACATCCCCTTAGTATTTGTTTTCAGAAACGGATTGATTTTACCAAAACATATTTGCAATTTGGCCTGACATAAAATTGAAAGCCACTATTTGTTGAAGCTCTAAAGTTGAAAACTCTTCTTTCCAAATAAATTGCTTTAAAGTGGTAAAGTGCATAGTAATTATGGCATCCTAATGAGCAGGCTTTACTATAGAGCAATAGATTTATATTCTAACAGATTGGGAACTGCTAGCAGAAGTAGCTAACTAATTGCTTTAGGGTGCAGTCCTAACCCCTGGCTTGCTGGGATGGGGCTTGAAGAAGCTGCACAGCCAGTGCTCCGTCCCTAGCGCTCATGCCATCCAAGGCAAAAGAAGGGGGTGGCAGGAATAAAATGACCCTTCACTGCACCAGCTCCCAGAGAACGTGCTTGAATTGGGTCTATTGCTGTCCTATTGCTGGCATATGACAGCAGCAGAGTCCCGTTTTAAAATGGGAATTTTCTCAGACATCAATACTGAATTGCATTACATGGGATATTGTGGAATGTTCCAGATTCCACAAGGCAATTGGAGGTATTTTCTTATTTTATAGGAATTTAAACTATCAAGTGCACTTGAGAGTAACTCCCATGATTAAATATGGGTTAGTGTCACTACCAAGATACATAAAGCATGTGCTTCCTCAGACACCGTTTTAATTTGTTGCACTTCACCCATGTGAGAATATATCTTAACTTATCACACATTACCACAAGCTCAACTGTTTCCTTTTCAAACTTTTCTCGCATGCCTTCAAGGATGTAACGCACGATGCTAACTGAGCCAGGCGAAATACAAGAGGACAAAGAACAGAGTGGAACACTGTGTCCTGCCACTAATACAGCCTGTTTGTAATTAGATGTGACTGCTGTTGCTACATTTGTGTCTCTTCTGTTTGTTCATCCAATGTGTGCCAAACAATAACATTTTCACTAAGCTCCTCTGCCCCCTCTCCCACCATGCTGCTGTTTGGTCACTCCCCTTTTGATATTGTAGTAGGTCTTCTGTGGGTCTGTGTATCTCAATGTCTTTTGTCTCCCATTCTTTATCTAACACAAACTTTTTCACATGCCACAAGGGATGTAGTGCTTCACACATATGCTTCTCATCTACATCTTTAGTGACTAATCACCATGATCTTTATGATGCTGTAACTCAAACTGTTTCTGCGAGGGGAAAAATTCCAATTGATAGCAAGCATCATGAGCTCAGAGAGCTGCTATTTTTATAGCCGTGATTTGGCATTTTGTTGTAAAGTTTATACTAATCCATCTGCTTTCCTCCAATCTGCTATTGTGAAATATTGCAGTTTGTTCTAGAAGGTAGCTTCAGTACGCTGGTGGTTGCTCTTTTGCTATGTATTGACTCTCTGCTGATGCAACATACGCATTTTGTACATGGAAGAGAAGGGTAGGTTGTTTAATATTATGTTATAGTAGGAAATGTGAGTCAATTTCTGTTCTAAATCTAATTGTGTTCTCTCCTATTTCTCCTACTGAATTCTGAGGGTAAAGATGATTCATGCATACTTGCATAATAGGTTGTTGGACAACTTTTAATATAATGCATAATGATATTATTACTTTTTAGACCAGGGGACATTTCAAAGAAAAAAATGGATACCCAACCTTGAGGTCCATAATAATGAAGAATTTTGGGGGCTTTATTCTGAAATTCAGAAGTTTACTCTGAAATTAGGAGACCTATAATAAGTCATAGGTCTCTGTCATTCTGCTTCTTGCAAGGCCCATACAGAGGCATTGGCAAAGACTCTGTCCCACGTGACATATACAGGATAGGCATGTGCAAAATGACCCTGAATGCACAGCATGGTTAGGCTACAAAGCATGGATTAGGTACTTCTAAATTGCAAGGCTAATAGCTGTTCCTCCCCACAAAAGTATCCAAGAATACAAGTAAGATTGTTATGGAAGAAAATGCCATGCTTAGTACTTTTTAAAGGAAGAAGTCACTCTCCAAAGGCACTAGAAATTTTAAAACATTAGGCTTCTACCATACAGTCTCTTCCGTTGCCCTGTCCTTCTGGGCAGAGCACCAGGAATGATCAGATGTGCACTATGCAAGAAGCCTATTTCCACAATTAGCATGGTGGCAAAACCCACTGTGCATTCTTGAAGATTCCCCTTGAAATTTGCTTTCCCCAGGATCTGGTCAGAATGCTCTCTTGGGTGAAATTGAGGCAACAGTATTATTTTATACTATTTCCCTATAAGTGAAAGACATGTTTTGGATATGGTTATTAAGCCTTGTTTTATTGCTTGGAAAAAAAAAGTATGTCCATTATTATATAAAGAACCTTCATTATCCAGGTTCATCTTATGTGTGTCTGCATAGACCCGTGTAAATGTGAGCTGCACTTGTATTTTTATGAACTTCTGATTATCTTGTATTCTAAACCTGTCAGAACTAATGAGCTCAGTTTAGATATATTGTAGGAATAATACAATGACTCCTAATTCATTTCATATTTTTTGATGATGCCTTTATAAGATATGAACATGTACATATATGTATATATACATAAATATGAATGTAATGTATAAAATTTGTCAGTCTCTAGTTTATATAAATATATATATATATATCTAACCAATATAAAATATATGTATAAATGTTTTATGTTAAGGTGTATAAGGAAAGTCTTTAAATTATGGGCTTTTTCTCACTGAAAGGGTTTCTCCCTGTGGAAAACCATATGTTAATATTGGAAATGGTATAATAAATACAATTTATCCCCTATCTTCTGAATTAAGTCTCCCTTATTTAAGTAGATCATAATCCAAGGGTGGGGAGTCTTAGGCCCTGCCTCACACATCAAGAGTTTTTGCCTGACTGGAATGTGTCCTTGAGTGATGCCTCTTGCTTGTTTGGATGGCGTTTGTGAGTTTGCATAGAAGCTAGCCTGCTGTAGAAAGGTGACCATTTACATGTGTTGCTCCTCCCACTTTTGCCATCGGCACATGATGCATAGAAGATTGGACAAAAGTGAATGTGGCCCTCAGGCTGAAGAAGGTTATATTCACCCCTGTTGTAGCCCATGGCTTGATCTCAGACTCACAGAATCCTTAGGCTGCATTCCATTGCAAACCGTAGAGCTGAGATTTTGATGGTTGATTTCCAGAAATCTGTGAATCATGCACCCAAACAATCTCAAGAATTTTATAGGCCAAATTGGGCCTTCTAGTATATGTCATGCTGCATTTGCTTTAGGGTCTATTTGGATGCTCTGCTAAGCAAGAAGAAAGTGTATGTGACCCCTGCTTTCTCTGTCACCACTTTTGCATCTCCTAGGAAGGGAAGGTTTCCATCACTACTTTAGTAGAATTTTCAAAGCCAGCCTGTTTATAATAGAGCTTAAATTTGTACTGTAACATCACACATCTTTTTACTTTGCATTATTCATTTAGGTTCCAGCCCCAAAAACACTTACTTAGGGGACTGACGTCTGAGTGTTTGCATTTGTGTGCTATGTTGGCTGAGGTCCATATTTTCGTTGTTCTTTATGTTCCAAAGGAAAACCTTATTAGAACCAAATACTAGAATTTTCCACACCCGCAAAACAAGCAAACAAAAAAGAAACACACATAAGGTTAGTTTCTATAAAAGTTAAACCAGCTCAGTATATTTTATTTTCTTCCAGCACGGCAATCTATAATACTGTATCAGAACTGCAGAGCTGATTAATGCCAGAAATAGCTGCTATCAACAACTGTTCAAAGCCTTTAAAATGACAGGAATGGTAGCTGCTGGAGACAAATCATGGTGGGTACAAGATACGAAGAGCCTTAAGGTTTCCAGCACCACCGTTCCTTTAACATTGGTGCAAATCTATTACACACTTCTTAATTATAACCATGCTTCTAGGGGCACTAAATTGCTTTTGAAAAGAAGATGGTCAGCGCTCTCATTTTAAATTCCTGCATGCAACAGTCTGAACCATGCTTTCGATAGAGCTAACAGTACAATCCTATGAATAGTTGCTTAAAAATAAATCATTTTGAGTGCAATGGGGCCAGCTCTAAACTACGTGTATATAGAAATGCACTGTTAATCAGATTCATTGTAGCATGGCATAAATTGCAGTGCTGACTGTGATGTCAGGTGTCCCATAAGAGCTACTCAGTTCAATTTGTACCAATCATGCTGCCCTTGCCGCATAAAGAAAAGAAAAGACTGATATGTTTAAGGTATGTGCCTTATGCAGGGGCACCCCAAGAACTTTTCCTGCAGGAAGAGAAGATTGTGCTCCCTCACCCACATTCCAGGAATAGAAGCTACCCAGGGTGGCAGTTAAATCTTCAACAGTGGTGACAGGGACATCGTCGTCCTCCACATCCAAGGGCAGCAAAGTAGCTTAGGTTCTGCAGTGCTGCCCATGTTGCACACTCAGTTCTGTCCTCTTAAGACCACCACTAACTGATCGCTGCTTGATGACTTGTTCTTCAGCAGGCAATTGAGTGAGACAGCCAGCCAGTTCTGGCCAGCAACAAGTAAGAATTGCTGCTACCAGGCCACTAGTCCACAAGCACAAGAGTTGCTGGAGGATGACCTCAGGAGGACCAGCCAGGGGAAAGCTGCCACTGCCTTCAACCCCCAAACATCTGCCTCACTCTGTCTAATGGTACAGTTGGCTGAGTTGTTTGCAGTATAAAAACTGAAGTGGGTCTTTCCCTCATTTCTGTAAAAATTCACAGGTAGCCACTTGTCTATAAATTACTAGCCAACGTGAAAATGCTGAATGTGAGTGGGTTGTAAAGTTAGAAATAAAACAATAACTGACATACAGGGTTTAAATAGATGTCATGTCAAGATACTGGGATTCCACAGACTTTGTGCTGAGCTACAACAGTACACTTCACAGGAATGGAAGAAAAGGATATGCATAACAGCAAATGGGGAGAGATTGTGTATACTTGTGAACACTTTTTTAAAATTGGAGAATATCTAACTTTCCAGTAATAATTAGGTTCTTGCTATGAAAATGCAAGTTAAGTTTAGAGGTATGGGGAAGCCTGATACTGAGAATAGCTGATATCAATTCACAACATATTTGAATTTTTTGAAAGGTCATTTCCTCACTGCTTTTGAGAAGTTCTGTGAAAAACCACATGCAGACATGTGTTCCGGAGTTCACACTCTGAGGTGAGATCAGGCAGTTGCCATGAAGATGGTTGTTAAGCCAAAACAAAAACAAAACAAAAGAAAAAACTCAGTTTCATTTCTAAATAAGGAAGGATATATTATTGTCCTGAAGCCGTAATATTGTATAATTAACGGGATTTTTAAAAGTCAGTAAAAGACCCAGCAGACAATCGATTCAAAGCATATTGGCATTTTAGAATGGAGGACCGGCTAGAATCAATACCTATTGTAAAAGTCATGTTCTCTCTTATTCAGCTGGCCTGTTTGAGTTGTCATTATGGTATTTAACCATTAGTTGATGTGTCCTTCTGCTGTGTGCTCTTGCTGGCATAATCAATTCTGCTGTACAATGTTTGTATCTCAAAATTGGCATGACATAATTTAAACTACCGTATTTTTCGCTCTATAAGGCGCACCAGACCACAAGATGCACCTAGTTTTTGGAGGAGGAAAACAAGAAAAAAAATATTCTGAATATCAGAAGCCAGAACAGCAAGAGAGATCGCTACACAGTGAAAGCGGCAATCCCTCTTGCTGTTCTGGCTTCTGGGATAGCTGCACAGCCTGCATTCACTCCATAAGACGCACACACATTTCCCCTTACTTTTTAGGAGGGAAAAAGTGAGTCTTATAGAGCAAAAAATACTGTATTTTGAAGTGGTGAGGTGTTTACTGGTGATTCAGATTTTGGTGCTGATATTACAAACTGTGTCATAAAGACAATTCTCCATATAAACAGAACTGTGCACTGGCTTGTTTAAAACCAGAAAGTATTTAAATAAATGGATGATCTACTAGACTGAAGCCTTCCTGCATATTTCCCAACAGCCCCTGTATGAACCTATAGCATCTGCATGCACATAGGGACTTTTTTGGTATTTGTTTCTGACTTGCACTTGATGCCACTCTTGGAGTTACCCTGACTTTCAGGAGCAACATTTCAGGGTATGTAAATAGCTTCTGTGGGAAACCTGGCCTTTGGATCCCAATCTGTTTATTTTAACTGATCAGTAAACAGTAAGCTCCATTGATTACTGGTTATGTTTGTGTGACTTTTTGAGTTAGCTAAACTATGGCAGAAAGTCACAGACCGTGCTGTTACATTTCAAGAGGTAGCAGTGTACTCCACAGGCCAACTTGTACAAGTGCCGTAGGCTGTCATGATGTTTCCCTTCGGTCCTTAAGGATTTCAAATAACTAATTGTTCATCTGAAAAACAGCAAAGCCAGACCACTTACTAGGTTGAAATAAGTCACACATCCTACATGCCATCATCATGTTGTGCTCCTTCAGGAGAAAGTAATGGAAAATATATGGACAGAATAATAATAATCCTCAAATAAAGGTAAAGTGAGTGGCACTGTGGTCTAAACCACTGAGTCTCTTGGGCTTGCCGATTGGAAGGTCAGTGGTTCAAATCCTCATGACGGGGTGAGCTCTCATTGCTGTGTCCCAGCTTCTGCCAACCTAGCAGTTCAAAAGCATACCTGTGTGAACAGATAGGTACCACTGCGGCGGGAAGGTAAACAGTGTTTCCATGTGCTCTGGCACTTGTCACTGTCCTCCGTGCACCAGTAATGGTTTAGTCATGCTGGCCACATGACCTGGAAAGCTGTCTGTGGACAAACGCCAGCTCCCTTGGCCTGTAAAGTGAGATGTGTGCCGCACCCCATAGCCGCTTTTGACTGGGCTTAACCATCCAGGGGTCCTTTACCTTTACCTAATCCTCTTGAAGGGGATGTAGCTGCTTTGGATACAGGTGTGTCTGGTAATTTATGGCAGGAGTGGGAAAGGCTCATTCATGAAACCCTGGAAGGCTACTTCCAGTCAGCATAGTTATAGCCTTATGGGTGCTAGAATTTAATTAAGGTTTGGGGTGTGAAAGCTAATTTGCTTGGAGGTGATACCTAGACTCGTGTGTATTTAAGCCAGAGCCAGTGTCTATCTAAGCCTGTGCTAGACCTTGTTAATCCTTTAACTGAGCCAAGTGTAAAAGCTAATTAAGTAAGATAATTTCATTTTGAGGTGATAGCCTGGGGATGAGCTGTTTAGGCGACTCAAAGGATCAAAAGCAAATCTCATTTGCAAATGAGTGGGTTTTGTCCCTCCCTCAACTTGAGGGTTTAGTTTAAAAGACAATGCCAGTGTTTTGGGAAACATTAGAGTTCAGAATGGCAGCAGAGTTACAGAGTTACTGGAGAAAGAGTCAAAAAGTAGGATGCTGATGTCTGTTTTGAATCCAATGCTATGGCTGTGGGAGAAGCCAAAGTCTCTTGGAATGTAATGCTGGAGATCCCTCCATGGTAGACTTAGGTTGTGTATACGTGTAAATAAATCATAAAGACACCACAGTCTCCACTGTGCCTCATTGTCCAAAAGGAAACACAGACTCTGGGTTGAAGTGCATCTGCAACTCCTGGAATCTTGCACCACTCAGAGATTGGGGTGGCTTATAATGGTGTAGAGTTAGCTAGACCAAAATAAGATAGCCTTATATGTTCTTGATTAAATTCTGTCTTTGAAGTTATGTGGGTTTGACAGGCTTGCATGCACCTGGAAACATCGTAGAGATCCATGGAGAAACAGCAGGGTACGAGGAAATATCTACAATGGTACCTCGGGTTACATACGCTTCAGGTTACATACGCTTCAGGTTACAGACTCCGCTAACCCAGAAATAGTACCTCGGGTTAAGAACTTTGCTTCAGGATGAGAACCGAAATCATGCTCCGGCAGCACAGCGGCAGCGGGAGGCCCCATTAGCTAAAGTGGTGCTTCAGCTTAAGAACAGTTTCAGGTTAAGAACGGACTTCCGGAACGAATTAAGTACTTAACCCGAGGTACCACTGTATTTGGGAAGATCACAGCAAAAATGGACCATGTTCACTTTGAGGAATGGTGCCATCTCCAGAGTCCCTTGTACGGTCGGTGGTATTGAACAAAGTTCTTATGCTTCTTGAAATTAATCACAAGATAGTCTTGTGGCTTGGGCCTCTTTTGTTGCCCAATGATTTTGGAATTCAGTATAAAAATGGTTTTCCTAAAGGAAAGAGGTAGTTAGGGCCACTAGGCTGGACAAATTGCACAAACAAATACAAGGTTATCAGTAGTTGCTTCTACTGCTGAAGGCAATATGTCTACAGCTGCAACAATATTTACACAGCATTAATAACCCAGGCTTTAACTTTTTAAAGAAATGCCTTCTTAAATTTAATGTGTCATGGTATTATTGAGACTGAAGAAATGTTGCTTTAAAACAGCTTCCTTTAGCAGCTGCATGCATTTTGGTAGATACTCATCAACACAGATCAAAATGAAGAGGACTGATGGTTGTGATATCAATAAAAGACATAATGTTTTACATATCTGTAAGTTTGGGGAACCAGCTGTTTCTTTCTTCCCCCTCCACCCAGCCTTTGTGTGTATGTGGTTTCCGGCAAGGAATGTGATATAACACTTGGTATTCTAAACGGATAATAAAAATTAGGATCCAAATCCAAGCAATGTCAACCGCTCTCAAGAAAATGTGTTCCTGTAAGTATTACCTAACACTCTTTTTAAGAGTTCCAGTGAAACCTGAATCATGGAAGTATTTTGAAACTTCAGTATTTCAAACAAATATCACGACAGGAAAGATGTTCAGAATTAGCAAGATGCCCATCAAATGGTGAGGATACATAAATAAAGGTGTAGATATGTAAACTGAGTTTAGGTGAGATGGAAATGGAAGCGCTTTATCATTTGGTCAGCATACTGTACCCATATCTCATTTTATTCTGGAAAAAGAGAAAGCTAAGTAGGACATCTGCTGGTCATAAATTGCAATTAGGGATTCTCCAATCTAAAGCAAACACTTCCCCTCAGCTATATATTTCCCTGTTGGGGTGTGGATGAGTTGGCCGTCTATAACAATATATTTTAAATTCTCTCTAACAAAAGGGTTTTTGCATTATGTGAAATGTTGCAGTCATGTCCCCTTTTAAAACCTTTGATTAAAGTATTACTATTTTTATAATGTCTATAGTTTCTACTTTATATTATTAACTTGCTTCAGAGATTAATTTCCTAAAAGTGTCGAGGTCTGGTTCTTGAGATCAGAACCTGCTTTGAAGCAATACCCTTTGACTTGGAAGGCTTGTGCTCACACCACTATCTTCCATAAATCTTGCAAATCTCTAGATAGGAAGCTTTTCAAGGATTTGCTGTCTGCAGTACAAGGCGGAATGGGGAAACTGAAGCATTCTGAAGCTGGGTATAATGCTGCAATGCAACTCTAACATATGGAAGGACTTTCTTTCAGGGGTAGAACAGCTGCTTTGCATGCAGAAGGACCCAGGTCCAATCCCTGGTGTCTCCAGGTAGAGCTAGGAACAGCTCCTGCCTGAATCCCTGGAGAGAGCTACAACTGCCAGTGTGGACAATACTGAGTTATATGGACAAAAGGTCTGACTCAATATAAGGCTTCTAAGGAAAGGCAAGAGGAGAAAAAGGCAGCAAGTGGAGGTGCCTGAGGTCCTATATCTCTATGGACCAGTGATGCTGACCAAATGCTGACCATCTCTATGGACCTATATCTCAGAGAGCCAGTGTGGTGTAGTGGTTAAGAGCGGTAGTCACGTAATCTGGGGAACCAGGTTCGCGTCTCCGCTCCTCCACATGCAGCTGCTGGGTGACCTTGGGCCAGTCACACTTCTTTGAAGTCTCTCAGCCCCACTCACCTCACAGAGTGTTTGTTGTGGGGGAGGAAGGGAAAGGAGAATGTTAACCGCTTTGAGACTCCTGAAGGGGAGTGAAAGGCGGGATATCAAATCCAAACTCTTCTCTTCTTCTTCTTCTATGGAAGCATGAGCACATAGCATTTAGCAGTGACAGAGTGATTTAGTGAGAAACCCTCGCTCCAAATCATTCTTCCTTCTGTGCAGACTCATGACCCACACCCAACAGCAAGCATTATTGGTCTGCAGTTTGCTATGCTAGTCCAACTTGACTTTTGCATGCAAAAATTAGCAGACTATCCCAAACGAAGCCGAATTCACAGTGAATTGTAATTTCAGTTTGCACCTTTATCAGTTTCATTAGTACAGTCTTGCATCATCAAATACAAACTCATGTGCCAATCATGCTCACATGTGCCTATTATGTGTTCAGCTGTACACCTAATAATCATGAATTTACTACATAACTACATCTCATGCCCATCTTGACTACTGAATGAAGAGGGACTTCCTCACTGAAGGATGGAGGTAGAGGCATCCTTTTGAACACCCGCTAGCCTTTAAGTAGCAGGATACAAGGAAGTTCTGTCATGTGCTTTAGCTGTGCAATTGCTCTCCTGATAAATACATCTTCAGAAATAAAAATGGCCATTTCAAGAACTCCTATTAACATGGGCATGCTCAGATGCCTTCATTTGAGATGAGAACCAAGGTAATTCATATTGAATCCTTGACCTCCATCAGTCTTGTCTTTGCCCATTTTGGCTCTTGCCCTCATACTTGATACAGTTGAGAAACTGCTGGAAAGGAGCAGGGCAAGTGGGGAAGGAAGCTACCACTCAGAGGGATAGCAATGGTAGAGGACCTTTCTAAGCTTAGGAGAATTCTAGGACACCCCACCCCACTCAGTTTCCTATGAAAGTTATCCAATAAAACTTAGAGAGAACCAATTATAAGTTGGGATGGGGGAATGTCACTCCAATGAGAATTAGGCACACCTACGGTACATCCCACTGACATAAATGTGGACTAATGTGAATTCTATTGTACAAGAGGAAATTCTGTGTTCTCCGTGACGGTGCAGACTACCAGGATAAGCAAGCCCTGCATTCCTAAATACTTGCCTTCCCTAATATCTGTTTTCTGGACTTGCATCAGAGAAATAAGTGTGAACTGAATACTGTTTTATCTTGCATTATTTTTAGAAGGAAATGCCATTTACTGAAAAGAAAATTTCACCTTCTCTCATTCCCTTTCTGCAAGCCTTTAACATTCTTGTATTCTTCTTTTGTGTGTTTGTGCATTCTGATCTGTAGTATTCCAACTGGGCACTTCTGGTGCTTTCAGTAGAAGAAAGACACACATCCAACAGAAGTTGGTGAAAATGTATTCCACAACCTCTATGATTGTAATCATACTGGCTCCACAAAACAGACCAAGTTGGCCACCAACATCAGCTGTAATGAAAGAAATAAAGAGATTGGTCCAGCAATTCTCTATATTCTATCGACATTAGTATGATTTAATTCTATCTAAATGTGTACAGGATTGGGATGCTAGTCTTCAGTCTTGAAATCACTGACATACTGAGTGAAAAAGCCAACTGTGGCTGCCCTCTAATGAAATGGACTTATGTCATCACAATGGGACTTCCCCTTCCTATCCTCCCCCCTGTAATCCCAACATGCCCCCCAAATATGCTCCAGAACATTCCAGAAAGCATTTGGGTGGTGGGGCAGAGAGCAAGGGGAAGTCCCTTGCTGAAACAGAAATGTACTTGCACAATGCTGAATAAGATCCATTTCAGAACTGAATAGATTTTGTGCTTCAGATTGAAAATACTCACCAGAATGACCACTTTCGTTATGCAACTCTCTTGAAATCTATTACTAACTTAAGTTCTACTGGTTTCTGTGGGCCCAAAGTGAAACTAAAATACCATACACACTTACCTATTGAACATAGTGGAAATTACTTCTAAATAAATATTATTGTGCTGTAACCTAGTGTAATACAAGACTTGATTCTTCTGTTAGCAAACAAACAGAAACGTATTATACAGAAATACTGGGTGGTATTCAACTGTTTTTTACTCAAAGTAGACCCACTGAAATTAATGACCCTAACTTAGTCATGTTTATTGATTCTATTTTGAGTAAAAAAAAATACTACCCACTATGTACTGCCCACTGTTGAATACCATCCTCTGGTAAAGATAGTTATATTTCATGATCCAAATAATGCTAATTAAGAAAACAGGGATAATGTGATGCAGCATAGAAGTAATTATGTCAGTAACTACTCCATTACTGTGATCTCTCAGAAATGTAGGTTGTTGCTGTTTTTTTAAGTGCATTTGGGTCACTTACCAAGTAGCTCAGATACACTCAATGCCTTCTGCTGCCGGGTCATTTTGTAATTCAAATCATGATATCTAATGTCAATATATACAAGGTTATGCCTATGGATAATAAAGGCACACTTTTATTATGCAGTTGTATTACTATTTATTATCATCATCATGATGATCAATCTAGCCATCACCATCTGCAGAAAATACTATTCATGCTTTAAACAAAGTAACAATAATCCAAAATCGTGGGGAGGTGGAGAGAACATAGAATTTGATTCTGTAGCACACTCAAGAGTGTTTTCACATATTATAAAGTCAGCCTAAATGGTTCTTATGAGCCCCTGTGTCTTCTCATACGAAATATCCCAATGGGAAGAAGCGTAACTTCCAATGGGAATGAGGCAACTCTTGTGCATGGAACAGATTATCCAGGTAGGCAGGAAAACTGGATAATGTCCAGAGGGTTTTTTTAGCACAAATTTACATGTTTTTAAAAAATAAATATGAATCTAAAAATATGTTTGGATATGACAAACAGATAAATGCCTGGGAACATGAATGTTTCATTTAGGTACATGTGCCAAAGAGATAAGGTCAGCAGAAACTCTGGGCTGAGTGTACACTTAGTGGCAACCCACATTGGTTGCTGCAAAATGTACTAAAATTCCTAGGATCACTAGATAACAATGAAAAATGACACCATTGAAATAGTAAGTATTTACTTACTCAGTTCAAATGATTGCTGATAACCAGCTTTGAGTGCTTCATCTTGGCCTAGCTATTACTTAAATTCTGAGCTAATAGTTTTCTTTTTTTATGAACGTTTAGTTGAACCATTAAATTTTGTTTAATAAATCAGTGTTAGGCAATCCTAGCTCTAAAAATGAAGGCTCAACTCACTCCTTTCTTCAAGGACCTTCTCCATTTTAAACCTGTTGCGTTATAATTACCATAATGACCCTGCTAATGGATCCCACAGTTTGGGCTTCCTGAGGTAGCTGAGGCAATACCACAATACATATTTGGAATAGGGCTGTAAATAGTTGAAACTACCTTTTAACGTTTCTGAAAAATCGATGGATGACTATTAGTTAATTTATGATGTTAAACTCATTAATATGTTTGTTTGATCCTGACTGGTTAATCACTTGGGAACAGAAACATTTCCCTGTAATCTGTCATGCTTCAGTGACTAATTGCTAGATAGTACCCCATTTGTGAACAGTAATCAAATGTCAGAAGGAGTAAAATAAAAATGTTGTTATGAGGACACCATCGCACAGGGTGGGGAAGATCCATAGCATTTCTAACTTTCATTAAAAGCAGCTGCAATTTTGATCAGTGGAAAAAAGACAGTCACAGAACCAAGAAATTACACAAAACAAATGAAATGCCATGAAAATCCCTGAAACGAGAAGTAATCAACTATAGAGTTAAACTAAATAACAAAAATCAAAAAGTTTAAGGAAAAAATTAACCTAGAATTCTAGGCATTTCATTTGTTTGGTGCAATTTTGATCAGAGCAGTGGCAAAGGGGGGCCATTCCTCTAGTCTCACCCGCTGCCAAGTAGAGCTAATAGTAAATTAGAAAATGTCACAGGAGGAACAGAGTTAAGAACTTTTCCCCAAGCCATAGCCTTCTCCAGCTCCATTAAATTAACATTAGGGAGCAATGTGAGATCTAAGCACAGATCTTCTGTAGTTTGATCTTCACAAGATTAATATAACATAATAATTAATAAAACTGCTTTTAGTGTTGATAAAATCAGAGACTTTTCCAGTGATAATGAAGATAAACTAAGGAGTCCTCATCTATAGAAGAGTGAACTTTAAAATTTATATTGGATTATAAACATTTTTAAAGAACCTGTGATTTATAAGCTTATGTTACCATAAATCTATTAGGTTTTTTTCAAAGGTGCCTCTGTGTTTTTGCTGTTGCAGGGCAACATAACTACCCTTGCAGAAGTTATATGTTTTTGCTTTTGTGGGGGGTGGGGATATCGGGCGAAGAGATCAGGGATTCCTGACTCAAAACATTTTCAAAATGTGCTGCTATATGTTTTACTTTGGGGAGTTTTTATTGTTTTATATTGTACTATATTGTAGTTTTGTATTATATTATACACACAGGTCCTGCTTACCAAACACAACGTGTTGCCTGGAAATCATTCGTTAGGCAAGCATTCACATAACGAGTCCACAATTTCCAAGGATTCCTACGGGAGCATTTCTAATCTGGATTTTTTCTGATCTCTCCCCTGCTTTTTCAGTGGGTTCTTTCTGCAATGGCTGCAGGTAACCAGCAAAAGAAAGGCAAAGAAAAAACAATTGTCCTGCTGTCTGATCTTGCTTGCTCCCTCCTTATCACCAACCAGCAAAGCATAAACAAGCAAGGAAGAAAGGAAGTAGGCAAACTCTGGCTGTTCAGATATCTGAATCTGTGGTGTGTATAGCAAGGTTTGGGCATAATTATTTATGTTTGGATAAGTGAATTTTCATATAGCGAAAAGGCAGATAGTGGGACTTGCATACCTTGTAGTTCTCCCAGTTTATTGTTTAAAGGTAAAGGGACCCCTGACCATTAGGTCTAGTCACGGATGACTCAGGTTGCGGCGCTCATCTCGCTTTACTGGCCGAGGGAACCGACATTTGTCAGCAGACAGTTTTTCTGGGTCATGTGGCCAGCATGATTAAGCCACTTCTGGAGAACCAGAGCAGTGCACGGAAATGCCGTTTACCTTTCTGCTGGAGCGGTATCTATTTATCTACTTGCACTTGACGTGCTTTCGAACTGCTGCTTTAGTATTAAGCAGTATATAGATATATGAAATAAATAATAAAATAGAAGCCATTGAATTATAGTAATTCTTTGGGTCCAACATCTCTTGAATATGTCTTCATAAAGTTAATAAAGGTTGCTCTTGTGTAAAACACATTTCTTGACAGCATGACAATGAAGAAGAAAAGTACCTGATATATTCTGGACGTTTCTTCAGCTTTGTAGAAAGAAATTTCAAAGCCTTTTCACTTTCAAAAGTTGAATAGGAAATGGTGGTTGGATAATCTGTTTCCTCACAAGGCACAGGGCAAGTGGAATTATGTGTTCCTGCTGTACACAATCCTGCGAGCTCAATTTTATCTAAAATGGGAACCAATTTCAAACATAAATGCCCATTCTAGACGACTTTCATGTTCACCACCATCTGCAAGCAGCCATAGTGAAATCAACAAAAAATAGATCAAGTTTATCATCTTGAGCAAAGGAGTTAATAAAGCATAATAAATATTATATTATATTGCAGGATTTGGTGGTAATTTGAATCTATGTCAGCAGCCTTACATTCTAAGTCGTAGAAAGATGGTAGTGTGTGATTTCCCAGTAAAAATAGGTGCCTGTATTTTACACTGAATTTCTTCAGCATTTGGAATTTATGAAATCAAACCAAAACTGTACAGATGATTGGAAGAGTACATTTAGAATGTTATTTATGGTTTGTCTAAACACAACTTGCAGCTGGGATCATTTAAAGTATTCTGAGAAAAATCAAGTCCTCTCCTTTTCCTAATAAACCGTTCCCAATCAGCAGAATATCCCAGGTTATGGGATTTCCCCCTAAGCCTGACGCTTAGGGGAAATCATGCTTTTGTGTGACTGGGATTCCACAGGTTGGTAAAAATGTGAGACATGCCCCCACCCCCACTGGTCCAGCTGGTTGCCAGTTGCAGACGTATGAAACTGGCTCTAGTATTTGGCTTTGGCTTTACTTACACAGTTCAGGAGAAACACAATTGTAAAATTTGTCCAAGTCACATTCTGTGCCATTTCCTTTTCAAAGATGTGAAGAAGAGGGAGTGGGGAAGGAGAGAAAAACACAAAGACAAAGGTATCAAAACACACATTTGAATCCATCTGTTTGGTAAACCAATAATAACCAATAAGCAAGTGACCCCAGCAAGTAAAGCAAAGAATTCGATGCCTGTATGTATCAACCTGGGACGCAGGTGGTGCTGTGGGTGAAACCACAGAGCCTAGGACTTGCCGATCAGAAGGTTGGCAGTTCGAATCCCCGCAACGGGGTGAGCTCCCGTTGCTCAGTCCCTGCTCCTGCCAACCTAGCAGTTCAAAAGCACGACAAAGTGCAAGTAGATAAATAGGTACCGCTCCGGCGGGAAGGTAAACAGCGTTTCCGTGTGCTGCTCTGGTTCGCCAGAAGCGGCTTAGTCATGCTGGCCACATGACCCGGAAGCTGTACGTCGGCTCTCTTGGCCTATAAAGCCAGATGAGCGCCGCAACCCCAGAGTCAGTCACGACTGGACCTAATGGTCAGGGGTCCCTTTATCTTTACCTTTTTATGTATCAACCTGAAGCTCATGTAGAAACACTCATAGCACCTGAGCTGAGGATGGGCAATCTTTTTGCTATTTGGGGCTGCATTAATTTTACCCTGGCTTTTGACACCTGAGAAATATATCTTTAGTACCCATCCTCTTAGCAATTTTAATGTGTTTTTATATGGCTGTATCTCTCCCCGGACACTTTCTGGCAGGTAAGAAATGCAATTCATCATCATATCATCATCATCTGATGGTAGTATATTAGGGACTGCATACGCAGAGCTGAACCTCTGGTTGGCAGGCTAGCCCCTTGATTCACCATTTGCCAACTCCTTTTCTCTCTGTTCCGCAGGAGGACTGCTTGGGCAGAGACAGATCATTCTTGCTGAGAGCTTTTGAAAATAAGGTGAGGGGTACATGAGAGCTATATTAGACCCTTAGGCTGCAGGTGGCCTGTTTCTATCCTAATGGTTTCATTATTCAGCTGTCATTTATGCACGAGGTGATTCCTTAAGCAATTAAGGACTTATCTTTGAAACTAAGCTGTCTGAGACTACACTTCAATCCCTCCTCCTTATGCTGAGCAGCACTGATTGCTTCTGCTGGTTCAGCTGTCCTTCCTCTGGCCACCACTGATGGAGTGATACTTTTGTCACTCTGCCAGTGCAGAACATGCACCCTTTGAACATTTGGGTGGGTGAAAGGCATGTTGGTGGTATTCCTTCTAGCAGAGCCTGCCAGAAAGCCTCCAAATGGGCCATTCCAACTGCAAGGATATAACTGTGCTGGCTCTGGATCCACTGGATCCCAAGCTGCTCTCCCAGCTGATACTAGCTGGCATTGGTCCTGATCTTGGCCTGGATCTGAAGTAACCTGAAGCTGATACAGGGATTGGGCCTGATCTGCCTGCCCTTCTGCCTTCTGCTACCATCGCCATGAGCAACCAGGCTGTGGATGTGGCAGTACTTCCACCGCACTGCAGAGGCTCAGAGGCAGCAGGGAAAAGTTTGGGTTGCTCTGCCTGTACAGAAAGTAATCTATAAAGACTCTACAGCAATGTCATATGCTTGCATGCTGTGCAGGGGGAGCGGGGATGGGAGCACTAAGCCCCACCTCCCATTGCCCTACAAGTCAGGGAGGGTGAAAAGGTGAACCGGGGAGTTCTTTCTCCTTGTACTGTTTGGAACCCTGCACAATAAGGATTCCAAATTGTGTGAGGAGCTGCCAGGAATCACTTCAGACCTTTGCTTTTTTTCGCCCTCCCTGCTTGTGCATAGGTTTTACTAGTGAGCAGATAGCTCAAAATTGGCTAAAGGCAGTGCTTTTTTTTCTGGGGGGATGCATACCCCTAAACATTTTGGGAATCTTTGTACTTTTGTCCATTTACTGTATTTATTTTTCCTGATTTAAACTATAAAATGGTGGTTTTCTTGAGTCAAAATGAGAGTGCCCCTAAACATTTTTAAAGAAAAAAAGCAGTGGCTAAAGGCATCCCCCCAAGCTGTGATCTGCACACTCTTGTTGGATTTCTTTGAACACTGCAAATAAATAAAGCAACTTATACCTGCCCAGTTATACCTGGGAGCATGAACGGTAAGCATCCACACTGGTTTTGAATATGGCGTGCCTTGCATTCTTGTAGGCATCCGTAGGTGCTATAGAGCTTGTGGTGCTGAAGTTTGATGTTTCGCTTGCATTCTCCCCAAGGGTATTCTTGAATAATTGTCTTGAATGAAAGAAATGGCACGACATACGTTATATCCATTGCTACTGTCAAGTGTTAATTGAACAAAAACCACCTCCATTCCCACCTCCACACATACACAGATTGCTGCAAAAGATTTGTTGTTGTTGTTGCTGGACCAGACCAAACTGAATTAAATTAAAAGACTTGTTAGTAAACTTGATTGTTGTTCTGCAGGGCTGCCCCCAGAGGACAGCCTGACCGGCCCCAGCTAGCTTCAATTTCTCCTGATTCAAGATGGATGCTCAGTGTGCAACTGAATGGGAAAGATTTTCTGGGTAGGAAGCTCTAGGTATACATTGGAGTTTGAACGTAGAACTGAGCTGGAGTACTATATCAAATTAAATTTTTACTCTGCTTTTTTATCCTTCCTGTGTGCCTTGTCATTTTAAAGTCTTGCTTATATTTTAAAGTTGTCAATCATTAGGGGTTAATTGCTTTAATTGATTTTTAATATTGTATTTTAATATTGTTAAATATTGTTATTATCAATAATGATGATTGCATATGCAGTTTATTGGACTTTAAAGTGGCTAGCCATACAGTGGTACCTCGGGTTACATACGCTTCAGGTTACATACGCTTCAGGTTACATACGCTTCAGGTTACAGACTCCGCTAACCCAGAAATAGTACCTCGGGTTAAGAACTTTGCTTCAGGATGAGAACAGAAATCGCATAGCGGTGGCGCAGTGGCAGCAGGAGGCCCCATTAGCTAAAGTGGTGCTTCAGGTTAAGAACAGTTTCAGGTTAAGAACGGACCTCCGGAACGAATTAAGTACTTAACCCAAGGTACCACTGTACTTCCATTTCTCTGTATCTTACTCTAATGCTTACCTTCACCTGTTGGATTGCAGCATGAGCATGCATTCCTACTGGGGTTGATATACCTAAACCATCAAATCGGGGAGGCGCCTTAGGTGAGTGGATAGCAAATGTGATGCCAACATCAACAAAACCAAGAGCAGGGTCGTCGGTGAACTCTGCCTAGGACACAAGGCATTGAAGGGTTACAGTAAAATTACAGAGGATAATTTTCAGATCACTGTCACACTGAACTGTGAATTGCCTTGGCAAAAAATTATCTACTACCATAATTAACATTAAGAGAAAAACAATAGTATACATGCAGCATTTTCGTTTTGTAATCCACTATGTATCACTTATCATCTGACTCTACATCAGATTTCACACCAATTCAAAATCTGTCAACGCAAATTAAGTTTCAGGATGCAGATTATATTCTAGGGCTTTCATAAGTTTTACTTATGAAATTTGACTTTGTGGGAAACTTCAATCATGTATGTATTATTATTTTTTTTGCTTTGTTTTTAAAGAACTTGTACCATTATAGTGACCCACATGCCCTGTCCTTTATCATCAAGGTTTTGCGCTCGCATTGTAGAAACATTTTGAATATCTCTACCTGTTTGACATCGAAAAGCAAACTCAAGCCCCTTCCAGAGGCACTCACTCTTCTTTTTGCTGGAATGTTAATGTGATTAAAGGTGAAGCAGTTTCCATATTCAGTGAAGACATGCTCAAAGCTCTTCCATGAAGAAAGTAAAAGAAAATAAGAAATTGAATTAGCTCACCTAATATTAAGTAAGTATGTTCACAGAGAACTGTAGCTATAGAATTGGATTTATTTTGGATGAAAATGTGAAATGCAACCGATTTAACCTCTCGGCTGCACTTCCTCATAGTTCCTAGGGTTGTACCTGAGGTAAAAACTGGCCTTACCAATAGGTAAGGCAGAATGAGGAGGATGTCCCAGGCAGCTGATCTGGGGTGTCATGAAGGAACATCAAACTGTTATTTATTTATTATCACTGTATTTTTTATTGCCAGGTGGGGGAAGGAAGTCTATACCAGGTAACAAGCATTTTGATTGGTGTCCTGGGAACTATTTATAATTTTGCCCAAAGCAACAAAATTCCTCAGAGCAGTGTCTGTCAACAGTTTATTTATTTATTCCATTTATTTATTCCACTTACTATTGAAAAGATCTGAAAGAGATTTACATGAATAATAAGTACAATGCCCAGCAAATGATTCACATAACAAAATACACAAACAGTATCCACTTTTTTGGCTTTTGTTTTACATAAAACCAGAGGGCATTACAGTGCAGAATAATATAGAATTTCAAAGTACGCAACATATATACGACCATCCATACACTCTCACTCACCAGCTGTTTCACACAACCAATACAACAATTCACTATCTCAAACATTACCTTTGTCAACCATGCATACTTGAGAATATTACAACCTACATGTGAAGGGTTGTATGACATGTCTCAGCACTGACAGAACATTTGGAAAAGTGTATGAAGAATTCCTCCCAAAGAAACAAAACAATGAAGAATTCTGAGTGCCTTATTCTCACTTTAAAACCAGATCAAGTCATTCAGAATTTTAAAACATGGGATGAAATTCATAGGTGTAGACTTTCTGAAGCATCCTTTTGATTTTTGTCACATTAAGCTTTATCAAGCCTTAGACAAGCAATTACAGACCTATTTTCCAGTCTTTGAGGCTCGCGATTGGTGGATGTCCGCTGAGGAAATAAAATTCGTATCATAATAATAGTTCCCAACAAAACGTACTTTGTACATACATGCAGTCTCCTCTCCATATGAAAGTGATACATTCCAGATCACTAGATTGTGAGTTTCCATACTCACATGCCCTCACAATGTCTACGTTACCTCTGATAATAGAAACAAAAATATTACCTCTGGATAACACGGCTCCCCAAAATATTCACAATCCAACAATGTACTGTTGTTGAGATAGAACCCATTATTCCTTGTGAATTCTTTGATGCTGAAATTTTGATTCCCCTGAAGGAAGTCTTTTATCTCTTGGCCAAACGTTTCCCTAGTATCGAACAAATGTAGCACTCCCGACACTATGCTCCACAGGAAGAAAATGGCGCTCAGGTTAGCTACTGCTTGGGTTTGGAACCTGTGAGGATAAACCATAAAAGCAGGGTTAAGCCTGAATTCCAAGGGATAATTCCAAAGCAACTCTTAAAACTTTTAAAAGAAACAGAGTAAGGAGCCCAAGGCAGGTATGTGGTCATAGCATTGCATTTTATGGAAGACCTATGTATATTATATATACCTTAATAGAAAATCTAGCAGAAGGATAGGAATTATGGGGAAATTCAATTTAATTTGCATTTAAGGTGGGCTTATTTAATTTGCACCTTCCAACACAACATGTGAACCAACACACATAGAGTCTTCCAAATTCACACTTTTCTGAATTTTGCAATGCAATTCTCCAGCCAACTAAAGTGCACAAAAATGTATATATTAAAGTGTATCGGTGAAAATAACATACAGAAATGCATATAAAATTGTATATTAAAAGGTGTATGGAGGAATAATTTTTCATGAATTTTTCAATGGAACTTAAAAAAAAAAATCTTCACAAACTGATGTGGAAAATTGGACTGAAGATGGGAAGAATGAGAAACTGAGAGAAACCAAAATTAACACATTTGCCCATTCCTACAGGAAGTAAACAGTGCCTTACCTGTTCAGATTACAAAAAGTTACAGCAGGAAACTCTATGTTTTCCACATACTGAACTACCACCGATGTTGTTGTGGGCCAGCTCAAATAATTGGCGAAACGACTGCCGATTTGCCAGGCAACCAAACAAATGGAGCCCACGACTACTGCCATCCACAGTGCCTTACGGCTCCTGCTCCTTGTACGAACAATATTGTGCACTCCATGGAACGAAGTGGAAGTTGCAAATTCATAATCATACTTCTTCCTTTCTTCCAGAGACGGCAGTGGTTTTCTGGTTAAGTAGAGCCTGGCTTTTTCCAACAATCCTTAACATTTGACAAGAAGAAAAATTATTGGCACATAGGTTCCCTACAAAACCAAATGAAAAGGATGCTTCAAGGTGGATCCCAATGGCAGGGAAAAGCCATAATGTAGCATTGCCAGATTTAATTCATTTGTTACAGAGGTTTACATATCTAGAATATGATTCTAAGCTTTGAAATAAAGTATCGGTTAAAGCAGTAATGACAAACATTAGCATTTACTACTCAGAATTTTACAAGAAGTAGCACTAACAGACATTTTCCCTATTTTAACGCATAGTGCATTGCATTGCTTTACTGTTTACTTCTAGATCTACATCTCAATCTCAGACCAAGTACAGCACAGAATCTTACTAGACGTTACTGCGAAATGGTAAGTGTGCCTAGGATTGCAGCCATTATCTACTGATAAAGTATGCTCAAAAGATGCATAAACTCATGCCTCTTTTCATAAGAAAAGCATTTGTATCTGCAGAATATCTAAATCATCGCCTCCCCAAAAGAATACCACACAGACAAGGATGCATAGCATTGTAATAGCTACTGTTACATACCTCTGTCATGAAATCCACTTAATTTCCTAAGCTTCTCCATTGGGCATATATTATTTGAAAAGGAAAATTCAGCTACAGAAGACTGGCAGTTAATAGCTTATATAAAATGAGGAAAGGGGTGGGGATTACATTTTATACACATCAAGAGGCAATTCACATGCCTCTGTTGCTATACTCATAGCATTTTTTAAAGTGAGCAACAGGATTCAACACAGATAATGTATGGCAGGCTAGATAAAAGTGGAGAATTCCTGGAATTTAAAAATAATTGAGTCGGTTAATTTTCCAAAGTAGCAGGATGCAGAGGGTTTATATAAAAGAGGGGACTTTTGAGCAATCAATGGGATTTTTGACTTCCCTCTCCCTCTTTAAATAACATACAATGGTATTATATGAACTGTGCTGCACATGCTGGCAGACTTATCTGTGGACACAGAATTTGTAGCTGCTGAAAATTAGCCAGCATGGTCATAGAGATGTCTCTCATTTAGAGGATATTATAAATAGATGATATCAGACCTTTAGCTGAAGAAACAGCATCTATTTATAATATCCTCTAAATGCCAGTTTTGGATGCCATGCTACCCAGTGTATGGGGGTGGGAGAATGGAAGAGCAATCTTTGTCAGAAAATTATTGGCACAGTACTTGAACCTCTTCCATAACTAGGATAAAAAAATAAAGGAAGCACAAGAAAATGTTATCTGTCGGTGGCACATTATCCCTGCATGCCTCAATTCAAACTCAGCTCAAAGTAGACAGTATTGCTCAAGCAGGGGTTGACAGATTGCTTCACATTTTCATCTTTGGTGGGACTCTCAAAAAACTTGTTAATAATATAATTAAATGTTGTAATTAGGTGGAAATTTGACAAAGGTACTTGGTAGGATTGTAGTCCTCAAAGTTACCTTCGAGAATGAGATCTAATGAGTTTAACATTTGTTACTTATCTTGAAAAATTTGTATTTAATGGGTCCAAAGTGCTTCTCTTTTATTCACTCTCTGAAAAATCCACCTATATCCAGAAAGCAAATCAAGAATTAAAGTTTATTTCCATAGATAACACTAGAGGGAGCACAGCACCGATGCACCAGATCTCTCTTCTGCTAATAGAGGCAAGGAACTGAGCAAAGCAATTTATTGATAGAGCTGATTTATTCAGCAAATGCTTCATTCTACTGAACAGCTTCATTAGTATTTGTGAAATGGTTTACACTGATGCCCAGACATCAGTAGCCTCATTACTGCCTCTCTGCACCTAATGTGTTGCAAAAGAGTCTCCTTGCTATTTAGCAAGATGATATAGATGACTGCTGGTTTGCATCAGAATTGCATGCAGTTTTGTTCTTTAGCAATCATAACCAAGTATAAAATGCAAAGTGATAACCGGTCCTCTGTAATTATGGTATTCAGGGATATTTCTGTTTTAAGGGAGTAGAATATGAAGCCAAGTTCAAGAGAAATATCTCTGGAGAGAATTCTGGGCCACGCTCTTTTAAGGTTGTGTCTATTGAAGTCGCAAAGGATGCCCCCCCCCCCAGGTTGCAGGCTTGAAGTCATGTCACGTACATATATTTTTTAAGCTAAGAGTACTATTTTTTAAAAAAACACATCCTCCCCTGCTGCCTTTCTTTGCTACAAACTAGTTTGCAGTTTGTTAAACCTTGAACTCTATTCCTCCCACTGAGAATGAGTATCTGATTGGATTATTAATATTGCATAACTGCTATCCATATTTGCTTAACCTTGAGTAAATGGATCTCCCATTTACTTAAAGCAGACTATTAATTACAAATGGAGGTTAAACGTAAAGGGCACTGTGTCTGCGGAAATTACAAAATGCTCAGGGAACATAGGAAGCATTTAAACTTAACCACAGAGTAGATATATATATATATATATATAGATAGATAGATAGATAGATATTAATATTTTTATGACATAACATAACTCAAAATAGTCCATGCTGACTACCCAGATTTGATAATGGATTTGTCTAAATAGCCCATGAGAGACCCTGATAAATGCTCACAATTTAATGTTATTAATTTCTTTCTTTTCTTTTTAAAAAAAATAAAATCAAAAGGTAAGTGGAAGTGTACAAATTAAAGGATTAGTATGAGTTGCAAAAATGCAATTTTCACTGCGGTCAAGAAGTTGCCGGGATGCATAATAGTAAATTGCTCCAACAAGTGTTGATAGCAGATGGAGGCCTTTTAAGTTTTATCACCAGAGTACTCCTCCCTGGAATAGTATGGCTAATTTCACACATACCAAGCAGAAGGATGAAGAATGGAAAATGAGTACCAGATGTTTCTACCTAATGGGAAACTGAAAGAAAAAGGCATGTTGCAGAAGTAAACTAATATGTGGCTGTGAAAAGGAATTTCTGATAACGGATGCTCTGTTCATGGGACACATCCCGTATGACTGTATTGCACCCAGTGGCCATACTTTAATCAAAATCATGCCTTCTGGGCCTGTGTCCATGTCCACACATTCAAGTGTCAGGTCTGATCAAAACTGTATGTGCATTTATACCTGTACAGTGGTACCTCGGGTTACATATGCTTCAGGTTAAGAATTTTGCTTCAGGATGAGAACAAAAATCGTGCTCCGGCAGCATGGCGGCAGTGGGAGGCCCCATTAGCTAAAGTGGTGCTTCAGGTTAAGAACAGTTTCAGGTTAAGTACAGACCTCCGGAACGAATTAAGTACTTAACCCAAGGTACAACTGTATGCATGTAGGCTTGTCAGCATCTTTAGGCACCCCCCAAAAGAGGTGCTGTTGTCATCCTAAAATATACTCTGAGGATGAAGAGACATGCAAAGCACTATAATTGGATAAAGCTAAGGAGAAAAGAAAGGTGAACAGAACAATCAGTTGAGGCACATCCAATGGAGTACTATGTACCTTTATATGTAAATTATTGTTACCAAGAGGCTCAGCCATCTAAGAACTTGACAAATGGGCCAAATTATCCCTTCAGTTTTCCCTCCTCCCACACCATTCTATTCAGTCCATGTGCGCTGAGTCATACTGAAGCGCCTCAGTTGATTGTCACATCCTTTCCTTTCCTTTCCTTTCCTTATCAAATCAGAATGGCTTGCTGAAGCATATCCTTTCACACTTGCACGATTCCAATATTCTTAGGATGGCCATCTCATCTTCCACATTTGCCAACATAGTGCAGCTATAGGCTCCAAACTGCTAAAGATGGACTGAAGCATGAATTTCTAAAGTAGAAATTAGTTGGAAATTACATCCTATTTTTCCCACCCACCCGAGAATGATTGCTTCAGATATAAAATTGCTGATTACTGTTCAAAACACTCAGGGCTGGCAGTCAAACCCCTTCCCCACACACATAGGTTGCCCCAGCTCTCCAAACAGCTCTACGGCATCCATGATCAATCTGAAGCCCTGCACATGGGCAGCGGCAGAGCAAGCCAATCCGGTGCCTGGGCAAGCTGGGGCAGGACACTCCACGGGGCCTCCAAGGAGCCTGCCTCCTCCTCCCACTCAGCCGCCCTACAGCTGAGGGGGAGGCAGCGGGCAGAGTGTTTGGGGCAGCGCGGAGCCTGCGGGCACCGAAGCCACCGGGTCACTCCCAGGAGAAATGCATGGCCCAGGCCCACTGCAGGCCCGCGGTGAGTGCCACTCAGCATTTTGTCACCCCCCTCAGCAGTGACACCCAGGAAAAACCGCCCCCACCACACACCCCTTTCTCCACCAGTGCACATGGATCCTTCTGGAAAGGGGACTACTGAGACCCCCAATAATAACCACTCCCAGCCCTGAGTACTATGTGATGTGGATCTTGCCCATTGGACCCCCGAGATACATGGAGAAAGATAAGGGGCTGCCAGTTGTGCCCATTGCCCCATTGCCACCCTCCTGCTTGTTTGCCTTGCAGACATACAGCTATGGAGATGGAGGAGGAGGTGAAGGAGGAAGGTTTTTTAAAACAAACAAACAAACAAACAATTTCTGACATTTATAGTACTATTCTAGGTATATCTATGCAGAATTAACCCTACTGAGTCCAGGAGGACTCATAGGTAAGCATATATAGAACTGCTGCCTAAATTGCTTTCTGATAAGATAACGCTTCAACTGCCTTGCGTAAAATGTACTAGGAGTTTTTACCTTTCCCTAACACAGAGCTAGCATGTCTGCTATTGGTTTGACTAGAAGGAGGCTCCTTTCTCCATTTTTTACTTAATGAGCTGGTCAGACAAGAATGTTTGTTTTGGTTGGATGTCATCAGAAACCGTGTGACATACACAGACCATCCAATCAAGCACTGCCACGTTCAGAGGCTGAGCAAACTGGACCTCAGCTCAGGGCTCACATTGCAAGGGGTGACCCAGAGCCAGCTGTTTGCTTTCTGCTATGATGCAATCACAGCCACTACCAGTAAGAGGAGGAGACGTAAGCTGCTTTCTAGCTCATAGAAACTTTTCATTTTTCATCACGCCCTATCGTGCATTGTGGTGTGAGTGAACAAGCAATGAGCATGTTCTGGATACCTCAGATGAGGGTAAAACTACATATCCTATGCATTTTTAAGAATCTTTAGGAAATGTTCTCTCCAATGCTGAGGCTGACAATGGTTGGGGGAAGGCAGGAGGCAGATGATGTTTCAAAGCCCTTTCCCTCTTGTTCAGCTTAACCCCTGGAAATCGCCCTTCCAGCTGCTCTAACCTACTTGGGAGAAAAATATATCTGTAGTCCAATGCTATTTTTCTAGAAAAAGAGGTGCGGGAACTCACCACGATCTTCTCCCTTGTTCGCTTATAATGGCAATGGTGCTCACCTGGAGGCGCTGGAACTGAGTTCTGGCGACTTCTGGCTGGGGAAAAAATGCCCTGCTGAAGTCATGTCTTTTCTCCAGCAGGGGTAAAATCAGCCGGGTGTGGCAATATTCAGAGGAAAAATCGGAGAGGGTTACAAATCCCCGCCCCCCCAAAAATCAGCCATATAAACACAGCCTCAGGCTGCACGGTCTTTCCAAGGAATCATGATTCATCCCAAGTTATTTAGCAAACATATGCAGAGCAAAGCCAAATGAACACAGTGAGAGCAAACAGGATGTACCCAGATAGGAAGCAAGGCTACAGCAAGGCTGGGATGCTAAGCCAGGAAGTGACCTTGGTAGAGGGACTTGAAGCTACTGAACGGGAAGAGGCCTGTGCCCGTGACATAACCCTTTTGTCTTCACAGCAGACAGGGAGATGTTCCATCTCCCTCTGCCCTGATATTCAAGGTTGCAAAGTCCACAGTCCAGGGTATGACATCTCAGCAGCTACAAGGCTGGACCTAGCTCCACTCCGGCAGGTCAAACTGTTGTTTGGCTCCAGTGCCATGTTTTCTGTAGGGCAGCTTGATGCCTCTTCGTCTAACAGTCTCTCCGTGTAGTGTGAAGCAGAGAGACCCACACCGCAAAATTGTGTGAAAGCGCTAGTACAAAATTATAAAATCGAATTCTCGCCCATTAAACCATAACATGCAACCGGATTAACCAGATGGACTTTTCCTTTCTGGCTGGTAGAAAGTAAAGCACTATAGAAGCACTCAGCTTCTGGAGCCTGCCATTCCCTCCTCTCCTTTTGTCTTGCATTTGGTCTAAAAGTTCAATCCCCCAAGGCAAAGGATTCTCCTGAAATAATAATGGAGTATCCTGGAAAAATAAAGGAGACTCCTACAGAAAAGCCACCTATTTGGATGAAATTGGAGTCCTTAAATGGAACTGCTGAAACGGGAGAGTACTCTAGCTATGACAACTGCATTTACTGGTTATCGAAGGAAGAGAGGTTTGTATTCCTGCTTGCGTTTGGTGTGTGTGTGCTACCACCTTTCAGCTTGTTAGTTTTCTGGGGGGTTGCTGCCTGTGTAAGGGAACGTGGTTTGGAAAGTTAGCAGGGTGCTTTCAAGGGACGGTGTGAGCACAGTGTCGCTTTTGCAGCAGTGTTTAAAAGCCGCAGACAATATTGGAGTAAAACCCAATTTTTGAAAGTTTGCAAATATAAGCTGCACTTTAACTGTTCACGGACAGAATTTGGAAAAAAGGTGCGTCTTATATTCAGGCCAGTACAGTATTTTATGTTTTGTCCCCCCCCCCCATCAAATGGTATTCTGTATTCTATTTTCTTGAATAATTGTTTCATATAGAACTGATTATTTTAAAATAAGGTTACTAAGAAAAGGAATGTTCTATCATTGGGATTATACTCATCTTTCCCTTTTTTATATGACTATGTTGTATACCAAAGATACAGCAGAAGCACAGTGAGAAGACACTGTCACTTACTTCAACAGTACTCTGTTAATGATTAGATGGAATTGAGTAACAATGTTTAACAAATAAAACCAGGACTTGGGAAACTTACTGTGAAAGTTCAAAGCTCTTTTAAAGTTAAGCTCCCCCCTCCCAAAGTCTTAACAAGCCCTCAAAACATGTTTCATTTTAATTTAAAATGTGAACGTTTGATTGCCTTAATTATAGGGTTATTGCTAGAAAGTATTTCTTGTTACCTTCATAATATGCATTTCATTAGTTTCTTTTTTCAGAATTGCTTCCAGAATTTGAACTCTTAAACATGGCATTCTTCATACAACAATTAAGGATGTTCTTGACTCCATGAAAAAGACACCAATCCGTTTGTCTGTCATTTCACTCAACTTTGATTTCAAACTTTGTGCGTGGCTGAAAATGATCAGTTGGGTGCAACTGCAGCACAAGTTTCTCACTGTGACCCCTTGACCTTTATGACCATTTCTTCAGTTCTTCTTTGGGTTGAACCAAGGTCAGTCGACAAAACAAATATTTCATGGAGTTTGTTTCAGGATATACTCTATGATTGTAGCTGAATGACAAGAGGAATGGCTATTGAATAGGGGGATTGGCTTAAATCATGGGATCAGGTTACACAAAAACGGTTCTGCTAGCATTTAGGAAATGTCAATATATTTTACCTCCAGGTGATTCTGACTCAGTGTGTTATTAGATTCTGGAGTCATGAGTGGGTGTCCATTTTGGGAGAACAAATACCAGTAAGTACATTTCTCTCTTTAAAGAATAAGGAAGTAATTTAGATAGGCACAGAACAGAATGTTCCTGTTTTCTGAGGAACGTTGGAGGGTATGTTATGAATGACCAAACTCTAAGAGGACAAAAAGAAAGAATAAAATACTGCCTAATGGGTAGATAATCAACTTCTAAAAGGGTATATTTTTTAAACAAATCACAAGAAGCTACTTTTTGGGATCTTAGCAATTGATGTGGCATATTTTATATTGCTTTTTACATGAAAAGATGGAACTGCTGAATCAGTATTTTTCAGCTATGTTAAAAACTTGAACCATTATAATGTCAAAACAATTCACTTTGGTCACTTCCATTAGTATATATAATATGAATATATGTAATCACTCTAAGGCACATTTGAATGATCTGAACTATGTTACTCTTGCTAACATTGAATACTTTCTGTAAGTGATCTTTAGACTGTATACACTCAATATCACTTTTACTGGTATTAGGAATGTCTGTTGTTTATTCCTAGATTTAATTTTAAGAAACTGTCACTGGAGGATGAGGAAGGCGACAAATCACAAGAAGGGCTAAACAAAGCTAGCAAAGGTGGCCTCATCTATGGAGACTATCTGCAGGTAAGTGTGACTTAGTGGCGCAGCTTCAGCAATGACAGCTGGACCTTTTGCAAATAGTCAGTTGCAAACATACTGAACATTTGTGGCTATGCAAAATAATTACCCACATCTTCTATGGTAGCTAATATATCCTTCATAATAGTGAGGTATTTCACAGCACATTCATATACATATCTACTCAGAAGCAAGTTCCACCAAGTTCATTGGCAATTAGGGCTCTTCCACACTTCTGCTTGACCCATGCCTAAAAAAATTGGGCCTGAACTGTTTCCCGCTTGACCCACACTTTCTAGGCATGGGTCTGAGCGGTTTTGCCTTTACCCCGCCACTTCCCCCTGGAAAACCCAGGGCGTAAAACCCTTTGGCGCAAAATCAGAACAAACAGCAATCCATGTAAAACACAACTGCCAATTCAGTGTTAAAAAATTGGATTCCCAGGGGGAAAAGGAAAAGCAAACGGAGGTGTCAGTAAGCCCTTACTTCCACATCAGTGGGTATAGGATTGCAGCCTTTATGTATTCTAACTTTGGGTTCGGAAAATTGTTTTCCCCAGGCATTTCTAATTTTCTGTGAATTTTGCCGGGGTGGGGGTGATCAGAATGCCCTTTGCAAACAAACAAACAAACAAATTGCAGTACCAACATTTAAAAAAATTAGGAAGAATGATAACAATTGCCAGTAAACAATTGCAAATGCAGCTATAATAATAGATAATTAAAAGTTTTAAAATTATAATGGTTTTCACTTAGCTATGCTTTCTAAAAGTTTAACTCTATTTCACTTTTTTGTTTTTGAGAGTGGGATCTGAATATAGAAAATGGTTTTTAAGAGTTGAAGGTGTTGTTAGTACTAGCAGTTCTGTTACTCTGTGTCAGCTGAGATGCTTTATTTGGCAGAAGTCAGATGATAATTTTACATTACATTACAAAAGCCTGCATAGGCCACTAATCCTGCCTGACAATAAGTCATCATGGGCCAAATTTGTGTGTCTGTATGCCTGGCTACCACAGACAATCAGGGTTTTCTGAATACCTCAATGTTAATCTTATCGGTTTAGTCCCCCCCCCCCCAATTCCTGTCTCGGTGATGAGAAATGGACTTTTCCCCAAGCTTAAAGTGCTCACTTATGGGCTTGTTGATATTTATAACATTTCTCTTTCAAGGGGCATTGCTTAGTGTTAGTGTTACATGTGAAAGGTCCCCTGTTCAATTTCCAGCACCTCCAGTTAAAAGGATGAAGTGATGGAAAAGCCCTTTTCCTGAGACTCTGGCAAGCACTTGCCAATCAAAGTGATAATACCAGGTTAAATGGACCAGTGGCTCAGTTTTCTTCAACGTCATATGACCTAGGGCATATTTGTGACCATTTATCCTTTCTATTAAAGAGCAACCGGCCAGGCCTAGGTAGACAGCTGCCAGACAACGGTATCAACAGATAATTCAAACAATTGTCCTTCTTCTCATTTATTTGCAGGGTTTAAGAGCAACCTTTTGACAAGTGCTTAAAGATGGCTTACAAAACAAAGCCCTATGAAAACATTAACTCAGTAGCATTTGCAGGCAGGGCTGAGGAAATAAGACCCTGGAGAGCTGCTGTTATTCAGTATAGACTGTAATGGACAGTACTGAATCAAAACAGCTTTGGGGAATGACATCTCAGACAAGAACAACAAAAACTACAATAGCAAAACAACTAATGTTGTTTTTCAGTTCCTTCTAGTTTCTGACACATGTGGCCACATTCACCCTATACATTTAAAGTGCTCTGATACCACTTTAAATAGTTATGGCTTTGCCCAAATAATTCTGGGACTTTCCTAAGGGTGCTGAGAGTTGTTAGGAGACCTCTGTTCTCCCTCCTCATGGAGTTACAGTGCTCAAAGTGGTTTAACAGTCCATCCCTCCTCACAGAGAACTCTGAGAATTGTAGCTCTGTGAACAGAATAGGGGTCTCCTACCAATTCTCAGCACCCTTAACGAAGTACAGATCCCAGAATTATTAACACATATATTTTTGAATGTAGTTTTGACTAATGCACACATTTTGGGAAGTGGCTTCTCCTTAAATGGCATTTTTGTATGTGATTTTCACTAATAGATTCATTTTATGCACACTTTACTGTAATACGTGCATTTTTGCAAACATTCTTTGGTTGGAGAACTGCATCACCAAATTCGGATATGTATGAATTTCAAAGGATGGCTGCCCTTTGGTTATCATATTATTTTGGAAAGTGCAAATTTGCTAGATTCAGCTTTAAATGCAAACCAAATCAAATTTATCCCCCAAACCAAACCAATGAGTATGACTCATTTGGATATTACTCTTATTTGGGGGGGCAGCAGTGGGGGAGGGGGGAATCTGTGAAGCTTCAACACAGTTCTGAACTTAAAAGTTATTCATTTTGATTGTTCAATATTTTTTAAAGCCAAACCGAGAAAAGTTTTGTGAGAATTAATTATACTATTTCAATGTCTTACTTTTAAAGCTGGACAAAATACTGAATGCTCAGGAGCTTCAGAGTGAAAAGAAGGGGAACAAAATCCACGATGAGCATCTGTTTATTGTGACCCATCAAGGTAACCTTTCAGAAGAAATGGAGCCTAGCAAATGCTGTTCAGGCAGCCCCACTGGACTATCTGATGATGAAATTATTGTCATATTTATTATATTGGTCAGAGTTATTAATGAATATTAATACATGACTACAATGAGAGCATATGGACATCTATTATCCATTCCTCAGAAACCTTGCCCCATTTTTAAATTTTGATGGGAAAGATGTGGTGGAACATGATTCAGTTTGGGGGAGAATTTCCTAGATGTCTTGGTACCAAACTATTTTAGATGAGTATCAAGGAAAACTGCTTGATTGGTTGATGTTTTGAAAAAAACATCATTAAGTGAAATATATATGCTCTAGACATCGGACACACACATATTTTACTCTAGACGCATATGAGGGCCAATTCAGGGGCCTTTTGCTAACTACCCGGAGGCCACCCTGTTAAACTGCCTTATGGCTGCAAAAGTCATTGAAGTGGAAGGGCAGAGAGGGGCTAGATAAGGCAACTAAGAAGGATACTTGAGGCCAGAAAAAACTGGAGGCAGTATGTATAAGCATTTTGTTTACGGATTCTACCTTTAGGTAATGATAGCAACTTTTCCATATGACAATTTCATAATAGATATGGTGATGATCAACCTCTGATATTTCAGCTTAACTGATTGTCAATGTCCCAAAGAAGCGAAACCAAAAACAGTGCCTTTTGATTTCAGCTTATGAACTGTGGTTCAAGCAGATTCTGTGGGAACTGGATTCAGTTCGAGTGATTTTTCAAAATGGTCACGTAAGTAAGAGATATATAAGATATCTAATGAAAAACCCCTCTTATTTCTATTTTTCACCAAATAATCACTGAATATTTTAAATTCAACCCCTGTTCAGGCATCTTATTCTAAAGACCTATTCATGGGAGGAAGGAGAAAAGGCTCTAACCACTCTTGCTCCTTCCCCAGTGATATCTGTGCATTTATTTGGGAGAATATCTGCAGCAGGAGAGCCTGAAAACATGTAGAGGCTCCATCAGTTGAAGCCCTAAGGTTCCTGTTCACAAGGACAGTTTACATGCATTTGTTTGTCTGCCTGTATCTTCCCAAAAGCATGGACAGCAGAAGGGATATGCCAGTGGGAAGTGCAGGGCAAACAGAGAAATCCCAAACGGAGTTTATGATGATCCTTAGTGTGACACATTCATGCATCATCTAAACAAAAAGAAAGTGTGCACCCCCCCTTAAGAACAATTGTTTTGTTTCCTCATATGCAGATTCAATTGATTGGGCTATCATTCAAATTAAGACTCAGGTGATTAAAACATATCCGGGTGACACAGCCCTAATTAGAATAACCTATAGAGGCCCTGCTCTCCCTTGCCAGATGAGTCATGATAATGATGTCTTTTTCTACTAAGGTGAGAGATGAGAGAAACATGCTTAAGGTTGTCACTCGAATGAACAGGATAACAATGATCCTTAAACTACTTGTGGAACAATTTTCTGTTCTGGAAACAATGACTGCCCTGGACTTCTTTGATTTCAGGTAAACACTGTATTTGATTATTTGATTTCTCATGCTTAGCTGTGCTCACAAGTAATTGAGCATCTCACAGGGTTGCCAAATGCCCTCTTTTTTCTGAACTTGTCCTATTTTTCATGGGTAGAGTCGTGATAGCGATCCATAGTTAAAAGTAGAAGTTGGCAAATGTGCCCTCTTTTTTCTCTCTCTTCAAAATATGGCAACCCTAGGTCGCCTGTCTCATAGCTCAAGGGAAGCATTCAATTATTTTAATGTTCACACTGCCAACAGATAAGTGGTTATACTTTGGGATTTAGCTAAGAAGCTGGACAACACTCCATTATTATTGTGATCATTGTGAACGTTGGAGACCTGCTGGATAAAGCCAAGGGCTTATCAACTCCAGCAGTCTGTTCTCACACGGCCATATGGCCCATGTGGTTCCCAGCAACTGGTATGAAGAGGCATACTTCTTTGACAAGCAGCCATGGATAGCCTTATCTTCCATGAATTTATATAATCCTCTTTTAAAACCATCCAAGTGGGTGGCCATCACTACCTCTTGCGGGAGCAAATTCCATCGTTGTACCATCACTGTCTGAGACACTTTATGAAGCACAAGAAGGCAAGCCTCTGCACCAGAAACTTATAATTTAAAATCCAACACAGAGTAAACAGCAGACAAAAGGGAGAGAAGTGCAGGGTAATCAAGAGACAAATGTGCAATAATTTCATGTACTTATGCTCAGTGCCAAACTTGAAATTCGCTTGGTATGTAGCAGGCAACTCTGTTTTGAGTTGCAATTTCCTCCCCTAATTACAGGTTTTTGGAAGGGGGCAATCCTGATCAGGAAGTAGCAATGAGGTAGAAATTTGATTCTGTTTGCATTTAGAGGAAAACTTCCCTAGTTTGCACTTTCCAAAACAATATGTGAAATGAAACACAGCCATCCTTTGAAATTTGCACTTTTCAGAATTTTGCAGTGCCATTTTGCAGACAAAATTCATATACTTTGGTAATGTGTTCATATAAAAGCACATGTTAGCAAAAAAAAAGCATACAAAAATGTGTTATATTAGGCCAATTGCTATGTAAAAATGTGAATGTTATGCAAAATTACATGAAAATATGTATAATTAGGAGAAATTTGCACTAAAATGCTGATGGCAGCTTCCTGCATTGAATATCTCATTGTTTTTAATAAATTTGCAATCATAGAAATACATTTGGACTGTGGGACTGAGTTGCTAAAAAGTGTCTATTAACACTATTTGTATATTACTACTACTACTTCTACTAGATTTATTTATACCCTGCCTTTCCCCCTGATGGACTCAAGGTGGTTTACAGGTAAAATGAAAACGTGTTTTTACAATCTATTCTCAATTGTATTTTTTTTTAATCTATCCTCAAAGAGATTATTTGAGTCCAGCTTCAGGATTTCAGAGCTTACAGTTTCGACTGCTGGAGAACAAGATTGGTGTCCCTCAAAGTCTGAGAGTCCCATATAACAGAAGACATTATCGGGATAACTTCAAGGGAAAAGAGAACGAATTATTGCTTAAATCTGAACAGGAGCCAACTCTATTGCAGCTAGTGGAAGTAAGAGTTTGCTGGGGGGGGGTATCAATAAAGCAGTCCCTATCCCAATAGGAATTGTTACATTCAAATGTAAACATTGTGCTATTTTTAAGCCCACACATTTCCATAAGTCTTTCTGAAGATCGTCATTGCCACTTCACATACTAAAATATCAAATATTACCAGAACAGGCTATGTAACCTACATAATAGTGAATCTATTTTGTTTTGCAAGGCATGGTTGGAGAGAACGCCAGGACTTGAACCAGAAGGATTTAATTTCTGGGGGAAATTTGAAGTGAATGTACTGAAGGGACTGGAAGAAGAATTTGCAATGGTGCAGGTAAACATAATTTGTCACAGATCCATCCATGCCTGTATGTAGCAAGATAACTTCCTGGGTACAGTTCCATGAGAGAGCCCATCTGTATGAACAATTCTCCGTGCATTTTGGAGGAAGGGAAATATAAGCATGCCTGTGTGATCCATTTTTTCTATGTGAGAATATATGGTTCTAACATAGCTGAAAATCACACAAGCTATAAGGAATCATTTATGCTTGTATTATCATGTGGATCATGTGGTGATGCACACACAAAGGTATTACCTTGTGGACACACACACACACAATTAGGAGCCATGACAGTTTTGTTCTCTCATGACAGTTAAGGCTCTCTCAAGTCCAGTCACTGAATTTGTTATCAGAAGTCTAATTCCCATGTTGCCCCATGGGATATTAAACAGAGATTTAATATTCATGTATGAAAAAAAATTGTAAATAAGTTAATGGAAGAATTAGCAGGTGGGTGCATGTTTTGTTCCCTATTCACGAGGATGAGGAAGACCGAGAATGAGAGTTCATGAAGAAAGCTGAGACTGATTGGATGACGTTGAGTGCATCTTGGGTCAGCATAACTGAGTTCTTAAGGAAAATTATGGAACTTATGACATATTCCATTTTATGCAAATCAACGAAAAAGTGAAGCTTTTAGTATGTTTTTAAAATAAATAATTGATGTGACTTCAAAAGGCCAAACAAGACTTGGAGGAAAAAGAAGATCAACTGGCAGAACTTCAGAAACAAAAAGAAGTGCTCATTTCATTGTTTGATGAAAAACGCCACGAACATCTCCTTAGTAAAGGTAGGTAGGCTCATTAGAGTGTGCAGATGTGAATTGCCAGTTTCTAGCATACCAGATGGAACTAAGCTGTAATAAAACTGATATATTATTTAACATGCATTACAATTTGCAGGTGAAAGACGGCTGTCTTACAAAGCAATGAAAGGAGCTCTAATGATCTACTTCTACAGGTACATTAAAGGGTGACTCATCCCTGTAAAATCTCTCTCTTAAAGGGTGACTCATCCCTGTAAAATCTCTCCCACTAGCAATCTTGTTTTCTTCCTCAGAGTGTTTTTTTTTATAAAAACTTTTTTTAAAAACCACTTTCCTGCTGTCTTTCCCAAGTGTGGTTGCTGGTTTTGAGATCGAAATATTCTTAGTACAGTCATACCTTGGTTCTCGAACAAAATCTGTTCTGGAAGTCCATTCAACTTCCGAAAACATTTGAAAACTAAGGCACAGCTTCTGATTGGCTGCAGGAGCTTCTTGCACTCAATCGGAAGCCGCGTCAGATGTTCGGGTTCCAAAGAACGTTTGCAAACCAGAACACTCACTTCTGGGTTTGCGGAGTTCAGGAGCCAAAATGTTTGAGTTGCAAGGCACAACCAAGGTACGACTGTATTTGGATTTTTGCAAGTAGATGCCCCCTGCAGACTTTGCCTGGGTGAATTGTAGAAGGTTGGGAAGGGGCTTGGATTTCGGAATGAAACATTCTAGGATTTCACATTATGTTTCAATTACTATTGGTAAATAAAGTGTAAGGCTAAGCGTTCTTAAAGCTGGGGTGTGGAAGAGGCAAGTCTGCCTTTTCAAACATCCTCCAAGGGATCATAGAACTGTGCCCTAAGTATACTTCCTAAGGAGTAAACCTCACTGAACACAGTGGGATTTACTTCTCAGAAAACATGCACAGGAATGCACTGCCCATCTTTCTATCTTGTGTGGAAGCTGTTTATAATTTAGCCGCTGAATGCCACGTGATCTAGAGTCAATAAACAATTGTGCCTTTACGCTTATGGAACCATCTGCATGAAACTCCCCTCTCCAGCTCCTCTTAACTCATATATATGTCAGTAGAAAGAACAGAAGCAGGAACCATATAATCTTGTGAGACTCCAATTACGAATGTTATCTTTGTTATCAATTTACTGCTGTTTTTGAAATAGCACATTTCAACCATAGCAGGCCATTAAACTAATTTTGCAAAGTTTAGTATAAAATATAGCATAGCATGTATTTACCAAAGTGCCTTTTCCTTTGATGCATACAGTAAAAAATGATAATTTTAGTACATTAATGAGTTTTTCCTCTGTCCTCCCCACCTCCTTAAGAGAGGAGCCTCGTTTTCAGGTTCCTTTTCAGCTCCTCACTTCTCTGATGGATATCGATGTGCTGATGACTAAATGGAGATGTAAGTTTTCTCTCCTGTGCTATGACCGCCACAACACACTAACACACAGGACTCCCCCCCCCAAAAAAATGTTTAGGGGTACTCTCATTTTGACTCATGAAAATACAATTTTATAGTTCAAATCAGGAAAAATAAATATAGTAAATGGACAAAAGTACAAAGATTCACAAAATGTTTAGGGGTATGCATACCCCTGCGCCCCCCCCAGTAGCAACTCACATTGCTACTATAACAGTACTGAAACCCCAAGAGGTTGTACAGAGAACTGACTGATGAAATGTGTGGCTAATTAATTCATGCTTGTCCTGCAAAACATGGGGAATCACATAACTACCTACTCCCTGCTGTTACATGTGGATGACACCTGGCAGCTTTGCACACAGACCACAAACTAACACTGTTGTGGCGTGGTAGGATTGAGAACAAAGATGCATTGCAGATTCCTGAAATATGTGCACCACTGACTCATGGTGAACAAATACTGCAGACAGATCCTTTGTCTCTCAGTAAGTACATATCTGCAGTTTTCTACTTGGTATTTGGGGATCTATCCTTTCTATTAGATCTACCTTGTCTATTAGAAAAATATTCACCCCTATCTTCTTCCTTTTTACCTGAACTAGTTAACTGAAAAAAATTGCCTTATAACTAGATGCACAGTGGCAAAACATTGAGCTTACACATCAGGAAGTCTCCCAATTCAAATCTTGTCTTTCCCATGAAATCACATTCAGCAGGCCATTCAGTTTCAGCCTCATCTGAAATATGATACTGAGCTGCCTTAGACAAGACACTTTAAAAACTCTAAAGATGCAATCCTATACCCGCTTACCTCCGTGGGACTTACCTCTGAATAGGCAGGTATTGCAAAGCATGATCTGTGCTGATATTATTTAATTATATAGTTGGGTGAAATACGTTAATGTAAAGACACTCAAATTTGCAATACAGAGAAGCCAAGCTATGCATTATATAACTTTTTAAAGGGCCATTCCAGTTGTAATACGATAGCCTTTTTAATGAGATATGCACTAAAAAAAAAGTTCATCTATTTAGATAACCATGTGTGTATGGTGCACAGAATGATTGGCAGCAAGGCTGGGACTGGAGGATCCTCAGGATATCAATATTTACGCTCAACTGTGAGGTGAGTCTATAGGAAATAGAGTTCCACTTTATAGTCATGTTTCATAAATGGCAACGCACATGGACAAGTCAAAAAACGATGATATGAAAAAAGAAAGAAGAGAGCCATTCTTTTAACACAGAACATATTTGCTTTAACACTGTTTCAAAATTTGTGTCTGAGGGTTTTCTTTTAAATAAAAAAAGATGACACTGCTACTAACAAATATGATTTTAACAGTTTACAGGGAGAGTAAAGATGGAGAAATAAGTTTATTTCCCTATTTCAAAACACTAGAATTTTTCCCCCATCCAGTGAAAGTGACTGATAGCAGGTTCAGGACAAACAAAGGTATCTTTAATTAGTGTAGTAAATTCATTGCTATAAACCAGTCTTGTCAAATCTGGTACCTTCCACATCGCTTGGACCGCAACTCTCATCTGCCCCAGCCAACACTTGTGAGGATGTGATCCAAAATATCTAGAAGGTGCTGGATTGGGGAAGGCTGCTATAAGCTAGGACAAGGATGTTCCCTGCCAGCCATGAATGCAGGAATGTGAAAAATGTGGCTACATAAAGATGGTGTTCATAAGTAGCTACACTGGTGTGGTTGCTCTTGCGGTCAAAATTACCCTAATTTTCCTCTGGCTTATCATAAGTTCATCTGGTTACATTTCATACTGCAATCCATGCAGCTGCTTGAATCAGGCCACAGTGGACTTTAAAGGGGACCCACCACTACAGGAGCCATGTTGTTGGCACTGCAGAATTTGTAGCATAAGATCATAGCACTGTCATGGCCCTAGTTGACCACTTTAGTGTTGGAGGCTGGTACAACATGAAAACTCCTGATAACAGGACTATCTGTGTCAAAAGCACACTCCATCATGACATATAATATATGTCAAATAATATGGAATACCATTCCCCCCCTTTAAAAATATGAATGTATTTCTTTTTCCTTGGCAGTGACCGATACAAAGTGTTTGTTGATTTGTTCAACCTTTCAACATATTTGGTGCCTCGTCACTGGATCCCCAGGATGAACCCTACTGTTCACAAGTTCCTTTACACAGCAGAATATTGTGACAGTTCCTACTTCAGCAGTGATGATTCAGACTGAAAATCTTCCATGTCGATTCCTTGTAAATAACTGAATGAAGCTCGGTCCTTTAACATTATACTTTATGCATACAGTATGTAACAATATAGAAATCTATATCTATTTATGTGCAATGTACTATAGCATCTAAAGCACAATAATCAGCTCCACAATTTATAAATAAAATTTAGAGATGATGAGGCAAACAACTCAGATCCATTTATTTTAATGGTTTGAACTGTTGTTGTTGTTCCTGTTTAACAATGTTCTGTCTGATTTGCTAAGCTTGCTCAGATAACTATTTTAGGCTGCCATCCTATACCCATTTACTTCGGAGGAAGCCCTACTGCACTCATTGGGGCTTTTGCTTAAACATGTATTTTGGTTGTACTATTGGGTTTTGTGATTGTGAAGATAATATTTTAATGTGACATGCCTTGGGAGATGGCATAGAAATAATTGTAAATAAAATAAAAATAAAAATCTACCCTGTAGTATCGAGTAACTGAAGCAATAAGGTAGCAAAATCTATATAATCCTCTTTTCAGTGATAATAACATGTAGTACCACTTACCACATTGATCTTCTATACTGCATAGAGACAATCAATTCCACATTATGTTATTAAGGTAATAGAGTAATGCTATGAGAGACTCCAGGACTCCTTACTGCGGAATTGAGCTAATATTTGACTTGGCTTAGGAAGACACAACATCATTTTGTACATAATGCTTGGCATATATTATGAAGCAATCACAGCTGAATTTCATCCTTCTCCAATTATAAGTGACTAAAAAAAAAAAAAGGATGCCAGCCTTTATAATTGTAGATACAAATAAGAAACCGTGATTTTTTTCATGATTCTTTATTATAAAAATTAGAAATGTCTAATGTTCAACTCAGGTAACTTTTATTCATGTTTTAATCCAAATTGATTGCTAAGCCACCACAGTTTTTCCTAAGTGCTTGGAAGTACTGGCATTTTGTGATCAAATGTTAATTTTAAGCATTTCAAAATACTATTCATTTGTGCATGTGAATCCAGTGTAGAACCAAAGAGAAGGGAACACCTGACAATTAAAAGAGAAGTCAGATTGCCAATATTCAATGGATAAGCAAAGACTTAAATATGCTACTTTAGGGCCTACACGAAACAGAAGTGATGTCATTTTCCCAGAGAACATGAATGCTTAAGAACAGAAGCAGAAGAAGAGCTCAGCAGTAGCAGAAAATCAGAGAAAACACAGCTGCTGACTGGATGCCTCTAGGGGCTGATTCACAATTTCTGCAGCACTGATAAAGTTACAAAGTATATTGCTAGGTGGAAAAACATGCACCCTATGCATTCAACGCTCACCTAATTCTGACTTTGATTTGTAAAATGCTTTGCAACTTTGATTGTATTTTGCCTACATGACAATCTTGTGAGATGAATTATTGTTGTTCATTTTATAGACGGGGAACCAAGATAGAGAGTGTGATTTGCCCAAGACCACACAGCAGGTACTTGGTATTTGATGAACTCTAGTCTCCCAGATACAAACCCAGATCTCTTACCTAATGGGTCACAATAGCTCAACTCTTATTTGAAATATTTTGCTAAGTATGAGTAAGGTCAGGGTTTTGAAAACTGAGACATGAACTTGTAATATATAAAATGCCTTCCTTTTCCATAAGTGATGGTCTGGAGTACACTGCAGAGCTGTTGTTCAGCTCCTAAAAATAAATGTTTATGGCAATGACTGGAAGAGGATGTTTTGATTTCTTATGGTCTCAGGGCACACAGGTCTATTCCTGAAAGTAAAACTCCTTCATCCTGTGGAAAGCAGTGGCTGAAATGTGTGCCACAAAGCTTTTACTTAGAGCAGCCACTTCACATAAACACATCAGAAACTTCACCAGCAATACCTAGGAGGCAGCAAAATCAAGGCTACCATTTGATTGTTAGAGAAATCCTTCTTTAAGTATTCTTGCAACACCTTCTCTTACTCCTTAGCCCCTGCCCTGCCCATTTTAGATCGGAAATATTTCTAATAGGGGGTTAAATGATGGGGGATTGCAGGGGGGTCACAACATATGAGATGCTGTTCTGAGTAACTTTATTCACTGCATTTGAAGTCTGTTGCAACTGGCTCCAGAGGAATACACAGGATTTTCATCATCATATATACTTGAGAATTAATTTCCCCAGCTTTTTCCTCACTGCTAAGCGGGAAGGTAAACGGTGTTCCCGTGCGCTGCTCTGGTTAGCCAGAAGCGGCTTAGTCATGCTGGCCACATGACCCGGAAGCTGTACGCTGGTTCCCTTTGCCAATAAAGCAAGATGAACGCCGCAACCCCAGAGTCGGCCATGACTGGACCTGATGGTCAGGGGTCCCTTTACCTTTAATATGCTCATGGGCCATTTGCTTTAACAGTGTGCATCTTAGCATATAAGCAAACAGTCAGGCAGGCAGGTAGGCCAGCCCTCAAGATGACTGAACCACACCAGCTTTCCTCATGCTAAGATACTGGTTCCCCACAACCCCACAACCCCACAACTTCTGCACCCCAAGACAACAAAACTGAGAGGAGGAATGTGAAATCTGTCTGCTTGAAATTACATATAGGCTCTTGGAATGCGGGCATCTAATCTATGTCTGCAAGCTTACTTGTGCTTGTATCCAGCAAAGCCAATTGCAATGTCTTTTGCTCAACTTACCCCATTTTAATTTGGGCCTAGCTGTCTATTCCACAGGGGTTCCATACAATCCAATACAGAGGGCTAATAAAAAAATGTGTTTCAGAAAGGTCAAGTTTCACAAACTTTTGTGGCCATTTCCTGGACTGTCATGGAGGGGCTAAAAACAAAACCTCATGTGAACAAAGCAGGACCTGGAATCTTGTACAGAATCCGGCTCTTTATCCAGCTTCTAGCACTTCAGTATGCACAAAGGTGTGTTAGATGCACAGACACAATGAGCGCATGATGCCAGAGAATAAGCAATGCAAAAGGTGGATTATAATTTGGCCTCATACACAGCAATGACAGCGGTTGTGTATATGTTTTGTGAATATGAATGGAGTCACCAGTGAGTTCCATTATGAACTCCTTGGGGCAGCAGCAGGCTATCTTCCATTGATGCAAAAGCCTTCACTGGAATGCCTGTGGTTCAACAAAGAGCAGGTTCTCTCAAAATGGCGTGTAGTGAATCTAGCAGCTGGGACTGGAAAAAGTAAATGGACACTTATTGGATTGCATGTATTCCTACAGCTATATTCAATAGCACTAACCCTCCCCCCCAAGTTGTGTATGTGTGTGCTGAGGCCTCTCATGGTACCTACAAAGCTCTTGCCAAGAGTGGGAGGAGGAAACCTTTTCCTTACTTTCCCCCCTTCTGTGGAAAACTGAGCTGGCATGCACATTTCCCCTCCTTTGGGTCCACAGCAGCCATTTTGTTGTCACACTCATGAGACTTAGCTGAAAATCTGAATGCCCCCATAGGCACAAGACTCTGGGGGTACTGCAATTCAGTTAGCTGATTTCAGAGTTTGTACTGTGTGTGTAAAAAGCAGGCATTCCTGCTTGTTACTAAATGTGAAGAATGTTACTAATTTTTAAATTGTTGCTCAATTTAGTCCCAGCTACCAAGCATGCTTATGCAGAAGAAAATTCCACTGAAATCTGGGGGTTATACTTCTGAGCAAACATGGTTGGAATGGCACTGTGAGTCTCTGAACTGATACATAATAATAATTTAACTGGCAGATGAAAATTTACTTGTCCTATCAAAACCAGTAATTAGAACAGCACGACTTGTCTCTCCACTGGAACTGTGATACTATATGATAACCACTAAATAGCATCTTGACAGCGAAGTGCATTCACAATTACTGTCAAAGGACCCTATTTAAGCAGCATTTTCATATTTGTTTTTTCTTGACCACTGGAAGATAGAGAAATAGTCCCTCAGCATCAAAATGCAATCTACCATCAACATAGCTTGAAAAATCCAGCTGCAAAGCAGCTTTTGATTGGAAAGTATCTGGCTGCTAAGGATGGAGAAACTGTCTGATTCTAGTCCAAGAAATGTTTGCTGTTTTAAGTAGAAGTCCTTGCCAGATAATAGCATGCCAACTCAGCGGCGTAGCGTGGGTTGTCAGCACCCGGGGCAAGGCAAGTAATTTGCGCCCCCTAACCCAGGGCAAGGCAAGTAATTTGTGCCCCCTAACCTGCCGCCGCTGCCAGCTTCTTCTTGCTGCTGCCTGGGCTGGTCTGGTGTGGTTCTCTCCCGCGCTCAGTGCTGCGCTGGGCGGCCGCTGCACTGTCCCTGCCCCAGATAGTCCCTCGCTCTCTCTCCACACCGCACGCCTGGCACCCACCCCCTCCACAGTGGGCGGCGACCCAGCGGCTCGGATCGGATTCGCACAGCCAGCACTGCAGTGAGAGAGAGAGAGTGAGCCAGGTAGGGGCAGAGAGCTGCGAGTGCGAGCACGCCCCCCCAGATGTTGCGCCCGGTGCGGCCGGCACCCCCTGCACCCCCCACGCTACGCCACTGTGCCAACTATGTTGTTCACAAACACTGAAAATCAGGAATGGCTGGTGGAAATAATAACTAGTAAAATCTGCTATTGCTACAGAAATTATTATGTGGGAATCGACCAGGAAATATGGATATGATACACTCCCTGGTTTTGATCTAACAGTATGCTTGTGTAGCCTGGAGCAAAATCCCTGTCTAATAACATGCAGCCTCAATCTGTTTGTCTGCTGATCACTTGCTTATAAGGCGGCAGAGGACCTTGGTTCCACCTGATCAGCTGCAAGCATGCAATGGGCTGTTCAGTAAAGGTATAGATTGGTGCCTAACTCCCACCTGGGGATCTGGACAGAAGCATCTCCTTCCAAATGTCTTTAATAGGATACCCCTTTTTCCTTTGGGAGGGATGCGGGTGGTGCTGTGGTCTAAACCACTGAGCCTCTTGGGCTTGCTAATCAGAAGGTTGGCAGTTTGAATCCCTGCGATGGGGTGAGCTCCTGTTGCTCGGTCTCAGCTCCTGCCAACCTAACAGTTCAAAAGCATGCTAAAAAAGTGCAAGTAGATAAATAGGTTCCGCTCCAGCAGGAAGGTAAATGGCATTTCCGTGCACTGCTCTGGTTTTGCGAGAAGCGGCTTAGTCATGCTGGCCACATGACCCAGAAAAACCTGTGGACAAACGCCAGCTCCCTTGGCCTGTAAAGCAAGATGGGTGCCGCAACCCCAGAGTCGCCTGCAACTGGACGTAACTGTCAGGGGTCCTTTACCTTTACCTTTTTTTTTTCTTTGGAGGGGCAGGCAGATGCTACAACCTCTCCTCCAAGACGAAGGCTTACCAATGCCTAAACCTGCTTGGACTACTGCAATGCACTCTACATAGGGCTACCTTTGAAGGTGACCCGGAAACTACAACTAATCCAGAATGCGGCATCTAGACTGGTGACTGGGAGTGGCCACTGAGACCACATAACACCTGTCTTGAAAGACCTTCATTGACTCCCAGTACATTTCCGAGCACAATTCAAAGTGTTGGTGCTGACTGGCAGTGGCTACCGAGACCACATAACACCAGTCTTGAAAGATCTTCATTGACTCCCAGTACATTTCCGAGCACAATTCAAAGTGTTGGTGCTGACCTTTAAAGCCCTAAACAGCCTTGGCCCCATATACCTGAAGGAGCGTCTCCACCCCCATCATTCAGCCCGGACACTGAGATGCAGCGCCGAGGGCCTTCTCGCAGTTCCCTCCCTGTGAGGAGTGCGGTTACAGGGAACCAGGCAGAGGGCCTTCTCGGTAGTGGCGCCCACCCTGTGGAACGCCCTCCCATCAGAGGTCAAGGAAATAAACACCTATCTGACTTTTAAAAGACATCTGAAGGCAGCCCTGTTTAGTGAAGTTTTTAATGACTGATGTTTTAACGTATTTTTAATATGATGTTGGGAGCGACCCAGAGTGGCTGGGGAAACCCAGCCAGATGGGTGGGGTATAAAGAAACATTACTACTACTACTACTACTACTATTATTATTATTATTATTATTATTATTATTATTATTATCTGCCAAAATTGTGTTGATTGCTGTAAGACAGGCAAACCCACAAGGCGGGAGTCAATTTGCCAGGTGGGAAATTCCATCCCTGGTGACCAAGGATGCTCATAGCAAGGTCAAAGCAGAAATACAAGGCAGGGAGAGTGGGAGATCTTACAAGAGTGGATGAGGTCAGGGTTGGTGGACCTTCTTATATACCCCTGGAATGGACCCAAGCCAAGCCTGTGAGCTCAGCTGGCCAGTCCCTAAGCCTGCTTGCAATAGGCCAATCTTCAGGGAAGCTAGTATCTACAGCCTGGGCCATCAAGGTAGGCTGCAAGCCTCTGATGGCTGGTGGCTGCCACCAAAAGGGAGCCCTGTCATCTGATTGCGACAGGCAGGTGGCACCAGCCTGCAACACCACCATGAAAGGTAAGGGCAAGTGTACTTCTAGCTATTTGCAAACCTCCCTTCACTCCTTTTTTCTAATTCTAGTTATTCACAAGAATTTTCTCTGTAGTACTCAGTTAAATAACCTCAAATAAGAACATACTTTGTTGCTTGTACAAGTTGTACTCAGTGTCACTGTTTGCCCAGGTCACATGACAAAAACAGTGCAAAGGATAGACAAACACTACCGATGCCCTTTTACATATCCCGTATCTCCTTTGTGCATCTCATCCACTTGTCATAGAAGGCATGC